GTAGTCAATATAGGCAAATGATAATGAAAACATGAAAGTTGTTATTATGCTATTTTTCAAACTCGAGACCCTGAAACCCATTGTTCAACATGTCCATTTTTCACTCACTGCACAAATCACCAAGTTTCGAGTGCCGAAACCCAAAACTCGAAACCCAGTGTGCAACACGTCGATTGTTCATTTACATTACACAGATCATCGAGTTCCGAGTGCTGAGTGCTGAAACCCGAAGCCCAAAACCCGAAAATATGTATGGAACATGTCCATTTCTTACTCATTGCACATATCACTGAGTTTCGAGTGCCGAAACCCGAAACTCGAAACCCAGTGTGCATCATGTCCATTGTTCAATTATATTACACAAGTCATTGAGTTCCGAGAGCCGAGAGCCGAAATCCGAACCCCGAAAATATGTGCGCAACATGTCCATTTTTCACTCACTGCACAAATCACCGAGTTTCGAGTGCCAAAGCATGAAACTTGAAACCCAGTGTGCAACATGTTGATTTTTCATTTATATCACACAAATAACCAAGTGCCAAGTGCCAAGTGCTGAAACCCGAAGCCCGAGACCCGAAAATATGTATGCAACATTTCCATTTTTCACTTGTTGCACAAATCACTGAGTTTCAAGTGGCAAAACCCGAAACTCAAAACTGGGTGTGCAAAATGTTCATTGTTCATTTACATTACACAGATCATCGAGTTCCGAGTGCCGAGGGGCGAGACCCGAACCCTGAACCCCGAAAATATGTGCACAACATGTCCATTTTTCACTCACTGCATAAATCACCAAGTTTCGAGTGCCAAAACCTGAAACTCAATCCCCAGTGTGCAACATGTCCATTTTTCATTTACATTACATGGATCATCGAGTTCTGAGTGCCAAGGGCCGAGACCCGAAGCCCGAAACCCAAAATCATGTACACAACATGTCCATTTTTCACTTGTTGCACAAATCACCAAGTGTCGAGTGTCGAAACCTGAAACCCAGTACTTCACATGGACACGAATTGTATTTGTATGTATTATCCATTGGTGTAGGGTTCAAATAACTTGGTAATTGTATTTGTCAGTACTCGGTACTTGGTACTTGGTGATCGGTGGTCAGTGGTCGGTACTCGAGACTCGGTAGTCAATATATGCAAATGATAATGAAAAATGACAGTTGTAGTCCATGTCAAGGTGAGTGTCTTGGTAGTCTTTCCTTGTCATTCGGCAAAACATCAGCAATAATGAAAAAATGAAAGTTGTTATTATGCTTAACTTCCTTACCGAAGGTTGTAGTCCAAGTCCAGGTGAGTGTAGTGGTAGTCTTTTCTTGTCAATTGGTTATCTTGTTACTCATTATGCAGTACTCGGTACATGGTAATTGGTACTCAGTATTTGGTTTTGATACTCGGTACCCGGGAATCAGTAGTCAGCTTAATGAAGGTTGTAGTCCGAGTCTAGGTGAGTTTATTTGTAGTCTTTTCTCATCCATTGGTTACCATGTGACCGAGATATAAGCTAAAGAAATCCGAAACATCAATAATGACAAATGAAATACATGTGTGCAGTAAGTGAGTGTAAAGATAAAAGAATGAATATTAATAGCGAGACTTGCACATTATGTCGAGATATCCAACATAACAAGCCTGTGATGTGATGAGAGACCTGGAATAACACCCATATACATCCATTATAATAGCTTAAAAGCCTAGAAAGATTCATGAAGGATTGATGTAATGATAGGCAAAATGACATATGTGTGGAGAGTGACAATAGACATCTTTTATACAAAGTCACATTTATATATGATTCAGGCCGAAAATATCATTACAAATATGTAGGATAGATCGTAAACTACCCAAGGAACCCATACTGCCTACTGCCCTGAGGGTAGGGGGTGGGTAGAAGGGATATAGTGAAAATATGAGTTGACCCAGCATTAAAATCCTACCACTGCTCAACTAACCATTTTCGATGCTTTGGGTCTTTGAAGTTTCCCACACTCAATTTCTTACCCATTTCACTTCCTCATAATAATAACTTTCATTTTTCATTATCGCTGATGTTTCAGATTTCTTTAGCTTATATCTCGGTTAAATGATAACTGATGGACAAGAAAAGACTACCAATACACTCCCCTAGACTCGGACTACAACCTTCAGTAAGGAAGTTAAGCGTAATAACAACTTTCATTTTTCATTATCATTTGCCTATATTGACTACCAACCACCAACTACCAACTACCAACTACCAACTACCAACTACCAACTACCAACTACTGAGCACTGACAAATACAATTCCCAAGTTATTTCAACCCTACACCAATGGATAATACATACAAAGACAGAATTCATGTCCATTTGAAGTACCGCGTTTCGGGTTTCGGCACTCGACACTTGGTGATTTGTGCAATGAGTAGATGGGCATGTGGCATACATGTTTTCGGGCTTCGGGTTTCAGTATTCGGCCCTTGGCACTCAGAACTCGATGATCCATGTAATGTAAATGAAAAATGGACATGTTGCACACTGGGGATTGAGTTTCGGGTTTCGGCACTTGAAACTCGGTGATTTGTGCAACAAGTGAAAAATGGAAATGTTATATACATATTTTCGGGTCTCAGGCTTCGGGTCTTGGCACTGGAGGACATCTCGATCCTGGGATATCCGACCGTCCGACCTCATCCGACCGTCCGACCGCATCCGTGCCAGTATAATAATCATCGTTCCCACGCATACATAATATACTACATTCAATGTTAAAATATAATTATGTATTAAGCTCACTGTTTCCCACACGTCCTCACCTCTGCGCACGTCGGGGATATTACTACATTTGGCCAAGCCGCTACTCAACAGCGCCGCCACATGCTTACCTCCCTGCATCGCACTCAATGACTACGCCAATACCATCAGCCCTTGAGGACTTGAGGTGCTGCAGTTACTGCATCATCAGCACATCAGCTCCCTACTGGCTCATCTTCAACATTGACCATGACACAGAGGGCGCCGGCGAGGGCGGGGAAAGAGACACAAAGGGCGGGGGGCAGGGAAAGGGTGATGTAAAGTTCAAGTTCAAGGTGGCGTGCTTGGTGTTGTTTGTTTGTAGATGATGGTGGCTGGCACACTGAGTCATATCTGGGGCGGATGTTGGAAAGGGTCGGACGGTCGGATATCCTAGGATCGAAATATTCTGCGGCACTGGGCACTCGGAACTCGATGATTTGTGTGATATAAATGAAAAATCAACATGTTGCACACTGGGTTTCAAGTTTCACGCTTTGGCAGAACTCGAATCTGTTGTGATTTAGATATCACCCGAAACCTGAACACCCGAATGTCAAATTTTCAGTGCCGAACCCCGAGTGCTGGGTGCCGAGTCCCGAAACCCGGAACTCAGGATTTGACATTTGAGATGAATGAAAATTTTCAGACATGTTTGAATTAACCTATGTATATCTATAAACATTTCACTAACCCCCGAACCCCGAAAGATATTTTTGTTGTCTTACATACCGAGTTCTGAGTTCTGAGACCCCCGAACCCCGAAACCCAGCAGTCCACAATTTCAGGGTTCGGGGGTTGGTAAAATGTGTATGGATATATGAAAGGTTGATTTAAACATTTTTGAAAGATGTCTCATATCAAATGTCAAGTCCTGAGTTTTGTATATCCATAGACATTTTACCAACCCCCGAACCCCAAAATTGTGGACTGCCGGGTCTTGGGGGTCGGCACTCAGGACTTGGGAAATTTGGGGAGATCAATAAAATTTGATCTACAATAAATTTGATTTACAAACTTTTGAAAGATCTGTGTCGTCTCACATATTGAGTCCTGAGTTCCGGGACCCCCGAACCCCGAAACCTGAGACCCGGCAGTCCATAATTTCGGGGTTCAGGGGCTGGTAAAATGTCTATGGATATACAAAAGGTTGATTCAAACATGTTTGAAAGATGTCTTACCCGGAACACGGGACTCGATTTTTGAGATGAAAGACATCTTTCAAACATGTTTGAATCAACCTTTCGTATATCCATAAACATTTTACCAACCCCCGAACCCTGAAATTGTGGACTGCTGGGTCTCGGGGGTCCCAGAACTCGGGACTCAATATGTGAGACAACACAGATATCTTTCAAAAGTTTGTAAATCAAATTTATTGTAGATCAAATTTTATTGATCTCCCCAAATTTCCCAAGTCCCAAGTGCCGACCCCCGACCCCTGAGACCCAGCAGTCCACAATTTTTGGGTTCGGGAGTTGGTAAAATCTCAGGGTTCGGGGTTCGGCACTGTGAAAATTTGACATTTATATTTTTGCGAGTGTTGTGCTTCTGGTGTCTGTGTGTAGAAATAGGATATATTGCACACCAGGGTTCAGGTGTGGGGTTTTCCCACTTCAGTACTCGATTATTGGTCAATGCCACACATGGTCGATTCATGTTTTCGTGCTTACGGGTTTAGATTTCGGTGGTTGATGGTAGGTATATGCACTCATAGTGTGCATGTATCCTACATGTTTGATTCACTGGTGGCTACATCAGCTGTATGTCTTGATGAAACGTATCTAGGCTCACCCATATATGTACCCATCTATGTACAATTCCCCCACGTCAGCCCACCCATCTATGTAATATCCCCCACGTCGGCCCACCCGTCTATGTAATACATCCTATGTTGGCGTCTATATAATTATACCCCACCTCGGCCCACCTGTCTATGTAATAAATATTTTATCACACCCTCGGCCCACCCGTCTAATTAATATCCCTTATGTTGGCCCACCCGTATATGTGATATTCCACCACCTCGGCCCACCTGTCTATGTAATAAATATTTTATTGCACCCTCGGCCCACCCGTATATGTAATACTCCCCATGTCGGCCCACCCGTATATGTAATATGCCCCACGTCAGCCCACCCGTTTATGTAATATTCCCCTACCCCGGCCCACCCGTATATGTAATACACCCCTGTTGGCCCACCCGTCTATATAACAATATTTGCCTTACATCTCTCTTCAGCCCAGCTGTCTATAATATCCTACTCTACATATTACCCAGATGGGCCCACCCATCTCCATGAATGATCATATTCCCCCGGCCCATCCGTCAACATCAAGGATATATATATCATTGGCATGCATGGGCCCACCCGTCTCCATCAGAAATAATATGTTACCCGGCCCATCCGTTGTCATCGAGGATATACACAACATGGGCCCATGGTCCGCTGGCCCATCTGATACGGGATATTATGTAGGTCGGGTGGCCCGTATAATACAGAATTTGTCACTGAAGGGGCTCCTTCCCAGTCGCTGTTGGGGGTGCTGGTGGGATCCAGCTGGTCACACAAGTCCCACTCATTTCTGAATGAGTCATACAGCCTGGTAGAGTTGCTGTAGTTCCCCCAAGTTCCCGGTACCTCAGCCTTCGTGAGGCGGATGCATAATAAAAAGCCCTCAAACTTGTCTTGAGGTTGCCATTTGAATACCGTGGCCGTACTGGACTTTCCAGGAAGACTGTGATTCTTCACTGCCCATTCCTGACTCTCACGCGATTGCCGTTGAGCAGGGGATTCTTTTTCCTCCTTCTTCCAATTTTCCTCGCGGCACCGCGTAAAGAAAGTCTTCCAATCTTCTCCCGACTTTTGGCCACTGAGTCGTTGAGGGGCCGGAAAGCGAGGATCCACTTGAGGAGCCTCAGGTGCGGTTCCCCATCCAAGGGCGGGCTGAGTTGCATTGGCATCCCACCCAAGGGCACTCCCGCTCTGAGTTCCATCATCCCGCTTACCCCACGCGTCATCATTCTGACCCCAGGTGTTGTTACTTACGCGCTGCACCTCAATTGCACGTGTGACAGCTTCTTTGGGCGGGTGATAATGACGCAGCTTCACGTCGAACACAGAGTTGTTCTGCTTGCAGTGAACCCAGACCGGGATTGAGAAGTGTTCGAATATAGGGAGCTGTAGCTCCCAAGGGCAATGAGAGGATGATATAAAGACGCTGGTGCGTGGAACTTTGGCCGATATATCTCCGACAAACGAACGCAATAATTCGTGAACCCATTCGGCTGGTATGGGGCATCTGGGGTTGTCGATTAGGAGAGCCATCCAAGGATGGTTCGACCTGTGATATAGACGGCTCATGATGTGCCATGAGCACGCAGCAGCAATTACTAGACATGCGTCAGTTACATTGAGATTGAAGATAGGGTTCACGTACGTAGGAATGCATTGCGCAATCTCAGTGTGACTTTCTTAGCGAGCTTCGCGTCTGAGTGAGACCTTAGGTACCCATATTGAGAGGGAGCGCGTGGAAGCACAGTGCCCCATGGAATTAGGAGTCCAGCTCCCAAAAGCTCCTGGCACCAGAGCAACTTCTGCTCTAGTTCGCGCCATTTTTCCTAATGTCGCGATGGAGGATGTGCTTCCCCTGGCTGTCGACCTCTGTGTAAAGGGAAAACATCGAGTGGTTCAGACACTCAAATATGGGACCATCAAAGTTAGGATTCAAGGGGACGAGAGGAAACCATGGACAAGCTGCATACGCCCAGCGAGTGGTGAGGGGTGAAGTGCTGTCGTCCGGAGATGAGTCATGATCGTCCCGGGGGTCCCAGACTGGCTCGTGAGGAATATTGTTGGGAAGGAAAGATGCGTTGAGGGAGGTATAGATCTTCTCCTCACGCACAAAGATGTTGAGTTTGGCGGTCATGACATTGATTGTAGACAGTATCACAGAGGTACAAACCAATGTGTTGAGAGCGAGGAAGAGTAAGCACTATCACAGAGGTACAAACCAATGTGTTAGAATGAGGAGTAGGAGTAGGACTATCACAAAGGTACAAATTGATGAGTTAGAGATGATGGAGAGAGGAAAGAAGACAGACAGACCGAGCTTAAGTACCAGACATGACAATAAAATTGTGTAATCATTCCACTAAACAGCTGTGGCCACCAAATATCGAACTTGGGGGTAACAATAGACCAAAAAAGCGGAGACTCCACAAAGCGTTGTGTCGGTTTCAAACCACTGTGGCCACCAAATGTCGAACTGCAGGGGTAACAATAGACAGGACAAGTGGAGAATCCACAAAGTGTTGTGTTGGTTTAGGAAATGACTCCCACAACAGTACAAACTGCTGTGTTAGTTTGCGAGGATGATACTACCACAACCGTACAAACAGTTGTAGTAGCAGACTATAGTAAAGGAGTAGCTTGAGACTTTGATGAAATTTCAGATGTGCGACAAATAGTTACAAATACAATTATGTCATCATTGTAATTGTCTTTGCTGATGTCATCACTGTACTTTGGTCGTGTATACAGAGTCTTATGTCATCATTCTAATCATTTTGGCATCAAGTCAGCGAAGACAATTACAATGATGACATAATTGTATTTGTAACTATTTGTCGCACATCTGAAATTTCATCAAAGTCTCAAGCTACTCCTTTACTATAGTCTGCTACTACAACTGTTTGTACGGTTGTGGTAGTATTATCCCCTTAAGTTTCCGAGCTTGATGGTTTGTACCATTGAGCTCATCGCCCCCCGATCTCTCCGAGCCCAATAGTTTGTACTATCAAGTTCATCCTAACATTGAGCGCTCCCCACTCCCCGCCCCCCGCCGCCTCATTTTAGGTGGGCGACTTGATCTCAAATTGGAATGCTGACATAATATTATTTGCAGCTGTTTGTCTCGTCATCTCAAATTTTGCCAAGGTTCGAAGTTACTCCTTTACTATAGTCTGCTACTACAACTGTTTTGTATGGTTGTGGTAGTATTATCCCCTTAAGTTTCCAAGCTCGATGGTTTTGTACCATCGAGATCATCGTTCCCCGATCTCTTCAAGTTCGATAGTTTGTACTATCAAGCTCACTCTCAATACGCTCTACATACAACTCAGTTCCAACGTTACTCCTTTGACAGATTCATAGCCGTTTGGATGGGCAAGCTCTGCTTGCGTGTCCACCCAGTCAACTTGATGCCCGACGATGCGGAGACATGTTCGGATTTGGATAATCCTTGAGAACACCCTCCGCTAGACCATACGTAGGTGCACACGTGAACGACCAATTGGTCACCCACTTAAGCGCAAGCCTGGGTAAAGAACAATATGGCCAATCGATTGATGTACACTTGGTTCTGTTAACTTCGAGCTCATTGTTCAACTCTATACTTTCGACTTTCGTCACTCTGAGCTCGACCATTTGTACTGCTGTTGAGCTCATCATCCATGGCCCAGGGAAGGGGTCATATATACACTGTGTAAGTATCACCCAGCACACCCATTAACTCACTGCTGAAGGGGTTATACACCGCATAGGTATCACCCAGCGCAATTCGACAAGTGCCCCGTAGGACACCATATCAAACACCACCTCTGTTTCCCCACGCTGCGATCCTCTGGATCATGCGGGTCCAGCCATATGCTCGTCTCAACTCCTCCACCATACATACAGCGGAGGGGGATAGCAACACAAATCACTCTCATTAGTGAGTACATTACTATCTACACATTGCAAGAAAATGACATCTTCCCCAGAATCTCGTCGTACCATCCAATGCTACGCAACCGCGACTTTCATCCACCTGAATTCCTCTTCCGAGATTGTCAATCTCTCGACTTGATGCTTGGTCAGACCAGCGAGCCACCCTTCGTTATACAAAACTTTAGGCAACCCATCGACTTATGCCCTGGAAGTTGTCAGATTCCCGGCTGCGCATATCCGCTTCATTGGTTTTGAGCCTTGAAGGGCGAAGATATCGTCGTCCACAAGTCTTTGGTGATCAACGATGTCATCTCCCGTTCTACCGCTTGGCGCCATATCATATTTTTGACATGAAGAACAGTTTCAATGTCATTTTCCACATCGCTTTCCTCCGAACTCATACCGCCTTCTCCCAACATCTTGATCAGTCGTTGAAGCCACCGCCAGGCTGGGAGGTCTTCTTCGTTTTCATCGGCTGTTTGTTTGACGAGATTGTCGACAACCACTACCCTACGACGATATTTCTGCAAAGTCTTCAGTACCAAAATTGTCTGGAGATTGCGGGCATACATTCCTCTGACGCATTGTTTGATGAGTCGCTTTCAGTGTTTCGTCCTTCTTCGTAATCAACCTTTTCTCCACCTCTACGGGGGTCTCCAATATACCTTTCGCTGTGACCTTGGGCTGTGCAGCTGTCCAGATCATATGCAAGCGCTTGTAACGGTTGTGAAGGATTTCCCTGAAATACACCTCTGACCTCTGGAATGGCCACTTCTCTTCATCACACCTTTTCTGTATTTCTTCGAGGAGCAAATCAACAATCTTACTATTCCAGGGGGTTTTGGATCCATTTTTGAGATCAAAGGCAAGATTTTTTAGATCAGGACCTGGACCATCTTCATATTCATATGAGAAGACATCCTCGCGACTCGCTGCCTCATGGACTATGAAATCGGTATCTTGAGCGATCTTGAAAACATCTTTGAACAAACGCCGCACTTCTCCCTACTTCAATGTAAGTGGAATCAAACTCAATACTATGCTGCGGCTTACCAGAAGAAAATCTCTTTCGCAGCTCAGTTCAGCAGCCTTCTCTCGCCGAATTTCTTCATCCTCTATCTTTTTCTTCCGGGGACTGCGTTTTTTGACGAGCGGGAACTCTTTCTCGATGAGAATGCGTTTCAGTGCAGCCTCCACACCTCTTGCAATCGCATCTTCCATACTGGCACTAGGTGAGGTGTCATGTTGTTGACGTGGTGCATCTTGCTCGAATGATCGTTCTTGATGGATTTCCTGTGTGTCTGCCTAGTATTATGAGTTTACATCACATCCAACAATACACCAGACACTCACCTCCACAGGTACTGATACAAGGCGAGTCCTGCGCGATATTCCACGAATTCTCTTTAACTTCTTGATGGTATCAAGGCATGGGGTACCTGACAATGGCTTTGCAGATGGACAGGGGCTGTCATCCATTTCTGTATCCCTATCCTGTAATCTGTAACTCCTGGAAAACTGCTGTTCCATGTTGGCCAGCTCGCTTTCTTTTTCCGCCTGGGGCATTTTCAGCATGCTCATCAGCCATGAATCAATATCCTCACCCTCAATTTATCAACTTCGGACTTCAGCCTCTGCTCCATCTCGCCGAATCTCGCATGCTCACGTTCTAGAAACTACATAGTTGTCATCAACCACTTTTCATGTCAAGTTATTCACCTTACCTCTTCTTCTTTCTTTCTGTTTAACTCTTCTTCACACTGAGCTAGTTCTTGCTCAAAGCGTTTGCGACTATCCTCTAGAATTTTCTGCATGCTGGTTTCTACCACCTCGCGATTCGCGTGGCCGACCGCTTCACGACTTCTTCTCATATAATCTTCAAGCTGTTGGTGCTGCTCGACACGGCTAGCCTTTCACTGTCATCAACGGGTGTCTGCCGTTTGAACGTCCAAATGATTTACCTTGAATTCTTTGGTGAGTTGCGCTTCCCGCTCTCTCAGAGCTACTTCCCACTGTTTTCTGATATCTTCCATGCTAGACATATGTGCTTGTTGTAGGTTTTGAGCTTCCTATACGGCCATGAGCCAGATATCCGTAATGTCTAGTGAGCTTACTACGAACCCTTTCCATCTCACGCCTCATGTGGTTGATCTGTTCCATTTGACTGTACACCATTTCATGCAGTTCTGCTGAGTAATCTACTTCCTTGATACGACACTTGTCTGATACCTGGACAGACACTAAGCTCAACATTAACCTTATACACCCAGACATACCCTCTTGAACCTTTCCTCCTTATCAAACCCAGTTGGGGGCTGTCCTGTGGCATCATCTAGGTCCATCCATGATGCCTCCCTCTTGTCCATCTGAATCATCCTTGCTAGACTGAAGTCCATATGATTTGCAGTTTGAAACGCAGCAGCATTTTCCATATCGTCTTCCATGTCATCATCAAACAAGTTCACATCATGGGATGTTGGATGTCTTCCTGCTCAAGCCGTGACATGTTAATAGGGTTATTGAGTAAGAGGAGTGTAGCGTCAACGTTAGTTTCTGAGCTCCACATGCATTATCCCACTTATATGTAACCCCAACAATCAAATTGTGATATCATTGCATCCGCTTTTTGGGTGTTCTGTATTGTGAACGACATTGCACGATTCTCACTTTTGAGGCTAGGCTGCGGATGTTCGGGGGCAATAGTGCCATTTTTTACAAACAAAAAAGTCAGTTCACAAAGTCTTAAGTCGATCAGGTGGGCTTACGATACTCTGCTAGATTTATTGTCCGTGGTTGCTTCATTCCATGAAACAAATAAAGATGACGAATTCAGTTTGTAGAATGCTCCGTGCAGAGTGTGCTCGGTTTGGGGTTAGTAAAATACTATAAGATCACCGCTCTCATCGCCCACTCTCATCGCCCACTCTTATCTCTCCAGTTATCTTCAGCGCTGGTCGCATACAGCTAATTTCATTGGTCATTCCTTCATTCCTTTATCACAATGGTCAACACTTGCACGTATATCTTACCCACATCGTCGGCAAGTTATCTTGATTTTCTCCTGGTCTTTTGCTTACAGCTTAATCAGACTCTTGAATTCCATGTGTGGTGTAGGCTATATTCTGCATTGTGGAGCAGACCTCGCCAGGTTACCATGCTTACATGATGTTCTGATCGCTCGCACAATGCGAAGCGCTTTCCCATTCCCGAGAGCCTCTTAAATGACGCTACTGTACAACCTTACGTACACAACTGTCTTGTCACCCTTCATGAAGGGAGACACATCTATCAATTCTGTATTTTTTTCAAGCGGCATTGTCATCTGAGAATCAACACCCTTCTCAGCAGCGATGACAATGTATTTCAAGGTGATGCAGCTATTACTAGGGTTGGCACAAGCGCCGGCTCTGTTGTAAACATGCGAGGAAAGGACAATGCGCTAGCCAACTTTATCATGCACAAGTGAGTAGTATACAGTGATATTCAGTCCCCCGCTGATTTAGAATCTATCAGCTTTATATGAAGCATTCGATATCATGGAAAACTGCCACGCACTCTCACGCTCGTGAAGCCCTTGAGCGCTCGCATCAATCATCGGCTGGCTGACAGGTTCATAGTTTGATGCTACTAGGCTAGACCGGCAGCTGATAATGTTGAGTAAATTTCTAGTTATTAAATTGCATAAGATGAATTTCTTGAGTCACCAAATTGAGTACCGAATATTGGTACGGTACGGTATATAGTATAGATTCAGATTTAGTCAAAATTAAGTACTGAATATCGCTACAAGTCCAAGGTTGACTAGTCACGACAATACAAATCGTCGTGCCCCAGAAGCTGAAATATGTAATGGGAGGATTCAGATCTGGAATCGAACATGTCAGAACTCTATTTATATAACCCGTATTACGGCCGTACAGATAGATAGGACACTTCATGGTAACCAAATAAGGAAATAATTTGAGTTGGTCGCAAATACCTGTCAATAGACACTTAAAAAACTTAAATGACTCCTAATATACCGCGCACTTTGTCAACTCCCACACCCACCATCACTCAGCGGTTTGTACAGCTGGAGGATGGTGTCTCAGGCGATGTCACTCTATGTCACTTTACAACGACTATTCACTGAGCAGTTTGTACTGCTAGGACAACGCTACCTTTCTCCCTCACTGCATCGCCAAGCCATTTGTACTGCTGGGATGCTACCTTTCCCCCTCTACTGCCGTTTGTACTAGGACGACACTATCTTTTGTCTTCACTGCACAATAACAATGGCATCTTGTGTTACCGAGCCGTTTGTACTGCTAGGACGCTACCTCATTGCATCCTTTACGGACCCATCAAAATACCTTTGTCAGCGTAGCCAGCGACAAATCCGTCGTGCACAGTTTATTCGAACATCATGATGCACGTAAACGTAAACTAAGTAAATCGTTACAAGCTCACTTCGACTTTAGTTCGCTTTGATGGAGCAGGTGTAACATCATTCTTCCCCTCCTTCCCATCACCCAACCTCTTGGCCTTCTTCAACAACTCATCAGAGTCCTCTTCGTCCGCAAGGGCATTGATGTGCTTGTCGAACAATAAGACCACTTCGTCAAACTCGATCTTCATCTTCTTCTCACTCATAAGGTCATACCACTCCTCTGCTAGAGGAACGAGCTTTTGAAAATAGGGGGTGAATTGTTCTGCGATGCACGGTTTCATCGAATCTCCCAGGAAAAAATAGTGCTTCGCTTCAGCTTTTTGAGTGACTTCTCCCGGCGTACCATGCCATCGCTCTGGTAGCCACATCTCCATTTTGTCAGGATCATGGTCCATGACATCCTCAAGGCAGCGCTCTTCACCCATAGGTCCCTTGAACATTATGCAAATCCAGGCGAAAACATAAAACATCGATTCAAGGTTGTCGTGGTATGTATGCTTGATTTTGGGCATCTTTTGGGGAGTCGAGTGGTCCATGGCTAGCTTGAGCTCTTTTACCAACTTCATACCCTGCGAGTATTGATAATTTAGCTTGCCCATTGCCCTAAGGGCGCTGACAGACATGAAGGGTATGGTTCCCTGAAAAATTAGTCATTCATTGCTCACTGAACAAATAAGGCGCCTACTGTTCCACCAGCAGAATACATATCGTCTGATGTGATGTGTGCCACGAATTCCCAGTCTATTAGCGCTCCTCGACTGCCACATTCAGTATCTTCTATCATGGAGTTATTTAGACTGCAGTCTCTGTGCAAAACCTGGTGCTCTTCAACTGCACGCTTTTGAACTGTGGCGGTGCAATCAGATGTACTAACTAATACGACAGAGGCTCACTTACTTAGCACAATATCACGTAACACTTTGACGAGCTCTTTTCTAGTGCGAAACTCGTGTAAAGGACGAGCCCGTGGTTTCAAGACGAGATGGACGTCTGTGCGATAGACACCTTGGGTGCTATTATAGATCTTCTGGCGATACATTTGTGTATCATCGACTTTGCCCAGCTCTACCTCCACAAGACAGTGTTCCACGTATTGGGGAACACCAGGGATATTCTTCAGAGCTTTCAGCATCTCCACCTCATTCAACACTACACTCTTGTCGCCTTTCACCCAATGATCCTTAATAATAAACTCCTCGCCATCTCTCCGAGCCAGGTAGCAAATGGTTCCGCGGCCTACAAGTCCTTGATTGCAGAAGATCACCTTCAACAAGTTGTATACATTTTCATTGACGGCGATCTGTCCTATCACATCGTCAACCTCAGCGTCTGTATTCTTGAGATCTGGCGAATCAACAAGGGGAGTGCAGTCTGCCTCAGGCTCATCTGCGAACTTGTTGGGAGATGGAAGATGGTCGGGAAGCGAATGAAACTTTGTCTGTGTGTCCAGTGTGTGAGATTGTGTCAGCACTATCTGCGCATCTAGTGAAGATAGCTTGCAGGGCTTCAGGTGGGCGGCTCAATTTCTTTGCTTGGGAAGACCTTTGATGTTTCAGGCCCAAAATGCCCCAGACAACAAGCTCGTCATCTTTGGGTTGATCATGACCGTGAGGTCAAATCCAATGCAGTCACGTCGACCAAAAATGATGCATGCCATGACGTATTTGAAAGCATCGGGATTCTCATGTATATTGATTTCTGGGGTCACGATGCCGCCCGAATGGTCATGTACATGTACATGGAGTTCATGGTAATTATTGGTGAAGGAAAGAGATAGTACGAAACACCTCCACGGTTGCTCTCTGAAAATGAGCCATGCCTTTGTATCAAGTGTCTTTCCGGCAGGTATTGAAGGGGTGTACGAGGTTGTGGTGAGCTCGGCAACTACCAGTATAGTGTTCCAACGTAACTCCGTGTGCTCAGATAAGCAGACATCGGGTTTTCATTGAACATGCTCACTTTCAACAGGCACGGTAGAACTCGAACTGTACCATAGTGGAGGAAACGTGCCTAACGAAGGAAATGATCGGAGGAGGGCTTCAGTGAGGCTGTTGAGGAAGAATGGGAATGTCTTCTCGATGGCCTCGCCCTTCCTAGGAAGCGCTAAGGGCCATTGTTTCGTGGTAGTGTCGTAGAGCGGCTTGTTGGTTGAATCTACGAGGGTATCTGTTGTGGGCAAGTTTGTCGGGTCGAACAAATTGAAGATCAAAGGTAATAGATGTCCCATATCATTGGCATCTCCTTCACGGCGGGTTTCTTGGGTGATCAGGCGATTGAGCTCACAAGATGTCAGTTTGTCCATGGAGGAGATGTCGGATTGGATGACACCCAGTGGGTGTAACAAGGCAATTTTTAGCCTGAGTTCAGATGAGAGAAAATGCTTTGACATGGCGGTTGCTGAAACATCGCTGTTCTCAAAGCCGCCTAACAAGGCTACTGCTATCACAGGAAGATAATAGGAAGATAATATTAGCATATCTGAATGCAGCATGTTTGACCCAAACGTATAACTTGGATATTACTGTTCAGAAGATCACTCGGGCTTGCATCCCATGTTTGAAATAAGGTAGTAAATGACTATATGGAAGTACTGCAAGTACTGCAGAGAGTGAAGCAACATGCAGTGACTGGGAGTATATATGTAATTGTCAATTTGAAAATTTCACACCTTCACTTGTCGGTCTTTAAATAACATGTGATATACCCACGGGATAATTAGACCAAGACAAAAGTGTGTACCTAACCAGCTCAGGGCTTTGTGATCATAAACATGGTAATGATAAGGGGATTCATCTAAGTTATGGGTATAGTAGGAATGAATGAATCAACTTTTCTGTAGGAGTCAATGTATTAGGGTCGACTTTTGGAGTAGAATGTACTGACCTTGGATGTATGTTTCTTACTCTTTCCCGTAACCATCCCTGCTTCTTTCTGCCTAGCACGACCCGATGTATATTTCAGGTGCATCATGATCATATCATTAACTGGCCAGAATTCGCTATAGTTTTCCAGATTGGGGAAAGCATCGACAGCCTAATAAACCATGAGGTCATGGATGGATAAACGAAGATCGAGTGTTTACTGACTTTGTCGCAGACAGTCTTCAGGAGGGTAGGACTTTGGGAGGAGGCACACTTTGTCGTATCGAGGTGCTCTTCGATGAGGTGATGCATAGAATTCTAGAGGTGTCGATAAATAAAAGGCATACATCAGTGGGAGTGTGTTACTAACCTTAAACTTGGTGTATGCCTTTGGACTCCAATCCAAAACCTCGTGGAGCGTGTATCCTCCATGCCCAGGACGACCGGGCTCACCAGCAGGCTTTGGAATCTTCGAGTCTTCTGATAAACTTGCAGCCGAAGTTGATGAGTCACTGTCTGATAGTGAATCAAAGGAGCCCGATGAATCTGAGGGAATGGGTGTCCGAGAACGAGAACGCTCGAGAGAGACTCTCTTCGGGTACGGTGAGGAAGGATGGGTATTCTTGGGTGGGCGTGCTGCAAGCTTGAACTCAGGTGCCAGCGTGTTCTTGGGCTGCAGATGCTCTCAGTACGAGGAGCAAGACAAAGGATGGTGCTAACCTTTGGCGGGAGAATCTCATCAGTAATGAACGTAGTTGAATGACGAGGACTGCCACGAGGACTGCCAAAAAGTTCGAGCTGGTCGGTAAGCATAGGCGGGAAGGGGGGTGGAGCACCAGGCTCTGGATCGTGAAAGGGAGAGACAGCTTTCAATGTGTTGCGCATGATCTGTCAGTCAGTAAGGTGGATCAAGCTGGCGATGTGAGCGGGTCAAGCTGGCGATATTAGTGGGTCAAGCTGGCGACGTGAGCGGCTGGATCTAGAGGATTTATGAGTTGACACATTAGGGCAACATTACGTTAAAACAATAAAGACCGGGATCAACAACACGAAGTTTCGAAGCAAATTACTATGAAAGTCGTAAAGATAGGTCGTAAAGATAAGTGTCGTAATTAGAATAAAAAAACGTCAAAAGACGAAGAATCAACAAAAAGCGAGGTTGTCTAGGAAAGGCTGACATGTCGCTCATAAAAGACGAATACAAACAGCCAGAAAGCACAAAGTCGCCATGGAATCACAAAAAAGCCCCCTAGTATAAAGATTGTTGAATTGAGCTAGTGAACTTGAAAACCTGACCTGAGCACACACCGATTAAGATCACCCCAGCGCGATGTATTTTTATTCCTGGTCTCTATTCAGGGAGTCAACCCAACACTTCCAACATCAAGCCCGCCTCACAACAAGCGGGTCTGTCCACGTGCTCGCAGTATCTAATGATGGCCAAGCTCTTGCATGCGGCGGTAAATCACATGCGTTCTAATTATCGGAGCGCTAACAAAATAAACAGGCACTGAGGGCATTAAAGTCTGGGATATCAAATCTCAGAAAGAACTCACATGCTCATCTCATAACTACGAGTCCCGAGGCACAGTCAGCTGCGCTGTCTGGATTACCACAAGACTGGCCATGACAGAAACCCTTTGCTATGGAACAGGGCTTGGTTACATCATGTTTTTGCGACGTAGCCCAGTGGATGTAAGGATATCCTGTTCATCATCAAGTTCTCGCCTAATGTCGAACAGATGCTTTTTCAGGAGACTTGCACCAGGAGGCTCGGATCGGGCTTCGAAATTACATGTCTGTCATGGGATATGTCCTCTGAAGGGAGTACTCGGATTGCAGTCGGGACAAGGGACAAGATAGTTCAGGTACTTGTTCTAAACACAAACTTGCATTTCGCGGTGCGACTAGACAACACTGTGCCAAAGTCTGTAGCATTTGCAGACGATGAAGGCGTTTATGTGTTTGGACTATATGACGGCAACTTCATCAAGCTGAAGGGGGATGACGGTGCAGTAGTGAAGGAATATAGTTGCCAATCGGTGATGTGAGGCTTCACTGCAAGCTGCTGAAGTATGACTGACACACTTCCTTCAGCGGACATGCGGCAGTCAACCAGAAGAGGGGTGTGTTCGTGGTAGACAACGCAACCGACGGGTTTACGTTGTACCGACTTGTCGGTGATGAGGAGCCGGTTCGAACTTTCATCACCGCTCCTCCCAGCATATCAGTCTCAAAGCAGGTGGCATTTGGTGCCGAAGGGAGGTTGGTGGTAGGTGGAAGTGACAATGGTTTAGTATATATATTCGAGAGGAAAACGGGGAAGTTACTGGAGACTCTTCATCACTCCAATGCCGGCCTGGTGCAGACGATAGCCGTAGGTGTTGACTTTATTCGGAGATGTGATGCTGATTGTATGTTCAGACACGTGATATTAACGGGCACTGCATAGTCGTCAGTGCATCACAAGCACTAAGGCATAAGGCTACAGTCAATTTATGGGTCTATGACTATGGCATGAAGAAGGAATCCATCACCTCAAAAGAATCCTGGTCTCTGTCGTGTGCACTAACGCGCATTTTCACAATCTTGATTCACGCAAGTGCCCTATTGGTGATCTTATGTTTCTTGATAAACTATGTGAACTATGTCAGTCACCATTAACTTAGCAATATAATTCACTAACTTACATCTCCAGGACACAATGGCGTTGCCAGCAGACCTTGCCCAGCGCATGAGACATACACGGGCATTCTTCGCTAATAATCTTGAAGCAAGTGTGGGCGAAGTACCGCATGCACAAGAAAAAGTGCACGAAAAGAGCGATATCCTGATGCTGCATGAATTGGCAGAAAGGCTTATAGAGGTCATTCGAGAGGCGGAAGGAGATGTAGGTGAAGAAAGCGCCATTGATGAAAAGGACGAGATCACTGCTGAAGCCGAGAGGGTATTTTATGAGACGCTGAGGGTATGATGTGTTGATATTAGGGAAGATAGTTCAGGGGGAAAGATGTTATTCTCATATAATGATAGACATACTGTAAACTTATGAAGAATTTGTGTTGCTATCCCCCTCCGCTGTATGTATGGTGGAGGAGTTGAGACGAGCATATGGCTGGACCCGCATGATCCAGAGGATCGCAGCGTGGGGAAACAGAGGTGGTGTTTGATATGGTGTCCTACGGGGCACTTGTCGAATTGCGCTGGGTGATACCTATGCGGTGTATAACCCCTTCAGCAGTGAGTTAATGGGTGTGCTGGGTGATACTTACACAGTGTATATATGACCCCTTCCCTGGGCCATGGATGATGAGCTCAACAGCAGTACAAATGGTCGAGCTCAGAGTGACGAAAGTCGAAAGTATAGAGTTGAACAATGAGCTCGAAGTTAACAGAACCAAGTGTACATCAATCGATTGGCCATATTGTTCTTTACCCAGGCTTGCGCTTAAGTGGGTGACCAATTGGTCGTTCACGTGTGCACCTACGTATGGTCTAGCGGAGGGTGTTCTCAAGGATTATCCAAATCCGAACATGTCTCCGCATCGTCGGGCATCAAGTTGACTGGGTGGACACGCAAGCAGAGCTTGCCCATCCAAACGGCTATGAATCTGTCAAAGGAGTAACGTTGGAACTGAGTTGTATGTAGAGCGTATTGAGAGTGAGCTTGATAGTACAAACTATCGAACTTGAAGAGATCGGGGAACGATGATCTCGATGGTACAAAACCATCGAGCTTGGAAACTTAAGGGGATAATACTACCACAACCATACAAAACAGTTGTAGTAGCAGACTATAGTAAAGGAGTAACTTCGAACCTTGGCAAAATTTGAGATGACGAGACAAACAGCTGCAAATAATATTATGTCAGCATTCCAATTTGAGATCAAGTCGCCCACCTAAAATGAGGCGGCGGGGGGCGGGGAGTGGGGAGCGCTCAATGTTAGGATGAACTTGATAGTACAAACTATTGGGCTCGGAGAGATCGGGGGGCGATGAGCTCAATGGTACAAACCATCAAGCTCGGAAACTTAAGGGGATAATACTACCACAACCGTACAAACAGTTGTAGTAGCAGACTATAGTAAAGGAGTAGCTTGAGACTTTGATGAAATTTCAGATGTGCGACAAATAGTTACAAATACAATTATGTCATCATTGTAATTGTCTTCGCTGATGTCATCACTGTAACTGTGGCCACTTTGGTCGTGTATACAGAGTCTTATGTCATCATTCTAATCATTTTGGCATCAAGTCCTCGCTTTCAACTTTGATCATAGATGAGCTCAACAGTTTGTACTGTCGAGATCATTGTTCCCTATCGAGCCTGATGGTTTGTACCATTGAGCTCATCGCCCCCCGATCTCTCCGAGCCCAATAGTTTGTACTATCAAGTTCATCCTAACATTGAGCGCTCCCCACTCCCCGCCCCCCGCCGCCTCATTTTAGGTGGGCGACTTGATCTCAAATTGGAATGCTGACATAATATTATTTGCAGCTGTTTGTCTCGTCATCTCAAATTTTGCCAAGGTTCGAAGTTACTCCTTTACTATAGTCTGCTACTACAACTGTTTTGTATGGTTGTGGTAGTATTATCCCCTTAAGTTTCCAAGCTCGATGGTTTTGTACCATCGAGATCATCGTTCCCCGATCTCTTCAAGTTCGATAGTTTGTACTATCAAGCTCACTCTCAATACGCTCTACATACAACTCAGTTCCAACGTTACTCCTTTGACAGATTCATAGCCGTTTGGATGGGCAAGCTCTGCTTGCGTGTCCACCCAGTCAACTTGATGCCCGACGATGCGGAGACATGTTCGGATTTGGATAATCCTTGAGAACACCCTCCGCTAGACCATACGTAGGTGCACACGTGAACGACCAATTGGTCACCCACTTAAGCGCAAGCCTGGGTAAAGAACAATATGGCCAATTGATTGATGTACACTTGGTTCTGTTAACTTCGAGCTCATTGTTCAACTCTATACTTTCAACTTTCGTCACTCTGAGCTCGATAGTTTGTACTGTCAAGCTTACCATTCCTCATTGACATTTGAAAATGTGGAATCTTCCCAATGATACGACCGGATTGCCCGACCACTTTGTTCACGGGCACTGGAATTCCGTTGCGATTGTCTCATCAGATCTAGATCACGGTATGTATTGTTCCATTGTTCCTTGTCATGCATCCGAATAGTGACCATATAGGCAATCACCTTGTACTTCATCATTGGCAATTGTCTCCGATGCCCTTGTTTGTGAGTTGCTCCATTCTTCCCTTGTTTTTTTTTTCATTCAAGTCCCGCTATACCAGGATCTACTTCCAATCACCCAGCCACCAACCTCCCTCAATTCTCAATGCCCGTAGCCCGTAGCCCGTGCAACGCTCAAACGATGTCTTTGCGAGGAGTGCATTGAGAAAGGCGGATATGACGAGAAAGACGCACCAAAAGGAGTGCTCATGGCCAAACGTTCAATTGTGTCTCATATCTTGCGTGTAAAAATGGACCGTGCCGCAGGTAACAGTGTGATTATTGACGTAGATTTTTCTGCCACTGACCTTTCCGCATGCACCATCACAGACAACACGTCATCAGTCGCCGTCATCGCCAATGATCTTCGTCGCTTGACCCTTGCTATGGATATACCGGTCAATATTTCTTCGAGCTCGACAGTTTGTACTGTTGAGCTCAAACCTGATGCAGTACCTGTCTCGAAAAAGGGATGCAATCGACGCACCATGAAGGCGTTAGTTGTCCTTGATAACATCAAGTCCCGGATCCAGCAATGCTTTCACTTGTTGCTGCATTCTTGTCGCATTGATCACGTTGGTCGCGAGCTACATTTACTTCGTAAAGCTATGCAAAACATCACTCGGCAGACCGATATCATAATTGCATGAAAGAAGGCGATCGGATCCCAGATAGACATATTGGCAACCCAGTTCAGCAGTTACGGGCCATCCGATGATACACCCATCGAGATCAATACCGGTAAGCAAGCGTGCAGATCATCATGACAGTTCTTTGCTTATCGTTCAGTAGATACCCTTCCGCAAGATCCAGTGAACGAGTTAGATGAAATCATTCAAATCGTTCTCTTCCTTGGCGTCACATGCAGAGTTATCATAGGGGTCAGCAGGAGTAGTTGTGATCTAATTATGAAGATCATTTCCATCATACTATTTCTTGCATTCCGGAGGCCAGATAATGGCCTCAACTCCTCCCACACAAATATCCTAAAGCAGATCCCAATGACCTCAGAAAGTGCCGAGGCCAGATTCCATCTCAAGGGAAAGACTGTCCTGTATGCTGTCTGCAGTTGCCATTGCACCTATCCACCAACTTATGCACCAGGCTCGACGACTCCAGTATATCCTGAATGGTGCACTCATTGTCCTATGCTCAAGTACGCTGACAGGAGAATTATTGTTTGCTGTACAGCGACATATCCCACTAGATCACCATATCATTGATCCCTTCTCAATGTACCCTGATTTTCCGGCAAAATTGTACTCGACGGACTTCAAAACCCGCCTTGAAAATGCCAAGGTGTCATGGGTCGTTAGTCACTTTGCGCGATGGAGGGTTTCTGACCGTCACACTGTGATCCTATCCTTATCTCGCGACTGAAACTACCTAGCCAACACTACTATCAATATCTATAACTCTCCTGACTCAACTTGCATTGTTATAGCTTTCAATATAAATATATTTATTTAATCTCTTGTGTTTTTGCAGGCGGGTGAGCGGGCGATGATTGGGCGATATATTTAATCTGAAGACAAAACTTGAAGTTTTGTCATCGCATTTTGTTGCCGCCATGAACTTGATATTTTCGGCAGGGTCTAATTGTTTGATACAACTTAACATAGTGACCATGGACCAAACTTCAAGTAATTGTCCCAAGTTGAATGTCATAATAAAACTTTAAATTCAAGCACACGCTCAAAATCTGACAATATTTCTTATTTTCGGTGACATATGGTCAGTGCAAAAATAGCTGCCAAAACTTTATATTTTGAATTTTGCACAAAACACTGACAAAATTTGAAGTTATGTGCCCATATATATGTTAGTTTAAATTTCAAAAATGTTCTTTGCATTCTGGATAACATTAAAACCTGTCTTAAATATTTCTAACCCTGCTGTGACATCGGGTCCGATGCGTGGGAAATGTCAGGTCCATCGGATTAGCATCGGGTTTCATCGGATTAGCATTGGATTAGTGGATTAGCATCAGGTTTAGCGGATAACATCGGATTGAGCAGATGAGTGTCGGATAACATCAGGAAGTGATTCGAGTGTTTGACATGTATTGGAAAATAGCTGAATATGAGCCTAGCGCAAGCTCGAGTGCTACAACGTGGAGCAGAGTACTGGGATCGTGGTGAACAAGAGCAGCGCCTTGTTGCAGCTTTTGATAAATGGGCTGAAAAAGGTGTGTGGTCAGCAGCGGCTCAGAAGGTAAGTCTGCCTGCTTCATTAGGAGTGGAAATGGAGTCTCACAGCATCATATTCTGCTAGGTACATCAAGAACAACTTGAACACGTCTGAAAAGGGTGTCTCGAGCGCTCAGATCCACCTAAGTGACACCATCAAACATTATTATTAGTAATGATGTCAGGTACCTGACCTCGTTACTAAGTAGTAAGCCCTAGTAATAATCCTCTATACCACCAAATAAACCAGCAGTTCAGCAGTCCCTTGTGCGCCCTCGTCAACACTACCAAATATAGCTGCAGTGCAAAAGGCACGTGCTTCCAGCCTTCCCCGGATATCGGAGGTAATTCTCTGCCACATAATGCCGAACGTTGACTCACCGTTGTCACTGTTAGCGCACTCATCATTGTCTATGGTGAGCTCGCTATTCCCCTCATTCTTGCTCCAATTTCTCGCTTTTTTCACACTTCTCATTCACTATCACGCATGTAGTCCTCAAGGAGTGTATAGTTTATTGTATCTGATGTAAGCCTCTTAGTTCCCTCATACCTCGTTGTTGACTGCAAGTTCAACCACCATGTCTCAATGCAAATGCAAACACCTCTCTACTACAATGTCCATCAAAGAAACGTACGTTCTCCCCACAGGCTCTCTACGCACCACAAAGGCGAGTCTCACTCAGATACGAAAGGATCGTCTGGCCTTTGAAGAACAGCAGCGAGCCAATGCACAATGTGAGTCCTTGTGCCCTCTACCCTAGCTTTAGGCATTGAATGTTAAAATATGTAGTTCTAACTGCAGAAACACGCCAACTTATTTCTGAAGCTGCTATCAATGCCCGAAAAGCGGTGGTAGATGATCCTGGATTTTTGGCTGACATGGACGCCAATGACGCTGGTGAGAGTGGTTATGGGAGTGAAGCCAATGCTCCTCCTGAAGACTTAGATGTCGATGTGGATGATGGTGATGCGAGCACCTTCCAACTTATCCAATGATGAGTACTTCGACGCATCATTAGATTTGTTTTACAATTTTTGCTAGTATTCAAGGTCGCCGTCATTATCGACCGCGAGCTCCACGGTCACGTCTCCTTTGTAATCGCCAGATGCATGAAGCATGGTCCCAGCAAATGACAGACTTAGTGGATGCATATCTCACCTGGAAGAATGGTGCAGCACCTCCAGACGAAGCTTCAAGCACACCACACGGCAATGACAGCTCACATTTTCAGGTCATGACTGTAACCCTCTCAAGTAAGTACATTTTGAAATTATGATATACACTAACCTGTGGTTGGATGCAGAACTCGATATTTCACGCTCGTTCCACCAGCGCCTGAATGAGGGAGCCAACGTCTCTCTCATCAGGCAGGGATTTATTGGTTGCTCTCCTCTCCAGCCAACGGTTGCCATCTCGCTTGATTGCCTGGAGGTTTATCATCAAATACGACGTCACAAGGCATCATTCAGTGTACAGGCAATGGTTAAGGTCATTTGTGCCCTCCACAATGTATGTCTTAGCTTCTTCTGCGTGTGATTCATTTCTGAACATTCTTAGTATACATATTTTCAGACATTTCGCGATCAGTTTGCTGTAGTGTTTGATGCCTATCTGAGGATCTTGTCGCTTGTCCAGAGTCATGTTGATCGTGCTCTTGGTCGTGATATTGCTAACTGGCGTATGCTCAATTCTTGCCCAGCGTGTCATTTCAAGGTATGTCCATTTGTTTGTTAGCATACTCTGAGTACTGAATAATCAACCGTCATAGCAACTGCATGAACCTGCACTAGACCCTGTGTACCTGGGGAGTATGGATGGCAACAATTTATTAAAATGTGTCGACGGTTCAGGGCATGCTGATGAACGTAAATTCGAATCTTTATATCTCGTACCGCCGGAGGAAGTTGAAAAATTCAAAGATGATGTTCGGTTGCGGCCAGGTACACGCATAGGTCCCGATCCCACCCCAACTGCTACCTCTGATGAGTCAAAGTGCACGGAAAACTGGAAGACAGCTAACACAATCTCTGAGAACACGGTAAAAGTCTTTGACCAGACTGGCATATTCATCAGCGCTTGCCGTCATGGCTTACTGCAGACCTTGGTTGAAATGCGAAAAAGCAGAGAACTGTAAGTTCTTTCATCTACTTAATATAATTTGGAGCTAACTATATTCATCTCAGTGCTAAATATGCTCTTGCGACTACCAACAAGATTCTGGATGTCTACGGACCCCACAGTGCAACAGGCTATGACATTGGGTGCTCGTACAGTACGACAGTAGCGAGGAGCTCGATATCTGCCAAGGCAGCATCTCTTCAGCATCGTTTTTTGGTGAACTCATTTCACGGCCATGCACATAATCGCCGCTGTCAATTAGAGTTTCATCCTTTGTACCAGAAAGGACTTGGCCTTGAAGATCTTGAAACCTGTGAGCGCATCTTCTCTGCTTCGAATGCTGTTTCTCCCGTTATTCGTCATGCTGCATATTTCCACTGGCTTCAATTCATAGATCTCCACTTCGATCAGTGGGACCGAGACAAATACCTCGAGCTAAGTCAGTTCTTTTCTGTGACGTAGACCACTTGAAATTCTGATTCGCTCATTTAGGTAAATTTTTATGTGACAATTACAAGCAAGCACTTCACATTATTGATGAATTCACACTGACTGTGGAAGAGCTCAAGACTCAGCTCGGGATTTCAGATGCAGAGTTCGAGCATTGGAATGCAGAGGAGGCCGAGTACCTTGAGAACCTGAAGAGAGAACCAGACTTCGACATTCAAAGTACCGCATACGTTGAGGCACTTCAGGCATTGTCGGTTGCTGAGTAGGTTTTTTTTTTGCATAATTTCACAACTCAAAACATCTTAGGGCCATGTATGGCCGCATAACATCAGTTCAATTTCTCATGTTCACGCCAGCCGATTTCACACAGTACGAAGGCCTTCACAAAGGGCCACAGGGCGCTGCGAGAGCTGCAGAAGCTGAGTGAAATGCAGCATACAAAAGATTGGTCTTGGAAATAAATACAGTAGATGACCTGGAACGGTGCATGGGCATTGTGGAGTGCTGGATGTCAGAACATGAGGAGTATAAACGAGCGTTGGAATATCTGAACAACCGACACTTCATTCGAGTTGTTGAACAGCTTGAAGGCTTAGTTGTACAGCGGTTGTTTGAGCTGGCAAAGTCCAATCTTGCAGGCACAGGTAAATGATTCTCTTGACTTGCTACGCTATTCTGATTATTTACATCAGGTTACAAACTATGCCAGCATATCTCGAATGCAATAATGAGGCATTCATCTGCAATTCGCACTGCACTAGACAAATATAATCAGCTCGCTCTGCTTCAGCATCCGCCATGTCCGACCCTCGAGTACAGTGAGGTTGCGTCCTATGGTTGGTTGGGAGAGTTTGAGCTCCTCAAGCACTCTCGCCATGACTTACTTTCAAAACCATGGGCTTTGAAGGCAAACCGAGAAGTTGCTAGCAAGCACTTCAAAGTTGTAAGGGCTCATGAGGAGATAACTTGTCTCAACTTCGAGATTGCGTGGCTCCATGCATGGATCGATCAAGAGGATGCTCATCTTTCATCAGTTGCCGCCTCACTTCTCGCATCCAATCCACTACTCAGTCGAGAAGTTCAACATCGATATGAAGAACGCCATCGGGTGAACAATGTTCACCGTGCAAGACTACAAGTCATTTATGACCTACCAGGTTACAGTGGGTCAATTCGCACAGTTGATGAAAGCAGCATTGTTTTGGGGCTTGGGGATCTTGACAGCAGTCTGACTATTTTTGTTGATGAGGATGATACATTATATGACGAAGCAAACCGTCTAGAGACATGTATGGCTGATTAGAAATAGTTACAATGTGATGTGATTATGTAGCAATTCAATTGATGGTGCAAGCAAATTCATAGCAATCGTGTGATACTGCCGCTTTCAAGTTGAAATGATGTCATGCAGTTGATTTTGCATTTTGCATAATATTACAGGTCGAAATACAGTTACACATTGCTTCTGATCATCCCACTGCACGGGTAGACAATTCACCAAGCCCGAGAATTGGCATTGTCACCACACGAATGATGGATGTCGAGCCAGAGAAGGAGCACTGGCGAAGTATCGCAAAGGAGTGGTATGCTCAATTTGGGCCTTGTGGATACCAAGCGTCAAACCATCTTCTGATCATCCCACCGCACAGGTATACAATTCACCAAGCCCGAGCATTGGCGTTGTCACCACGCAAATGATGGATGTCAAGCCAGAGAAGGAGCGCTGGCGAAGTATTGCAAAGGAGTGGTATGCTCAAGACCTTGCGGATACCAAGCGTCAAATCATCTTCTGATCATCCTACTGCGCAGGTAGACAATTCACTGAGCCTGAGCATTGGTATTGTCACCATGCGAATGACGGATGTCGAGCCAGAGAAGGAGCGCTGGCGAAGTATTGCAAAGGAGTGGTATGCTCAAGGCCTTGCGGATACCTCTGGTATATTAAACTCCTATATGGTACGTACTTACTCTTTACTATAAATGTAAACCGAATCATTAATCACCTAACATTTCTCTTCCAAAACTCCCATCTATCATGGCTCCCCCACTCGATATCTGCGCTCAACTCAACTCATCATTGGGGGCCGGTAATCCTTTCACACAACTGTCCTGGCTTGATCTCGCAGAGACAGGCAGTACAACAGCAGTAAGTTAGACTGGTATACTTGAACTTGCTGTCTATACTCATGATTTGATTTCAGAGTTCAATTTTTATTGCATTCAGAGCACGCTATCGGTTCACTTCCTGGGCCGCTGTCCATCAAAATAAGCCCACTCAACTTGTTGACATTTTTCAATCCCCATGCCTGCGAGAGGACAACAAGCGCAGTTTTCTTGATTCCAACATTTCTCAGGCGATACAGCTCATGTCCGACATTTTCACCGGCGAAGTAGCAGCTAAAGTATCGCAAAAAGCTTTCATGGATTCAAAGTGGAATAAGGTTACTCCACCTTCGGTGCAGGTGCAAAAACGGAAGAAAAAAAGTGAGTCTTTTCCAATTATCCACATGATGCGCTATTACTCATGTATCTGTCCAGGAAAAAATATCTTTCAGTGTGGTAGTCATGCATCACTCGAATTTCCGCCTTCAAAACCCAGAGCTCCACAACCTCAAGATTTTGGTCTAGCACCACACACACGCCCTCCACCAGCTCAAGAGTTTATTGTGGTACCACGAACACGCTGTGACGCTTGGACCCGCATTGGACGGGAACGAGTGTCTTTTGATACTCATATCAAGGTCTATAGAAACTCGCTGGATCCATGTCATTCCAGTCCTACTCTAGTTCCTTCAGCCGATAGCCAACTGGCATACACCCGCACTTGGATCTGTCCTCCATCCATGTCCTTTCCGTGTCCACCTATCTCCATTGGTGCGTGTTCATTTTCTCTCGGGTTGACTAAACGCTATCAAGGGTTATTACATGTAACCGCGTATTCCGTTCCGCGCTCTCTCTCTTTACATATTACTTATCTACCTCGTTTCATCGCTACAGTTCTCGCCTACGGGTTCCAAACGCTCACACAGTAGGATAAAGTCTCGCGCGCTACATACAGTACAGTACTTCCCTTCCCTTGGACGCGACCTTTGTTTTGCGGAGTCACTTAGACGTTCCTAGTATCATTTGATCAATTTACAAGCTTTGTTCACTTCTCACTTCGAACCCGTGTGTTCTTGACCGCTCCAAGAATGCGCCTCTAAGTTTTCCTTACCTAGGCTCTGCGCAGATCCAAACCGCTCTCGGTTTCTGACTTAGCACTTTTCATACCTAGTTATACCTCGGCCTCAAACCTTGTTTATACCTAGCCGCTACTTGCGGAACCGCGCTTTACCTAGAAACCCACCGCTCTTTACCTAGGATCCTCTCGCTTTCGTTCATTTCTCATTGCGCACTTACCGGACCCGCGGTCTCACTTTCGCTCTTACCAGTGGACTCGCTTTTCCAAGGTTGACTTAGTTCTATTCCGTTCCGCATTTGCTCCCTTCGCATATTACTTGAAGGAAGTGCTTCATAGCAATCCTCTTGGGTCGAGACAGCACGCCCGCACTCAGTTGGATTTATTGGTGCTCTAGCTTTCTTGCTGGCCAGTCACCATTACTTCTTCACAACGCCCTCCTCGAACTCGTGAGCCTCTACCACGTGCAAACACTCACACAATTCATAATGCTGTGCCACAAGCACACCTTCGTTGTCAGTTGCCTGGTCAGTCAGTGCTGAGTGAAGACTCAATCTCAACTGTCTCAGATCTTTCTAGCGCTAGTTGCTCTTCGGGTAAGACATTGTTGTTCTTCAGTTTATTCAGATCAACTCATTAATATTTCAGATATAGCTACTACCACTAGCCATTCTCGCTCGGTGGCGTCAAGTAACATTACTCAGCGTCGACAACTGCCCTCAGTGCGGCTGAGGAATGTCATGGTATCTATTTGTCCAGTCGCCTCATTTTCATATAGCTGATGAGAATTTTTGATAGGCTCCTGGTGCCGATACCACTCCAGCCTCAGAACCAAACAATGTGGCTCATACTGAACGTGTGACCACAAGTATTGTTCATGTTATCCCTCTCACCGCAACATCTGTGATGCAGCCTGCTCCTGATCTCTTTGTCACAAGACTTGCAGCCCTTGGGTATGATATTAATGGGCCACCGTCTTATGCTATTGCTACTGGTCAGGCTCAATCGCATGTTCATGTTGTGACACACCGGGAGGTGATTGACAACTAAGCTTTTGACACTTAAGTTAGAGTTAGAATCTAGACTTTTGTAGTTGTTTGTATATTTGCACTGTTATATAGGAACCGGTCTTGCAATGACAGTGCTTTGTTGAATTGATGGAAAAAAATGTTCATTAAAAGGTGTCTACTGTAAGGTGTTTATACTTTGTGCTACCCTCCATCATGGTCATCCAGGTCACAAAAAAAATCAAGCATAGTCGGCCTAAACTGACTGCCGTGCAAAAAGCATCCCGTCGTGAAAAGGCTGTCAGCCTATCGAATGCAATCAATGATGCACGAGAAACCTACCAAGACGAGGCTGCTGTGATTGCTGATAAATGTAAACGGTGAGCACGTGTTCTTGTCAATGCTCTAATAACTTACCTCCTCGTGGTCACAGTATAGGAGTCTCAAATGGACGCGACTCCAGCTGAGCAATGGGGGCGGACTACACAAGCGCCAGAAACCAAACATGTGGAATGCATTCGTGAGGCAAAAGCTAAATGAAGCAAATAAAGGTATAAGTATTCATATATGTTTGAGGTTGCAATGACAATGCATCACACAGGACTCACAACAGGAGAGCGGTGGAAACTCCCCGCGTTCATAGCAGCCCATCATGCGGAGCTTATGGGGGGATATTGTCGGCTTTCGGAAGCTGCGAAAAATGCCCTTTGATGCGACATTAGTGTCTTTCGTGAGGGATGTGTCAAGATTGTGCGCTCGAATCCTAAGGCACTGCAAAAGCAAGTCAATGCAATGTTTAACTCTATGGAAAAAGAAGTAAGCACAGACACTATCGTTTTATGAAGTATGATACATTCCCCGGCATCAGTGGACAAATATCACCTCTCACACTGGAGTGGAGGGCTTCTATGTAGCTGTTCGTGGCGACGTCGAGCATTTCCATGAAGCGAAGATATTCTGCACACCTAAAGCACAATCATTTGTCAAAGAGGTCCTAAACTTAGATCCAAAACGTTTCGCACTGAAATTTGAGTCTTGGGTTACCGGAGACTTTGGTGCGTGGTCATAGGACATGACAAGACATGATACTTGATGTCGAACAGACAATCGTGCTGATGTGATGCAGCACCTTTCATCTACAAAGCTCATTAGTATGTGTCGGAAGAGTATCCAGGAGGGACTTGGTGAGTAGAATTACTATAGACAGGAAGAACATCACTGAATCAAAACAAGACGGAATTGTGCAGAAGCACAAGTTGTCGCAGAAGAAGATCAAAATGAATTATGATAACTATGAGCAAAAGATTGTGGAGACCTACGGGATAGAGCTGGAGGGCTGGACATACAAAATGTTGCAGAATCCAGGAAAGATCGGTCGACGAGAAGATCTAATGACGCTGCTCAATGCACTGGTGAATGAACAGTGTTGGTGGGTTCTACTCAACGAGGAGGACTTAGCCATGCGCAAAGAGAGTAACTGTCAGCGTGAGGAACAGGGCGAGGCAGTATACAAGCGCTGTAAGGTCACAAAGAAGACTGCCAGTGGGCCTAAAAGCAGGAGCTCATCAGTGATACTGATACTGAGAGTGATAGCAGCAGGTAGTGATGTGTATGTGGGTAAATCAGGGTATGGCATTATGCTGTAGATACATAGATCAAGTCAATAAAATGTCATTCCAATTGTTCACATACGAGCTTGTAAACCAAGTATCTGCCAATGCATGTCTTGCTCCGTCTCTGAGCCAATCTGAGTGAGACTCACCTTTGTGGTGGGTAGAGAGCCTGTGGGGAGATGGACATTGTAGGCGTTTACGTTGAGACATGGTGGCATGGTGGTTGAACTTGCGGTCAACAACGAGGTACGAAGGAATGAAGAGGCTTACATCAGATACAATAAACTATACACTCCTTGAGGACTACATGCGTGATAGTGAATGAGAAGTGTGAAAAAAGCGAGAAATTGGAGCAAGAATGAGGGGAATAGCGAGCTCACCATAGACAATGATGAGTGCGCTAACAGTGACAACGGTGAGTCAACGTTCGGCATTATGCGGCAGAGAATTACCTCCGATATCCGGGGAAGGCTGGAAGCACGTGCCTTTTGCACTGCAGCTATATTTGGTAGTGTTGACGAGGGCGCACAAGGGACTGCTGAACTGCTGGTTTATTTGGTGGTATAGAGGATTATTACTAGGGCTTACTACTTAGTAACGAGGTCAGGTACCTGACATCATTACTAATAATAATGTTTGATGGTGTCACTTAGGTGCTCAGATCAAGACATCCAGTCTGATGGCAGCCACGTTGAGGGCACCCACAAGGGCTGGAACTCATTGCAGCGTGCCCAACCGAGTGGGATCGTGATGCTGTCTGCGCTTGGTCATGACTTTGTCCTCCGTCAAAACATTAGGGTTGCTTCCAGTAGGCATCAAATGACGCCCTTTGTCAAATTCACTCACAGCTCCCATCACATCCAGCTCTCTAACCACATAGCAAGACTCTACAACGGACTGCACGAGAAGGACACACAGCTGCTTCCTCTACCAGAACTCCCAGATGTGGACTCCGGTGAGACCTTTGGACTTGTAGTGTCAGATAATACAACTACATTTGGTGGTTTGCTCGTCAAGGAAGAGACTGCAGACGCCGAACTCACACTCACACATAACTTTGAAGTTTGCACAGATAGCTTTACTGGTGGGACTATAAATTTTGCGACCGAAGCCAGCCGCAGCATCATGATTGAAGACTGGCAGATTGATCTGGTGCTCCTTGACCAACCTGCTACACAGCCGCTGCTGCCACATGCTACCAAAGTCGTACCTGCCTCTCCAAGCAAACACAAGGTCTCTTGTGTCTCATTTGATGCCAATGATGAGTCGGACAGCAGCAATACTTCAAAACAACCACGGACTTTGGTTTCAGCCAGCACCAAGACACTCAATGGCTACTTTTCTTCTGGTCATGTTGTAATGCGACCCAGAGAGCTCCACAGGCCTGTCACAGAGGTATGTTGTCATACCACCATCCTTGATCAATGGTACTCATGAAAACTTCCTCCCAAATTCTTACAGGGTCATCCAGCAGTCACCAGCGCTGGCATCAACAACTCAATCACACCTGACCAACATTACACACGAAAACTTCCTCCCAAATTCTTGGAGGATCGCCTAGTGATTCCTGGTGCTACTACAGAGGTATGTCCCATCCCATCACACCCGACCAATGTTACATGCGAAAACTTCCTCCTGAATTCTCACAGGATTGCCAGGTGATTCCTAGGGCTACCACAGAGGTATGTCCCACCACACCCAACCAATGTTACACACACAAACTTCCTCCCTAATTCTCACAGGATTGCCCCAGCGCTGGCATCAGCAACACAATTACCCGACAGGGTCACCCAGCAATCACCAGCAATCACCCAGTGATTTCTGAGGCTACCACAGAGGTATGTCCCACCACACCCGACCAATGTTACACATGCAAACTTCCTCACAGGATTGCCCCAGCACTGGCATCAGCAACACAATTACTTGGCAGGGTCACCCAGCAATCACCAGTGATCGCCCAGTGATTTCTGGGGCTACCAGAGGTATGTCCCATCACACCCGACCAATGTTACACGTGCAAACTTCCTCCCAAATTCTCACAGGATTGCCCCAGCGCTGGCATCAGCAATGCAATTACTTGGGGTCACCCAACAGTCACCAGTGATTACCCAGTGATTCCTGGGGCTACTGCAGAGGTATGTGCAATCACACCCGACCAACATTACACGCGAAAACTTCCTCCTGAATTCTCACAGGATTGCCAGGTGATTCCTGGGGCTACCACAGAGGTATGTCTCATTGCACCCAACCAATGTTACATGCACAAACTTCCTCCTGAATTCTCACAGGATTGCCCCAGCACTGGCATCAACAATGCAATTACTCAGTCTCAGCACTTATTCTCCATTGCTACAGGTATTGATCCTCACTCACTGACCTTTCAAAATTCAGATGAGTTCTACCTGTTTATGGATATGCGGGCCGAGTTCAAATGGCTGTCATGTCAAATGACTTTGAAGCACTGGGTGCTGCCAATGGAGGAGTACAACTGTTGTTTCACACAGAAAGCTGGCCGGTCAGTCATTCAGAAGAACCCACAAGCCCTCCTACATGTGCTGGGTGACATCAAGCCCAAACTGATGAACCACATCATCAGAGATGGATATACCTGTGAGTTATCGATATTTCTCTTGCATCACTCTGTATTTTCTGACATCTGGATATGAACATACAGCAAAGAGGAACAATGAGACATTTTGGTGCCACCATTGTTCTGTTGTACCTCTTGTCAAGGAGGAGCGAGGGAAAAATGTCAGTTCACTCAAGTTCAACACCAAGTTTCATGCTGAAATTTTTGCTATTTAGCCCCGAAAGGCGCAGACATGCTCATGCTGCCAAACGATCATGTACCCTGGCCCCAAAAACTCGCCACTCAACCACAAGCGGGGCTACTGTGCTGATGGCATCAAGCAGGTGTCAAAGAACAGCAGCAAAGATCTCCCTCCCTTGTCGGAAATTTCCCACCCTCATTGCAATAGCCAGTGATTGAGATAAGTCTTGAATTGGACATTACAATACACGTGACCTAATTGCAATACAGCTCAAAGTTTTGCAAATGCGACATAGATATGATAATATTTTAATAATATTGATATAGACTTCACAATTTGAGTCAGTTCCAATGCAAGCATGGCCTATTTTATGTAATATAACAGGGCGAAAACGCAATTGATTGCAAATTGATTGAAATCGCACTGCCACAGCTGATCGATCTTGTTCTGAGCCGCCAACATGCAACAAATACTATCCACACCATAATCCCTGGTCCTCCGGCCTCTAACTCCAGTACCTAGTGCCGCTACCATTCTTTATTAGACTCGTTGTCACACATAAGCACACCTCTATCGGGTTATCGATCCATCAGCTCTCAAGTGACGAACACAGCAGTAATCGATTCAGATGATTCTTGCAATGTCTGGTCCAGGATCGATTAGTTTATCTGAATGCCATCAGTAAGTGGAACAGTGAATATGTGCTCATTTATTCCTCGCTATTCTCTGTTTGCTTGCTCTTGTTATGACATTGATCGCTCATTCTCTGATTCAGGATTCTCTCAGTCGCCTCACACCTACGATCACGATCACACTGCATTTCAGCACACTCGCAAGCCGACAGGGTATCAAACAATGAGCCATCAATGTACTGCGTGGCGATTATGTAGTAAGTCATTAGTATTATCATCTGACACATAATGACTTATTATGACGCAGTCCATGGACATGTTTTTCATTAACGCATTGCAATCGCGTGTGAGTTTCATCCAACGACATCTTTTGTATTGTTCTCACTGTACTCTACCAGTACTCTACGTGTATACCATCCCGAATTCCTGCCAGCATCGCACAGCGCACCACTGCAGCATGTCTGCGTATTTGCAATATGTACCGGATGACAGACAGAAAGTCTGTGATACCTGTGGACGCAGTTTCAAGCCCAAAGGCTTCGATCATCACCAAAGAGCCTGCAAGCAACGAGCAAGAGAGTCAGAAGAAGATGGAGAGCTATGGGCTTCGATCCCGCCTGTACAAGGTCAGCAGATCAATACTAATATGATTCTGCTAATATAACTCTACTTTTTACAGTTGCTGTGCCGGCCCTGGCTGTACAAGGACAAGCCTGGAACGAGGACCATGGCTATGATCATGACAACGACTACGTCGGCCATTATAACGCTGACGTTGACATGCTATCAGGTGAGTTGCTATCAGTTGGTCAGTATACGGTGTGCTGAGATCTTGTTTAGATCGCTCTGAGCCCGAGAATGTCCCTGAACATACCAGTGTGGATGATATCCGCACTGAGTTTCATCCGCACACAAGGATCACAACGTGCATTGAAGCATTCTCTGACTTCACACGACAACATCACTATGAGCCACCCTGCCCAGATCGCCACCCTTGGCTCCCATTCAGATGCCAACTTGACTTTGAGGTTGCGGAGTTGGCGCACGAGACCGCACTCACTCATGAGCAAACGACGCGCCTCATCCAGTTGGTTCAGCGTGGTAGGACTGAAGACTTCACTCTTAAAAATTACGCCGATGTTCGGAATACATGGGAAGCAGCATCCCATCGCTTGACGCCGGTAAGTCTTATCTATGTTTGTTGTCACAAGTCATCTGATGAGTTCAGTTTGAAAAGGATACTATTACAGTACCACTTGATGGCAATGACGTGAAATATATAGTTTATTTTCGCTCCCTTTGGGATTGGGGAGTAGATCTTTTGCGACACCCTGACATTGGCCCTCATTGCATTTTCGATGCCCAGCGGCTATCGAAATTTGATGGAGACTCGTTTATTAGGTTCATCGATGAGCCATGGACCGCAGATGCATTTTGGGAATGCCAGGTACGTATTTCCGTGTCATACTATGACATACCATTGATGTGTAGGAAAATTATGTAGTCCCAGATCCCTCCAGAAGCAAAACCGTTGGCATTCATCCTGTATGCCGACAAGTCGAAGCTATCATCATTTGGGCGCGAGAAGGGATATCCCGTCATCGCTCAGCTAGTGAACCTTCCTGTCGCCATCAGAAACGGAAATGGGGTGGGTGGGGGACAAGTGGTTGGATGGCTCCCACTGGTATGTTTCAAGGCCATTCATCACAGATTTGCATCAAGAGCTAACCATCACTCCATAGGTCAAAGACGACCCGAAATACAAAGGTACCCAACAATTTGCTAACTTCAAAGTTGCTGTATGGCATGCTGCCTTCAAGAAAGTGCTTGCATCAATCATACCGCCTTCGAAACATGGCCACTGGGCAAATTGCTGGGACGATGTTGTGAGGCTCTTCTATACACTGGTGTTGATACTATCCGTGGACTACGAGGAGCAGTCAGGTTTCGTTTGTTAAGTTTATTGATATGTTATCTAACTTTTTTGGTGGTCCAGGAGTGTAATGTCCCTCACTCGAGGCATGATGAGCAACTTTCCATGCCCAATCTGTCTGATCCCCAAGGACAGATTGTCTTCTGTCATGCCCCATAACTATATTCTTCGCACATGCCAGGCAATGAATGACCTTTTGATCAAGGCAAGGGCAGAGCGCCGCAAAGGACAGCGGGAGGCAATACTCAAGGGACAGTCAATTCGCGATGTTGATGTATGATAGTGTTTGATTTGATTAGATCTATTGCAATAACCATCTCACATTTAGAACACATTTCACGAGATGAATCACAAGACTACTGATGTGCACCGCGCACTATGCTATGACCACCTTCACATTGTCCTCTGAGGTCTCTTTGGGGACCACATGTGGCCAGAGCTACAAGTACTAATCGGTCTTTTGGGACGTGACTACGCCGTAAAAGTTGACCAGAAGTAAACTTGTCAAGTTTCGCAACATAATTTGTTCTCATTTCTCACTCGTAGTTTTGATGCACTGCCACGTTGGCGCAATATGAATCATTTCGATGCTGTCATGGCTATAACGTTTACTGATGGCAGTAAATACGAAGACATTTTCAAGGTAAATGATCTTTTTATCGAAGTGCGAGTGTCTTCTACTCACAGGACTATGTACTACTGAACCAGCTAATAGTATTTGCGGCTCATGATATTCTTCCGAACACCGACGAATGTAAAATTGCTTACCTTCTCCTTTGATGTATCCATGCATACCTCGAGGTGGACCTGTATGCAGCATTGGAGGTACATACCACGAAAACGATAGCTGCAGGACGCAAAGCCCTTCAATCTTTCTCGGAACTAATGAATGTATGTCATATTAGACTTTTTGATGGCCCTTTCACTCTCAGATTGATTTGTTAGAAATACATCTGCAAGTCTGAAGCTTTACGGCCAGACAAAAACTGGTCATTCCCAAAGATCCATCTAGCTGCCCACTTATTCGACGACATCGAGGCTAAGGGAGCAACTCGCAACTACAACACAAAGCCAAATGAGAAGTGTCACAGTCCTCTAAAGGAGTCATATCAACAACGAACCAATTTCAAAAATGTAGCACCACAAGTTCGTCGTCCTATTTTCAATATCATTGGTTCTAGTTTTAATCTAGGTTATTACATACAGATTTTACGTGCAGACCATTGGTCTCTCGTTTCTGAGTTCATCCGTGGTCGAGTAGATGAACTGGCTGCATACGATGCTCGGATGGATGAAGACGAGGTTGACAAGACTGGCCCAGATACTAACATCACATCCAATTTCCATATCAGATTTGGATCGAGGCAACCGAAAAAGTCTCTTGAGGCAATCGACAAACGACATATTGACAACCCTTCCTTCAGGCGGTTTCGCACCAAGCTCAATGCATTTTTAAATGCTTTGCCCACTGTCTTGCAGCAGGTGAACATGTTACCTTCTGACGAAGTAAGTCTATCACATTGAATGTCGGTGCTTACACATGACTAATACTGAGCAGATAATAGAGTTTCGATTCCTCAAGGTTAACTATGAGTCACTAGTTGACTTCTGCCAGACCACAGACTATCTCCGTTGCAGCCCGAGATTCCACAATCTTCCCCGATATGACTGCGTCATCGTTAACACCGCGACTGGTGTGTTTTTTGCACGGCTCCTATTCCTCTTTACATGTAATGTCAATGACACATCCTATCCCATCGCCCTTGTACGTTCATACGACATGCCAATTGGGAGGTGTCTCCAGAAGGACAAACACCTGAAATTTTGGCGTGTTAGATTGCAACCGAGAGAAACTGCTAGTGAGTTCATACTAGCAGAATCAATCATCCAAGGAGTCGCTCTTGCTCCCGATCCCACTATACCTGGTAATTTTCTCATTATGGACACTGTAGACAGTGATATATTTCTGCGCATGAAGCAAATGCACCTCGCAGCCGGGCACTTAGACTAGTAACCATCATTGCGGCTTCATGCCAACTAACATTCCTTTGTTATGTTGTTCATCATAGTATAGGGACATGTACTCATACTTATTACTAGCCGCATCATGCAATGTCCATTTTCTTTTCCTCCCTCTCTGGACCCTCTGAGTCTGTGGAGCATGTCAATGTCTAATAATGGCCTGGGACGCTCATTCTTCAGCCGTCAGATTCAGCTATTGCAACCTTTGTTCCTCCCTAACGTTGACCACAGTGATGATCACAACAGCAATGACGAAGACGACGAAAACAGTACACCGGCAACGATGACGGCACTTGTCTCGACGTCTGTCCCACAGTACATAGGTTCTGTACAAAAATCCAGAACTAGAGCACGCGACCAGAGCGTCTCACCAATATCTTTGGGCTGTTGCGCAGCCCATTATCAAACTCCCCCAAAGGTCAGGGTGTCATCTGAGCATCTGTCACCAATGTTCATTGTTGACACCGTCTCCTCTTAGATAGTGATCATTGTTCCCAGCAGATGCCACACATGAAGTAGATGAACGGCTCAGGAGCAGGATCATGACAACAGCGATATCTTCTTACAATCTCCATTCAGATCACCACCCATAGTGCACCGTCTATACTCCATCTCGCATCCTCAGAAACCAATCAAACCAATCGTGTTAGGCGACCATTTTCCTCTCTGGATCCTCTCCATCCACTGTACCTTCCCCTTTCTTTCATCACACGTTCACTCAACCACTGCTTATGCCAGTCAAGGACTCCCATCGTACCATACTAGCTGCAAAGCAGCTCAATTCGCAGCCTGCGCATCGTGTGTGCGTGGGCACCAAATGCAAATCGGCGCAATCCGGTAGTGGCAACTTCTCTATGCCTTTGCATCCCATCCCATCACCACATGCAAAGCTATCTCTCCAGGAGGGCATATTATCAAGCATCGGGCACGTTTGAGGCCCATTTCCATTGAACTTCTTGCGTGTACACACCCTCACCAAACTCTTCGCCTTTGGCATTAAGCACGAGTTCGAGCTCTATTTACTCTGATAATGACATGGGTCTGTCCCAACCCGCGGAATCCTCCAGGTATGTACTTTTTCGAGCGAGTTTCCTCCCCAGTTTTCCACTTACTACTGTCGAATTACAGTGGTTTGCAAGCATTCATCGATGGAAAACAGACCAAGCAGACTACTCAGGTTCTGACGGCCACCAATGCCAGACAAACCCCAAATGGATGGGTCTGTCCCAACCCACGGAGTCCTCCAGGTATGTACTTTTATCAAGCGAGTTTCCCCCCCCCCAGTTTTCCACTTACTATTGTCAAATTACAGCAGTTTGCAAGCATTCATTGACGGCAAACAGACCAAGCAGACTACTCAAGTTCCGACGGCCATCAATGTCAGACAAACCCCTAATGGATGGGTCTGTCCCAACCCACAGAGTCCTCCAGGTATGTACTTTTATCGAGCGTGTTTCCCCCCCAGTTTTCCACTTACTACCGTCAAATTACAGCAGTTTGCAAGCATTCATCGACGGAAAACAGACCAAGCAGACTACTCAGGTTCTGACTGTCATCAATGTCCTCCAATTAATCATCCAGGCATGCAATTTGTGTGTCGCGCTTTTATCAGTAGTGCTCATTTTCTTTGCAGGAGATATCCAAACAATACACGCGCATTCTTTACCAAGGACGCCAGCATACAGACCTTGGGTGGAGACTTAGAATTGTGGCATGGATACTTGTAAGCTCGGTATTATCTCTGTGGTGACCCAACAATGTGACAGATCCAACGTCATTCACGCCACGCTGTATCCTCAATGGGGCCCTTATTATGTACTCTTCCTGCAAGCTTCCATTGTCCGGCAGGGACTCTCAAACCGTAAGAGTCAGAATGTTCGAGTCGGAACTACTGATCAATTTCTGTTTATCTTTGGCTTAGTTCAACGCTAACATGTCTAACAAACCCCAAGCGGACGGGTCTGCCCCAACACACTTAATGTCTCTTGACATCAACCGCACTCGCGCCAACAATACTGCTTTTGGCGGATGAGAGTAATATTGCAGCATCCTCGTTTCAAACCAACCGTAAGTATGAGTCCATTCTCACAATCCGAGTCTACAGCCACTCATTTGATGTCATCCAGAGGCTTATCAAGGTTCTGAATACATCATTAATTGCACAACCTGTCCTCCACACCCCAATACCACGCCCCATATGCACTGGTCCGACATGTTCCCACTGTCATCCAAACTGCATATAAATTGTAGCTGGTGTTGTGCTGTTGGTACGAGCACCACTTCGACGTTCAAGTGTCGCTGATTTTGTCTCCCCTTAGACTTGTTATCATGTCTCAATCTTGTTATGCTGATGAATCTTCATCGTCTGATGAATTGTCGTCTGATGAGAGGCCTGGACCTACGCATAGTGTTGTTCGAGGGTCAGCCTCTGATATTGTTCAACGTCAGGCTACCAGTGCAGCTGCCAGTGAACGAAGACTGCACCATTCTAGACACGAAGCAGAAGTAAGTATGAAAGTACATGATTCCCTTTTGTATCACTCACCAAAGCATTATTGATGTCTACAGGGGGTCAAGAATGCGCAGCTTGAAAACCAGGCACTGAAGGAAAGACTCCACATCGTGGAGGAACAGAATAAGATACTATCGGCCAATAAGGGTTGCCGCAAGAAGGATGATGTGGTTGCTGAAGACATTCTGGCCTTCGAAGCAGAACTCAAGGTCTGTGCAAAACGATACGGTCTCATGGTCAATATGTTCCCTCCGCCAGCAGCCCTGCTCAAAACAACACTTCCCGACCCTGCACCGTCATTCAATACGGCTGCTTGGTATGCTACTACAGGTTCGCAGGAGATTGCAGTTCTGGCAGAATTGTACGACATGCTCCCAATGAATCGGTTTTCGAACGTGGTAATACATTTATTTTTCATTATCATGCAACGTCTTACTTAGTACCATTGACATTATCTACAGTTCTCCAAGGCAGTCTGTGCTGGTCGTGCCTCCGAGCTTAACAAGCTCAGGAGTGCCACTGGTCAGATTTTCGAGCTTCCTCAGTGTTACTTCGCCATCTCATATGCTCGCGACACAGAAACTGAGATTCGCCAGCTACTTAGCACCACTGGCAAAGCCAGCGAGTCATATCCGACTCTGCCACCTATGTTGTTTCCAGGGAATATTGTCGACCGCAATCGTAAAACACTGTTTGGTAACTGGCAACTTATTGCTAAGGTGCGTCGTCATTCACTTCATTCACATTTGACATCTAATCTACACTGTATCGATAGACACTGAGCTGCTGCCTTAAGGGCAGGACATCACTCTCCAATGAGAGTAGACGACAGGGCGGTGCTCCACCCAATGCAGTTAAGTGGGGCGTCACAGCAGTAACACCTGGGGCTGTGGCTTGGGCTATTGTCGCAGTTAGTCTAGGCCTTTATTCATTGTGCTCATCTTGGCTGATTCAATCTCTGTACACTTCTAATAGAACATATTTCTATTATCACCCGACCAGGAATTTCCCCAAGAAGGCAAAGGGAAGACCTCCAGATTCAACTACGGCATGATCTTTATGTTCTTTAAAGAACTGCTGATCTGCAACTGGGAGAAGCCTCGCCTGAAGACGATCATCAAGCATATCAATACCTTCGTTTTCGAGCGCACTTCTCGCCCCTCTCATGATCTTAACAGTAGGGATTCTGCTGATGATCTTCAAGAAGAAATGTGTCTCACTCGACTTGGATTAGCAGCAGACACAGAAGATGATCTGTCTCCGTCTGACAATGAAAATGCTAGTATTGACGTCCTCGCTAAAGCTACAGGCAATATAGCGCTATGTGATTCCAATGAGGCTCCTACTCCTTTGTCAACTATCACTACGACGTCAACCCTCACTGCCAGTGTAGCAACCAACTCTTCGCTGATCACCAGTCTTCAAGTTTATCATGGACCTGGACCAGATGAGATTGTTGGAGAGGTCACAGTAGTCGAAGAGGTTGTCAAGACGAAGTCTAAGGCTGGTCGGTCCAAGAAGTCAAAGGTGTTACAGGACGGAGGTGCTGAGGCCCCAAAACGATGTGGCCGTTCGAAGGAATGTTAATACTAATACATATCCCAACTTTTCTCCTGATTATTGATACAGCTACAGTTACTCACAATTTATCTCTCTTCAAGTAGTCACTTAGATTCAGCAGTCCTGATGTCAAGTGTCTGCTCTTAAAATTTTGATGATAGCTAGTACCAATACAATGAATCAAATAAGTATACCAAGTTCACCATGAACTTCGCAATCTCTGTGCAGTGATTATGTCAGCATTGCAACACACATCGCTGGCATTTTGGTTTCTCTTTTGAACTTAGTCCACATCTCCCTTGAACTATAATGTCTACAACAACACTGCAGATTTGCCCAAGCTTGTCGAAGGTCTTGAGCATCTGTTGGAGTCTGACCTCTGTGTCTAGGCTTGGATTGCTTATACTGGTGAGCACATTGTCGCTGGTGCCAGTGAGCTGCACTTTAATTGGAAATTTGCTTGAAGGTAAACAGCTATAAAAATTTATCTACTTGCTGGTCCATCTCGTTAGTCTGACCCTTATTGTAGGATCTCCAAGAAGACCACGCTGGTGTTCTTCTCAAGGTATCTGACCCTGTCGTCGACGGCTACCACACGACTGTCAAGGCTGAGTCCACGATCACGACCTTGTCCAAGTTGCAGAATAAACACAGCCGTCTCTACACCAAAGCAATGCCTCTTGATGAGGAACTCACCAAGGAAATCGAGGCTGGTACCGTCAACTCCTGTGACAATGTCATCGATGCAAGGAAGATCTGGTGTTTTGGTCCCGATACCACTGGCCCCAACTTGCTCGTTGATGTTACCAATGGTGTGCAGTACCTTAATGAAATCAAGGACTCTGCCTTCCAGTGGGCAACCAAGGAAGGTGTCTGTGCTGAGGAGAACATGCGTGGTATCCATTTCAATGTCCTTGATGTCACTGTAAGTTCACTTCATACCTACTTGTATTACATCTTCTTATGCGAAGTTGACAGCTGCACGCTAATGCTATCCATCATGGTGGTGGACAAATCATTCCTACGTGCCATCGTGTCTGCTACGCTGCATGTTTGCTTGCTACCCCTGGTCTCCAGGAGCCGGTGTATCTCGGTACGTCCCGCTCGCCTCGTAATTTTACAGGGTGCTGATACCATTCATAGTCGAGCAAGAATGCCCATGTTCACCATCAAGGCGTACCTCCCCATCATGGAGTCCTTCGGCTTCAACAGTGATCTCCGCTCACAGACAGCTGGTCAAGCCTTCCCCCAGAGTGACATTGTGTTCAACCACTAGGAGATCATGAATGGATGTGCGTAATTGTGTGACATATGAAGACTGTTAATACTAATGAAATCCATCAGCTCCTCTTGAAGCAAGATCAAAGAGTTCATCAGGGGCATTCGTACACGCAAGGGTCTCCGCAGGACTTGCGAGTGCCAGTATAATGAATTCGTGCGACTGTTAGATGTTTCGAAATTGATCATAATGTACAACTATATATCCATTATAATGCGCAATAAAATTTATGTTGTAATTGGCAGAATACTATGGGAATAATTGACATGTGCAACGCAAACCCATCGTAATGTGCAAGCCAAAGATCACCATCATATTGAAAATTAATTGCAATGACACCCAAAAAAATTGAAAACATAGTGGAATTGGAAAATGTAATGAGCATTAGAGGTGTAAATGTAACGTTTACAGCGTCATTATAATATGTATTCCAAACCGTGGCTTCTATTGCAATGGCTTGCCAATCACGTGTGATATTGGGACTATTACAAAGCATCCTAATCGGTTGAAATCAATTTCCGAGATTTCCGACACTGGCCTCAGCCTCAAGGTCTGTTCTCTGAAGGCCGCACATTCCATCCGCACACATTTTTGTTGGCTGTTCAGCGTGTCTATGAGTACGTTTCCTTGCAGGGACTGGGAGAGATGGACTTGCTTGAAACGGAGGCCTTCACGAAGCTGCTTGTCTCACACACTGAGATCCACGAGGATGGTGCAGTGCTTTTCCGGCTGTTTCCAGACTTCATCGTGGATACATTGACCCCTCATGATCACATCATTGTCCGTGACGACAAGCAGTGGTTGAGGATCAATTTCCTGCAGCAGCTGTAGTTTCATTCGAGATTGGTGTTTGCATTGTAATTCATTTCATGCCTTTCAAGTTGTCTTCTTACAGATCGTTTACACACCTAATAGTTTACTTTGTTCAATCACAATCATCGCAAGGTCTTCGCGCTACGAATAGTACTGTCTATTGCTCGAATCTGCGCGTCCCAGTCTCGTCCTTGAGCTGAATACCTTCGTCTTAGAGGCAAAACGTTCGTCTTGAGACAAAATTCCAACGTGTCACGTGACGACAAAAGTCACGTGCTTAGCAAAAGGTCCAAACGGTCTGGCGGAGTTGCAAACTAAACTTGAAGACGGTCAGACCGTTTGTAAGTTTCCCCTTCCCATGGCGCAGCTGCCGGTTGACGTGAGATAGTTATCCTTCCGCCGTTCCTCTATAATAGGTTGCATATCCCTGTTGTCAGTATGAGCATTAGCCTTTCTTCACTCCTCTGTTTCACGCCATGGCCTCATTCTATTCTACTCAGGTACACTTTCAAAATTTAGGAATCCTTGCCGTGCGACTGAATTACGCCGATCTTTCCAGTCATGTGTGAGTGCACTTGCCGAAGAACAACCCCTCCCCGATGCCCTTCATCGCACGTCCCTCGTAATAAGGGTACTCTGTTTTTTGGCACTTGGACGCCCAAATCTTGATGATCATTGGAAGTCGCTGCAATCAGACCAAGCCTTCGAAACCGTTAGGAGCAGGTTGTGCTCCATCTTGACCAGTACTATCACCACCGTAAGCTATCCAACTCCGCACCCGTCGCGAACTGAAGCTGACGCTGACATGCGCTCATAAAGGCGAGTGTCCTCCTTGCTATAAGCGGTGTTTTCGTCAGCACGGCCTCTCCTGTGTCGTACTTTGACTATACATCGCCCGTTCCTTATTGTCTGCTCTTTATATCGCTCATGTTCGCCATGATCGCGATGCTGACGTCTGGCTCGAGCATGATACGTTGGCTGCACGCCGATCGGCACTGGACTCAAGAAGTGAGTTTTATTCTCGTCATGCTCATTCGGACACCGGCTGACCTAAATATAATCAGCAACTCAAGCAAGGCGATTACTTCGTCTTGTCCTACCTGTTGTCGATAGTCACGCCTATAGTCTTCATTGTCTGCTCCCTGAATTGCTTCATATTTGGTGAGTTGTTCCGTCATCTGGTGCTTTCCCTGGTCCCTCATGGATGTCACCCCCAGCGATGTTGATAGCAGGCTTTTCTTCCCAAAGCAGGATCTGCCGCGCCGTCACTGCGCTCTGGCTGGTCGCATACGCTGTCAATGTTGGGACAATTTTGATGGAAGCTATGTGGAAATATGCGACAAGCCTCAATCACGCTGGAGATCGCCAGTAGTTTCCAATTTACTCCTTGTTTCATCCGCGGTTTGTCTACGTTGTATATAACCTCCCTGATGTGGCACACAAATGTATTCGGATTGGATGTATGTAGTCTGTGGCTTTCGATTATGCAAATCAATTTGTCAAGACCGTTTCACAACACATCGAATCGCGTCGATGTGAAAGCTTAAGTTATAGAAGACCTTAGTATACACGCTTTGCGCAAAAGCATCCAGCAGTCAGAACGTAAGACAAGCCATTTATTATATTATTTTTAAGAAGCAACAATACAGGAAGCACTACTTTAATAGCACAACGAGGGCTGTACCTAGAAAATGAAACGTCAGATAAGAGTCAACGACGATCAGATGCTTTCCCTCAGGAAGAACAATTTGTCCATCATAAAAATCGGACATATGCTTGTATGTTGTAAAGCATCTCGGGGAGAAAGAAGGCGATTATGGCAGAATGCTCACCGGTGCTACATTATTATACAACCATCACAAGGCAATCTGTAAAAAGAGGAAAGGAAAGTCAGCAACTGACGCAGATGAACACGGAAAATGAAGATAAGAATCAGTTAGTGATGCATGTTACGAGTGATGGCTCATTGGAGACCGTCGCCGACTCGAGGATGGAAAGTATCGTCATTTGGAAAGGTAGGTCGTGACGAGTCCCCTGTGTCTCCGAGTGGAGTCAACGTTGGAGTGGAGCCTTCCATGTCGTCGGGATCGCTGACATACTTATCCAGTCTCCCGAGTGGCGGACAGATGGGGTCTCTGCGCACCCCATTCAAGGGCAGACATGGCCGGCAGGCTTCGCTTGGGACGACGATGCCGAGTCCCTCGACGAGGCGCCGGAGTTTGGAGAGCATGATTTCGATGATCCAGGAAGCACTAGATGGGAAAGATTTAGAGACTCACGGGCTTCCTGGAAATGGTTCGCCTTATGGAGGCGGGGGCGGTAGTTCCTCCCATAGTTGATTGGGATCGAAGCGATACTGTACATCCATAGTCATTTTTTTCTAGTTGCTTTGATGGATCGCAACCTTGTGATGAAAAGAACGAGTATGAGTATGGTTATTGATGGACAACTTTATTGATGGGTTAGCAGACTGAATACCTCTCTCGCCCACCGACTTGCGGCTGCGGAGCTAGGCTCTTCGACTGATCAGGCTAAGGCAATCGTAAAGGATTTAAAGTCATTATCCGTCAGGCCTACTAGGCTACCTGGTTATATCCGGCGATCTTCATTCCGGACCAGCAAATAGCTTGTAGTCGTGTAATCCCATGACGGAGGGCATCGGTGACATATTCTCAAGATTCCCGTGAACCCATTTTTGAATTCGTAGGCAAAAACTGTTAGTGCTTCGCACGTGACACGACGCGATGCGCCTAGCGGAGTCGAACTGTTGGAATACGAACCATCGTATATAGACCGTCGTGCTTCGTATTCTCCCCTCAGTCTGTTCCATTACGACTGAGGGTGAGCTCTTTGCATATCCGAGATATACCTAGACATTAACGGACGTTTATAGCTAACGCACTGTCTAGGTATATCATAATATATCAGTCTGCAGGCCATACTGTCATTATGATACATCTAAACAGTACTGTGAGCCATAAACTGTGATACATTCACATCTGTTGTCATCCACTGTCCATCTTGATGTATCAGGATATATCCTTTATGTGTAGCTTCTTAGGACCATCTAACTGGGGGTCGAATACTGCAAATGGTTGCACATTCCCGGTTCCACCGTTGCATCCGCTTCTTCCTACACCGCCAATCGAAAAAAGCATAGAATCTATGCCTAAAAATAGGGTTATATAACTTTTATCGCTCCGATCTCCTCACGGGAAATTTCGTGGTGTATATTATATATAATTATATAATACATATTTGATGGACTCATAGGCTGACATAAAAAAAATGATGCTAGAGCACAAACAGCAATGCTTGTGGGCTATAAATCCATTGGCTGGTTTCGGATGCATGTTATGTACTGAGACCGAGCACCAGAACTATCCTGTTTTACAAGTATAGATTGTATACTGAGACCTAGGCATTGGCAATATGCTAGTTGGCCAGTGTGTAAGCTATACATTTCCGGCGTGTGTATGACACTGGAACATGTCTTATTGATATGCTGCCTGGGTACTGCTTGAATTTTTTTTTGCACTGATACACCATTGGGAATCACAGAGAGCACAATGAACAGGATCATGGAAAGTGCAATGAATGTATTATTCATGTATCAAATGATTACAGGCAAGCTCGAGTATTAAGATAAAGAATGAGGCTGGAGGGAGCGGCGAAAACAAATGAAAGTATATTGAAATTACCAAATGAGTCCGGACTGAATGGTGGTCTGCCAGCGTGGGTTGGTCTTCGAAATGAGCTTTGAGACCTTCTTGCTACCAGGAAACTCAGCGAGATCAGCTTGAAAGATTTCGATGAACAACCTAATCAAAGATCAGTCTGTATAATGTTGCTGACTATATGAATACATACTTTTGCAATTCCTTTTCCTGCTCGGTGACGATTGGGGAGGATTCAATAGCCATCTTGCGCATCATTAAGAGTGAGTGGTCGACGAAGTTCCAGAACTTAATTGTACTGTTGTACCGCATTGGCATGCCTTCGACCAGTCCAAATCTGGAGTCAAGTGGGTCGTCGAGTAGAACTACACCATTTGCACTGCCGCTCATGTTTGACTCGTTGTCCTCTCCATTGGTGTCCAAATCATCCTGCTGCACTCCACTTTGATCCGTGAGCGGTCCATAGGTCATGTCAGGATCATTCTGGTCCCTCCCAGCACTGGGCGCGTGACTGCCATTGACTTGAGTGCCTGTGGGGACTTGACTTGGATTGACATCAGTCCTAGGCGCATTATCGAAATCAGCGTCAAATAGCTCCCTTTCAAGCTGTTCCACGTCAATATTGAGCTCGCATGTGACTTTGTCCCGTAAATCCTGCTTGAGCGATGGAACAAGGTAAGGGAAAATAAGTCCTTGATGGAAGCGGTTTTGTAATCACTGACACCGATGAGAAAAATCCGCAGGAGACGCCGCTGTCCTTGCATCAATTAATGTTGATATTACATTAAAGATAGTACGACTTACCAGTAGTGAAATCCTGTTCCAGTGAGTAGAATCAACCTCCATGCCAGACCCACTACGTGCAAGCGACCTGGTCACATCAGCAACACTCGTGCGCTTGACAATCGATGTGGTGAGCTACACAATCATTATAATGATTGAAGTTGTGTCAAAAAGTAGAGCGAGACTTACAGCCGTCTTGATGGCAGAACAAATATTTGTGAGCAGCTTCGTGACCACCTTGCCTAACTGAGCTCTAAGCTCAACATCGTCGAGAAGTCCGGGGGGGATTTTGAAGACGTCCCTATTCTTGACGATGAAGTCCTGAAATACGTTACGTTAGTGGTGTCATTTAGGATAGCGAATACTAGAGCCTAACCATTATATGACACTGAGTGTCAGTGACATACGCTGTGAGATTCGGTGACGACATGCAAGCAAACAAGCAGTTGTAAAGTCCATTCTATGATTCAAATTCAGCATATAACAAAATGCAAAGTACCGTATCGTTACCTCGAAGTCCTTTGATTCCAATGCATCTTTTAATTCCTGCATTCTCGTGGCCTTGTTTCCCTGACAAAGTTTGACGAGGGTGATCTTCAGGTCAACGAGCATATAGAAAATGCTGCCAGACTGCATCAAGTAAGCCAACACGACGAACAAGCCGTCCAATGAGAACTTAATACATCAATGAAAGTCATAACTTCTTCATGTGGAACCTCATGTTCATCACAACCCTTCTTCGCATGCATTTTCAAATGTTTCATACGTTGAGGTGTGAGTTTGGTGGGATCCCCATGGTCGGAAGGTTCGTTGTCCCTGCGTCGACGAACACCTATGCTGATTGGCTCATCAAGTGATGATGTCGGGCTGGAGGGAGGTTGAATTCCCAGACTAGGTATCTCTATGCCCTCATTGCCATGAGTAGAGCGAGAACTTTGGGGCCGCGAAATGTCTGCAAAGTGCACTGTTAAATTTAACCATAACTCGTCTCTCAGGACTTACTTCCGGGTTCTCCAACAGATAAATGCCTGCTGCCGCTTGGGTCTGGCGTGATACTTCTATCCCTGACAGACCTAGTGAATGAAGTTCCCATGTTTGACCGCGGCCTCAATGACTGGGCTCCTTGCGAAGGTAACCCTAAACTTTGGCCATCACCAGAGGGCAGACACAGACGATATCTGCATTGAAACATTGTCACAGCACCAAAAGTTGCTCACCATGAGTGGCTGCTTCAAGTGCGAAAGTTTGTGCTGAGATAATACTTCCGAGCTGGGTGACTGAACACGTTGTCGGCAATAGGAATTTGAACTTGTTTGGTTGTCGTTCGAGTCTTGACAAAAATTTGGGGACTCTTGATGCGTTCTGGGCAGAAGTAAAAATCATGCGGCATCATAGTATTTGTGTATGTAAGGTATCTGAAATGGTATATAGAAAAAATTGGACCATCCAACGGTGCCACCATAGCTTGCCCTTGAACATTGGAGGAAGAACTTCGAAGACAAACATGGAAATTTGTCGGGCAAGCCACCTGACCGCTGGAGGAAGAATTTTAAGGACAAACACATGAATTTGGCGAAGAATCCAAAGGGCAAGGACTAACCGGAGGAAAAATTTCAAAGACAAACACGCGAATTCAGTGGCGAAGAATCCAAAAGGCAAGGACCCACTGGACGAAGAATTTTAAAGACAAACACGCTAATTTGGCGGAGAATCCGGAAGGTAAGCACCCGACTGTTGGAGAAAGAACTTCAAAGACAAACACGCGAATTTGGCCAAGAAGATGCATTTCATGTAAGTAGTCTAATAACTATCTTCTGAACTGGTCGTGATGCCATGGATTGGCTTGAGGGTTCCATACATGCGGTGTCATCACTGGTGCAAAAGGTTGACCAGTGTGCATCGGTGGGGGATGGTGGTATTGCCATGTCAATGTCATTGGGAGCGGGTGCAATGGGTGATGGGAAGGGGGGACTCTGGATGAAGGAATGAGAGATTGCTGCCACTGGGATGGCACCATTGTGGGCGGATGCATTGATGGCGTAGGTGCCAGTGGTGATGGCACATAGGAAGATCCGCTGGCAACTGCTGTCATGAGGGGTGTTGAGAGCTGGTGACTTGAAGACACAGCTGACTGAATGATCGTGGGGTGTCGTGCATTTGCGCGTGGACGAGGTACCTTCTCTTTTGCTTTGCTGGCCGCCTTTGCTGCTGGGCGGTCGAACACTGCAGGGACTCTAGCCACATCGTCGGGCGGTGCACTTACAGATGCGGCACCTGGTGTTTCACCGGCTTTTTTCGCTGCTTTCTTCTCCCGAATTTGACAAGCTGCTGCAAGACGGACATCTGCCACATTGGGGACCCTCAGTGGTGTCTCACGGAGAGACTGAGGGATAACAGATTGAATCTGAGCGTGATTGTGAATCGAATAAGCATTGAGAAGGTAAAATGGTGAGGGTTGGTGCTGAATGACAGGCCTTGTATGCGCGGTCTTGGTTTGTTCTTGATGAACACGGCATTGACTAATATCTGTGCACTGTGCTTTAACGCAGTCGTGCTGAAGATTTACGATACAAATAATGTCCTAAAATACATCGTGCATTGTAAGGACTCTGAATTGGAGATATGTTGAAACTTACTTCGGGGCTAATGACAACATCGTGGTCTGTGAGCTCAAGAGCGGGGAGGTGAAGCAAGGGATGTAAGGCAGGTCCAAAAGTAAATATCTGAACAGCAACATGCTGCACACGCCGGCAAGAGTTTGATATCAGAATCTCGCGAACACATCCGATTTCTGAGGAAGATGTCGAGGTGTCATGAAAAATGACGTGTCCACCTAAGGATGCCTTCTCGCCATTGCCGACAACCAAAGAGATTCCATGGCAGTATTGAATGGTGGCAGGTTGTGGGATATTGAGTGCCTTTGCACAGTGCATTGCTGTCCATGGAACAGGCTTGTCTGGGAAAAACTGTCCATCTACGGCAGCGACCTTCTTGAGTTGACCGGTTCCTTTTAAGCAAGGTCAGCATTGAATCAGCATTGAAGCATCACGCTACCTGTTAAAGGAGATGTTTCCATATGAATTCCCAAAAGCTGCACCTGCTCTGGATGCTCATCGACGTAGCTTAACACCTTGTCACCCGCCCAAACCCACTTTTTCCTCGCAGTATCAAACCAGTAGCCACCCGTAGCAATGTGCTTGACGATATCTTGTCTCGCAAAGATTCTGCACGTATCCTGACTTGGTCCTTGTTGATTGCTGTGGATACATGCAAGCCGGAAGATATGATTAAAAGACTCGTATCGTTCAGTGGAAAAGAGAATTGCAGGTCCAAAGCGGCAGATGTAAGCAGGAAGATGAACCAAGAAATGAAACTTTGGTTTTGAAATAAGGATACTAGGTGCGCATTGAGCCGTGACATTGAGGAAATCTTCAATGGTTTGAGAAAGCTTAGCCTATGAGTTAATCAGCGTTGGAACAGCATCATCAGCCTGTCGTCATACCAAGTATATCTCTGTATCATCTATTTTGGTGTGCCAAATGTGCACAACAAGCTCACCGATAATGGTCCATCCATCGAGTACCGTTCTCGGCAACAGATCTTGAATGAGAAATGGCATTACCTGAGCCAAACTCTTGAAATGTTTGCCGATGAGACTGCCCTTGTAGTGACAAATGTAATCGGCATTGAGACGTGGAGAGTCGAGTCCATCCTTCACGATTGAATCAAGTTGTGTTTGAAAAAGATCCATAAGCTTCGCCTTCTCAAGAAGATAAACGGTCTGACCCCAAAAATACTTGACAACCCCCAATAGCACCGTATGAAGTATCTCCGTTGGTGTGTCTTGGTGAACATTGAATCCTGATGGAGATCAGTATGCAGCCAGCAACACGCATTCAATACTTACCCTTCACACCGAGCAAAGGATTGATTGTGTCATTGAGTGCGCTCCCTTGTAAGAGATCTTCAAGCTCCTTGTTCAAAATTGTCCTGACTTCGCTGTCGTGTTTCGGCTGGATGCCAGCCACCCGTTTGCGCAGTTTCTTTCCCATCTCAACAACTGCATCAAGAATGTAGGCGGTTGTAGTGTCTTTGACACCTGTTGAAGCGACAGACTTCTTGATTTTTTCGGAAGCGCCTGACTGGAGCGCAGTGACGAATTGAGCGCGAATTTCAGCTGCTGTTCCTGCGGGAGTGCGAAGCTGTCCCGGCTATAAACGAAGAGTTGATATTGCGAAGAGCACAAGAACATCGTACATACCACAAAAATGCTGTTGTAGCCCTCATCCGACTCCTTATACTCCTTCGTTCCACCAACTTCACATGTCCTGCAAAAGTAGTTACAATGTAACCCTGCATGACTGCACTCTTCAGCATGCATGGGGTTGTCGCCACCAAGAAAGAGACCATACGGGACGAGCATGACTTCTTCGTTGTCTTTGCAGTCCCAAGCAAAGGTCCCAGATTCGGCAGCCTTCCTATGATTGCAGGTCATATCGTACTACATCAAGTATTAGTGTATCACATACCCAATTGAGTCTTGCATAGCACTCATCATTTCCATGGGAGCTGCATGAGGAGAAGAAGTGACGAATCGAACGCAAAACTCTTTCTCCAGCATTTCGCGAGGCAAATTCGCATTTGACATATATATAGCATGGTGCTTGTTCCACTGTTTGGAGATATTCCCGGACACATCATCCATAAAAATAATGAGAGGGACAGCGTACACCATGCGACCTTGAGACTTGGCGCATAACAGATTCGGTTCGAGTTTAGCATACTTATTTGATGATGCTGTCAGTCCGCATGCAAGTTCATTGACGTCGAGTGATATCTCCCTGAATGACCTCCGAAAGCTAGTCGTCGGGATGATTTCTTGCTCGTCGCTGACAATGAACCCTTCCTATATGTTTATCAACAAGATTAGTTAAAATAAGCAAATGACGAGATCACCTCCGTTCGTTGTGCAGCACGTCCTAGTGCATGTAACACCTTCTCCGCTGTATTACTTGTTGATGTATATGATGCGAAAAAAAAACATTCGGGGATAAAATAGTCTTTCAAGCTATCTTGCAAGAGCTCGTTCACAAAGTATATCTCCCCATCGACTTTTGCTGCTGGGGGCGAAGGGAGCTCGAATAACATCTTCTCCCCATTGAAAACCTGGGACATTCCTCGTCCTCCATCTTCCGGGTAATCCTGCATTGCGAAACGAGTCAGAGGGTTGGCATAATCCTTGATAGAAAGGTTCAAGTCAGTATGAAAGATGTGCACGAGCACATAAGATTCCACATACCTTTGCAATTGCTCGTCCAACATCATTGAGATAGAATATGTTCCCCGAATGAGCAGTGACCTTTTCTGTCGGATTTCCGACAAGTGTTTGTACAGTCTCCTGGAAGCGGTTCAAGGCGTACAGTGAGGGAACATCAAGGGCACCGAGTTCCTTTGCCCAAGATAAAATTGCCTTTTTCTGCGCCTCTGAAAATGGAAGCCTCAGAGAACTGAACAGTAGTGCAGTGATGAAATGCTTAAATGAGATGTCAGTGTAAGGAATACACAAGAGCTGTCAACATACAGCTTTTGACGGCCATGGGTACGTTGGATGGTCAGGTGATACTGGATTGTTGAGGTTTACATGACCCTTAGTGTTTAATGGACCGTCATCTGATAATTGAAATAAGTCTCGTTCAAAGTGATGAATTAGTGCATTACCTTCGAGTTCAATGCCAAAATTCGATTCTGTCTCATCATCAAAACCAATCTCCTCGGTCATGGGAGCGAGCGGCATGGGAAACAGAGATTCCCCAGAAGTGAGAGCACACCGCAGTTCGTTGAATAGATCCCCTGTTTCATTCAGTTCCGAGTTGTAGAAACGGCTGCTTGATATTGCATTCCAGAGTTCAGAGATAGGTACTAGTTCTGAGTCCGAATCAACCGGTACATCATAGTCCGGTGCGGGAATACTGGAATTGTCGATATCGATGTCCATGGTACTTGAGGTGGCAAGTTCCACGTTGTCGTTGTCATTCTGACTGCCGGCACACATAAGGTTATGAAGGGGGTACTGCTCTGGAGAGTGAACTTTCGAAGGCGGGAGATTGTTGACACGACGTTTGTGCACCGCCGTTGTAGAATGTTTCTGTATGTGTTTGAAATGCATTGTACGCAATGATCCATCACCACATGTTGGACAGACATTGCACACAACTTGAGGCGGACGACGAAACTCGAAAACTATATCATACGTCAGCAGCACATTACATCAATATCAAGCACGAAACATACTTTTTCCGTCAACGAGCTTCCACAATGATGGATTCATTATACTGATGTGCTTTCGAGTGATTGCAGCATGCCGATGAAAGACTTGACACCTTGAAGTGCGAAAATCATGTGATCCAACCCGTGAATCTGATAGGACACAAAAAATATTGATTCACAGTGTCCTGTGAAGCAGCTGATGATACATAGAACGAAAAGTGTGGTGATAACCCGCTCCTGAATATATAAATCTTAGGGGTGGAAAAGATGAGGTGGAATAGCAAAGGAGATGAGTGATGAGTGATACTGCTCCTGAGCACGGAGATATGAGTAACGAAGGCTGAGTACGGAGATGTGGGTGCAAAGGTATGATAGATCGATACTAGTAAGTAGCAGATGATATGTAGAAGGGAATATGATAAAGAATCCGCTCCTGAGTATGGAGATGTTGGGCAGCAAAGGTAGGAGAGGTAGATAGGGATTATTAGCAGATGATGATATGTAGAAGGGAATATGATAAAGAACCCACCCTTGAGTATTGAGTGTTCGCCATGGGGTAGATGAAGAAGAGCTGGGCGGCGGCGGTAGGATAGTGATGGAGAGGAAAATGCTTCTTGATAGTCCGTAAACAGAGGAAATGCCATGCCAGGTATGAGTTGGTGAGAGTGGTAATGGAGAGGAAAATGCTTCTTGATAGTCCGTAAACGGAGGAAATGCCATGCCGGGTACGAGTTAGTGACAGAGCAAATGGTAAGATGGGTAATGGAGGAGCAGAATGAAGGGAATATGTTAGGGATCCCACTCATAAGCGCTGAGATGGGGGAACTTATTGAGACTCGAGTCTGGGCGCAAGCTTTAGACTTTCCAACACCAGAGTCAACACCAGCACCACTAACACTTCATATTTTACATATCCTCTGCTCCCACAGGCAGAACACAGTGCACAGACAAGGTGCAAAAATTTGAAAGCAGTGAGTCCTGCCAGTGATTCAATAAGGGGTTTGCTGAAAACACGTGACTTGTATCATTCCATTTTTCCCCAAGTTCGACTTTTGATGTCAAACACAATGCAAGAAACTCCAGACAACGGAGCACTCAGCTTTTCCGATTTTTCAACTTCCATCCTCTATCCAGATACTCTGCAAGCTGAATCTGAGGATATATTATTACAACCTCTCTCAGTCTCAGTGTGGTTTTCCGGTGCGGTTCCTCGACACCTCACTCACCCGAACATTGTATGTCCCCTAATGTTCCTTGATAAGTGCTACTTATTTCAATCGCTATTTAGCCAATTAAAATTAGTGTGTCTCTGAATGAGGAGTATCAATTATTCACAGTACCTGTGATTGAGGTAGAGTCTCAGCACTCCAGAGAGTCTTACCATTTCAATAATGTAAGTGTTTCACATTTTCCGTATTGTGACTGCTGACCTTGGGGCGTGTGAAGTGCGGTCAATATGAACATTGCCCCATGTCTGGTGGTGAATCTGATGATGCATCAATTACCTTCCTCCCCTTGCCGTCAACATTCGATCACATGGATCCTGACCACTGGGCCAGACTCTCCGGCACTATACAATCATGGCTCCTGACGTTCACGGACACAGTGACGCCTGAATGGACTTGGGGCCAGGACGCATTCTGGTACGCATTTGTCGCTGCCAATCCTGACTTCCCCAATGGCAAGTGGGCTTTCTGGGATCTGTGTATTCCTCTCGAGGGCCAGTTCATCGAGGAGTGGGTGGAGTGCAGCATCAATTTGCCCGTCGAAGATGCTGACGAAGAGCTCACTACTCCTTTGATGCACAGTGATACCCGGGACCTCATATGGGGAGAGTTCTCCAGACACATTGCGCTTTTTTACCCTTATCGTTTGATTTCTACTACATAATTTTCCTCCATAGAATATTAGGACACTCGACAAGATGGATGGGGGGCGTATTGTATCATTGCACATCTATGTTTTACCATACCAATATACAATACATTATGGCTTTATGTTCTATCCTATCCTGTGTGTGATTCAACCGCAAAGCGGGCAAGTGAGTATCACTGAGTATTACTGAGTCTTGATAATGTGCTATATTTGTTGTACCAAAGCAAGAGTGCCATCATAGATACTATATTTACCACGTACCTCCACTATACTTTCGGTATATAGATCCTATACCTTGTTTCATATGCTACCTGTTTGTTGGCGCTGTTGCTGTGCCGATACTTCGCTCCCAGCATGCAAACAGAGCTGTTTCCCATGCTGATTCCGGGTGCGTGTCGGGCTCTGGTCAATGTTTTGAACTAGACCTCTTATGGAGATTTGATGTTCAACAATTGTCAAATAACGGTATTATTTATAAGAAATATGCCATTTATGTACAGGGTTCTAGCTTTATCATACACATCTAAATCGTTTTTCGTCAATTACACAACATGTGAATTTGACAGTTGGTGGTGTAGCCCATTCAATATATCTGCTGGCTAAATCTTCCCTCATTCCGGCGGCATTGACAGACCCACTCGAATTAGGCTATCCTAGATCAGAACTAGATCTTGTTTAGCAAGGTGCCGGATTACGGAGCCTGCTGAAGTACCTGGCATCACGTTGCGTCCAGCTGGACGCAGCATCTCGAGTTCTTCTTCACACGCTCCCACTCCATCTCCTCCACGATGAACTCGAACTCATTCACCCTCGTTCTCACTTTATCTCACATTCTTTCGCCCCCACCCGCCTCTCTCTCTCATTTACTAGCCTATAACTTGAAATCTAATTTCATTCAGCGATTTTTTGGCACATCCAATATGTAAGTACTAGTCAAACTACAATCTGATTATTGTTTTTTTATCTTTAAGTGTCCCACACTCAGCAGCTCCAGCTGCTCGCGTCCCACCCCGAGCTTCGCTCTGTCCAGCCCAACTACCACAGGTCATGTTGGCATCAACAGACAGTGCCCTCGAGCGGGTGTCGATCCTCATTCGAGCCATTCGCAGTTCGTGAGTCCATCAATCGCTCGAGCCACGGGGTGGACTTTGTAGCCTCCGCATGAATCCTTAAGAGTATTTCGAATGTGTCGACTTGGAGATTACGTCGTCACGCAGATTGTGTTAATGTTGTGCCCAGATCAGAGGATGTGCACTCCGCACTCTATTTAATTCAAACGATTTGTATTACTATCATATGTGAATTATATCTCCTGGAGTCTTGGATGCCCCGCAGTTCTGCCTTGGGCCAGGCACAGCCACTTAAAGCAGGATGGACTTGCTTTTTCCGGCTTTTTCCGGGTGGCTGAACTTTAATGATGAGTGACTATACAGAACAGACAGCTGCCCAGATGCAAAATCCATCGCGATATAAGAAACTGGTCTAGTCTTTTTAACATATGGCACTGTCTTAGTCATGGACAAGTATGTGTTGCACGAGTGTGATTAACTGATCGAAACACCGTCCCGGAACACAATTCAATCACGTTTTTCACACTTGTGTCACGCAGTAAATACATAAAGAACTAAATATGATTACAACCAGCAGTAGGATAACTTTGTAAGCCAATGAGGTCAGGCAATATGAGTCAAGTCTTGGCTCTCCTTAAGGAGCGGTTAGAAAACACACAAAATATAAGAAGGACACACAAACTTTGATTTTCCCCCAGCAGACCCTCCACCATGTTCATGAGGACGCTTGGAAGACACGTCGCCAGTAGCATTTGCAGTAATGTTGCAAGTTGATGGTTTGCATATGCGACCGGTCCGTGTATGGCAAGTATGGGTATCACATTCTGTGATTGCGAAATCTGCTGCAGGAGGAGTGCAGGATGGTGTTGCTGATGCGTCTATACTAGGAGTGCTAGTGTCAGGGCAGCATGTCAGAGGGGTGGGAGACTTGGGAGCGATTGTGTGGGGAGCCTGCAATGCCAGAGTAGGTGTCCTGTTGATGAGAGTTGTAACAGGATCCGATTGCATGGATGGGGGAAGAGTTGGCAGCACCGTCGCATTGGCAGCGGGAGAAGTGGGAGCTATCGTGTGGGGAGCCTGCAATGCCAGCAAAGTACGTGTGCTGTCAACAAGAGTTGTGGTAGGTTCTGACTGCATGGATGGGGGAAGAGTCGGCAGCACCGTCGCATTGGCAGTGGGAGAAATGGGAGCTATCGTGTGGGGAGCCTGCAATGCCAGCAAAGTACATGTGCTGTCAACAAGAGTTGTGGTAGGTTCTGACTGCATGGATGGGGGAAGAGTCGGCAGCACTGTCGCATTGGCAGTGGGAGAAGTGGGAGCTATCGTGTGGGGAGCATGGGATACCAGCAAAGTGCGTGTGGTGTCGACGAGAGTTGTGGTAGAATCTGATTGCGTGGATGGGGGAAGAATTGGCAGCACCATCGCATTATCAGTGGGAGAGGCGAGGGCAGATACATGCAATGAGGACTGCGCAGATGCAAGTTGAGCGAATTCTTTGCCTGCCGGCACACTGGATGACCCGAAGTTACATAAAAAGGCGTTGAATTCTGGCCTCATCCAAAAATGCATCCTGTTTTCGTCCGGTAGGTTGGGATCTGAGTCCAAGAAGGGGCCAGAGTGGCAATTTGGGGCCGCAGATGTGTTCTCTCTGGATAATGGTAGGCTGTCTGGTACATTAGGCAGTATGAGGTTAGACATGGATAACGCCCCATGTGCGAAGTCAGAATCCCAGTCAGAGGTGTATGAGTCGTCAAAAGAGTTCCCGAATGTATCATTACTGGATAATACTGGGAAAGAAGAGGAGGGCGGTACATGGGCGGATACATCACAAGGTGCCGATATATGCTGGTGGGTGGGTGATCCATTTTGGGATATATCGAGTCTATCAGGTGAAAATCTTAAAAGACTTGGATCATCGAGGGCTACAGATACACTCTTTTGCCCTGCCCTCTTGACTGCCACTTCAGCTGCACACAAGTCAGTAACTGTAAGGCACTGGCTAAACTAAGTCAGACGCACAATATACACAGTAAAGATAGTCCCGGAATGGCTCCATAATTCCAATGTCAAACTCTGGGTAGGCCTTATTGAAATCATTCCCCAGCTTCGTGAGGCCAACATGAAAACTTCAACTACCATAAGCATGTATTGAGATATCAGACGTCAGATGAACTAACCTATAGCAATCAATTAAACCACCAGATTTGGGGGAGGGACCACCAGCAAGGAGCGTGTATGATAGGCCAGTTGCATTGTGAAGTCCTTTCAAGAATTTGTTGACGATGGCCGCAAGTTTGTCGAGATTTCTAAATGGAGGTTAGTGAGCACAGCAAGATCTGTATTCAGATCATGACTAACTGTTGGTAATTCAAGTTTCCCTCACTCCAAATGCCTTCCTTTTTGTTTTTCTCTCGCATTACCTTCTGCTGCTCGATGAACTCTTTCACCTGTGTCTTGACTTCATCTGTCTCAGCCTCATATACCTTGGCAGTCTCTTTCTTTACAAGAGCTACATGTTGCCCTAAGGTGAGCTGCTCCCCGGTAGCCTTTAGTGCCTTCAGTGCTTCTTGTACTTGAGGCTGTGCACGTTCTTTGTAGAACAGGACAGAATAAGCTTCGTGTTCTTGATAGGCGTGTGTTGACTTTTCACACTCCGAGATGCTCTCCACTATGGACTGGAACACATCGACAGCATCTGCCTTCGCCTGTCGACCGGCCCTCGTACTGCCCATGCTATTTTTGAAGCGATTATAAAGTTTCTAGTGGATATGTCAGCCAAGTGATAGGTGAGTATTTGAAACCCTCACGTTTGTGCGTGATTTTTCCGTGGCATCCATTATTTTTTTCTCCTCTTCTGTGAGAGGGCCATAAGGAGTGACGGTACTTGGTCTTGGCTCGGGAAACTCATCCAACCATGCCTCATTAAGGTTGCAGAAAAAGTTAGTATAGTTTTTGAACTTTCCTACCGATGTCTCTTTGTACTTTGAATACCACGGCTGCAGCCACTTCTCTTGTTCAGGGGTTGTCCACTTTTTTGGTGCCATCTCTACAATAAGGCATCAATAAGTACTTGGTAAAAATGACTAATAACATGCCCATAGGGCATTAACAAGCGCGTTCATCAGGAAAGGGTTTGACGTACTTCTGGTAAGAATATCTATGATGCGTCCATAAGGCATTAATGAGCGCATTCATCTCGGGCAAAAGTTAATGTACCACTGGTAAAAATGTCGTACATGCCAGAACGGGAAAAGTGATGTGAAATTTTTGGAGCCTGGTGTCTATAATTAGCTCTGATGTCTCCCGGAAGCATTTTGTAATTCGTACCTTTCGGGAACCCCTGGTGAACGTTTGAACCCTTATCCCAAGGCATGAATGGAGCTAACGAGACCCGTGTGTAGAGTCGACTACAGTAGGAAAAGCACCAATTGTAAGCTGCACGAGTGCATTGAGCGAGCGTGCCAGATTGTAGATGGGTAAACAGAGATGACGATGACGAGAGAAAAAGATTGTGGAAAGGACGATGAAGATGACACCAGAACCTGGAGATGAATTGCGTAAAATTGGGATGGCCGCTTTATGAGTCTTGAGCGAGCGTGCCAGATTGTAGATGGGTAAACAGAGATGACGAGAGAATAAGATTGCGGAAGGACGATGAATATGACACCAAGGCCAACGAGCAAAGAAAAGCCATGCGATGCGTGAATTCTACATTTGCAAAGGGCGACATAGACGAGACCGACAAAAGATGAGAAAAAGCTCGACCCTTTCAATGGTACTAAGCTCACTTGGTGGGTTTTGATCCTATAAAAGTCCGACAAAAGGTGAACAGTTGCAACAAACCTACATTGTCGTAGACTCATAATAAAATTGAATCGCTCAACAACAGACTGATATACTGAGAGTTGCTGAATGGGTGCTGAAATATGTAGATCAGGTGCTGGGACAAAATACCAAACATTGCAGAACATAATAACTAATGGCAGACTTCGGTCCTATAGTTAAAGTCCAACAAATCATGTAAAGGCAAATTTTGGTCCTATAGTAAAAGTCCGACAAATCGTGATGCCAACGTTGTCAGACTTCGTCATCCTCACTCCTCACTCATGGGCTGACCAAAGCTTTACAACACTCCTGAAGAACGTAGTGACGCCAAACGAATGCATAGGTGTTCACACTATGCAAGGTTTGTTACTGCTATGTACTCACAGTTGTACTTATGACACAACTGACATATCCTTTGGCACAGGAATAAATATGCGATTAGTCTCAGGAGGAAGGAAAAATATTGCTCCCAACTTGGAGATACGGGCATTTTACCCTGCACTGCAGTGCCACTCAGTCAGTCTTTGATGAAGAAAAAGCCCCACAAGCAAGATCGCCTGACAACCTATCTCGGAGGGGAACCTTGCGACATTATTGATGGCCTGTTCCAGGAATACTTGAAGACAAGGTCATCGGAGAAGCTTCGGGTAGCTGTAGGAGTGATCGATGAGATTTTCCTTGAGACTCGGAAGATGGAAGACGACTTGCTTATGCAGGGAGGTATTGGCAAAAGGTACGCTAAGGCCTGCCTTGCTACAAAATATGCCAAGAGTGTACTCTCTGCACTGGAGGATGTCTTATGCGATGTTCTTATGGACAGCAGTCACGACACAGACTTGCAAGAAAAATATAATGCTAACGAGTTCTTATTTCAATGACTATGGCAGTAGCAGCGCCAGCACCCATCTTATGTATATAGTACATACTCGCGTTGATAAATTCTCAGCTTCTTCACATCAACAATATCATTACAAAGTCTATTTTACCACAGATCTAGAGACAGTGGGCCATTGGGGTACTTGACGCAACGTCCATCAGGAGTCCCACAGCATCCTGAACAACCATACATCGTACGAGCGCGTCTCAGATTGAGCCATGCCCACCACATCCAGCTCTGCAAGGTCTAATTGTATAGGCCATTGTCAACTGACAATTTTGCAAGTGTATAAATCAGTATAGTAAGACTTACATCTCCGCGTGCTTGTTCGGCTAATTTCAACTGCATCTCATCATCTTCGTCCAACTGAAGCTCCTTCTTGTCCTGGTCAGGCCATAGAACATCCTGCTCGGGCCACATTTGCAACCACCCTTCTAATAACTCCACCTTGAACGTCTTAGGTGTTGGGATCGGAAGCAGCCGGAATTCAGTGAGACGGGGCATTAGCCACACGTGTTGGTCTTGGGTTGGCTGCCAACATTTTTGCATCTGCTCACCATTTTGTTAGCCCAAGCTCTCAAGTGAGCATTACATCATGCACTCGTACCTCTTCGTGGAGTGCAAGCAGAAAGGATGGGTGGATATGAATTACCAGGACATGAACTTTATCAGGTCAGTCCCTATCCACCATGATATATCATGTGTGATTCACCATGTTCTAGTATCCAACTTGATATATCGCCTGGATAGATCAAAGCTTCTCCCTGTAAAGACTACTGTATATTTGTTCAGGCGCCGCATCACTGTGTTTGGTACATTTTTTCGTACATTTAATGTTCTGCTAAACAACTAACAACATGGCAGGTGGACGTCCATCCAAAAAGCCGAAACTTTTGAGGCATACAATCAGCACCGACTCTGCAGCTGCGCACGTTCACAGGCACCAAATATTTGCTCTTCAACAAGATGGGGAATTTGCCTTGCGTACATCCTATCTCCCAGCAAACCCACTCAGTATTTCTGACTCGGTGGCTGAGTCTCCAGAATCTCCCAACAATAACTTAGCCGACCCATGGAATGAAGTGGAATTTGACCCTGTACAGAACGAGCCTACTACTACTGTCACAGAAGAAGTCATCAAAGCGAAACGAACCAGACGGGTACGTAGAAATGTTGTTTCCATCTATATAAATGGTGAGCTCATTCGGCTTGGATAGGATGAGCTTGCTTTCTGGCTGGAAGAACGGCAATCATACCTTGACGAACTTATCTGTTTGGAGGGCAGAGGTGGGGAAAGTCAGTGCCGGTGTGGTGTGTTATCTGCACAATTCAGATGCGAAGATTGTTTCTCGGTCGAGCTGGTCTGCCGTGATTGCATTGTTCAGTCACACTACCACGCACCCCTACATAGAATCAAAGTAAGTTTTTTCCCTTACTATGTATCACAAGACACTAACTTCTGGACACTCCAGCAATGGAAGGACGACTTTTTCCACACGGTCTCACTCATGTCACTGGGTCTCCATGTCCAGTTGGGTCACAGGCCAGGGGAAGAGTGTAATAGCCACAGAGCAGCCTACGACAATGATTTCGTGGTCATCGATGTACATGGGATACATGAAATAAAGCTTGACTACTGTGGGTGCGCACATGCACCATCCCGCTACAAACAGCTCCTTCGTGCACGATGGTTCCCGGCTACAACAATCGATCCCAGAACAGCAGCAACTTTTGCTGTTCTTCAACTTTTCCACCTTCTTTCATTCGAGTCCAAAGTCTCTGCCTACGAATTCTATCATTCTCTTACGCAGAGAACCGACAACATTGGTACTAAGCCAATTTGTGTAAGTACCCACCAAGTGCCTTTTTCTCATCTTTTTTCCGTCTCGTCTAGTCATCCCAATTTCATGCAATTCATCTCCATTGTGTATCGGTGCTTTTTCTACTGTAATCGACTCTACACATGGGTCTCGTTAGCTTCTGTACTTACTATTGATTTACAGGATCGTTATTCTGTGTTCCTCCGCATAGTATCAGAGTGGCGACACTTGAAGGCACTGAAACGATCAGGGTGGGGGCACAATCCTGCAGGTATCGAGGCAACACAAGAGGGGGAGCTGGCTGTATTGTGTCCAGCTTGCCCACAGCCTGGCAAGAATCTTCCGGAAGGTTGGGAGAATGCGCCACAATCTGAACAGTGAGTATTTTAATTCAAAGTGTGCGTGTCACGTGGCCACAGTCCGAGCTGAAATATGGGACAGATGGCTGTACGGCCTTTTTTTGGTGATTGATGCAAACTTCCGCCTGAAGCGCCATCTGGTGTCAACCGACAGCAAAGATCCAGGTTTAAGCCACGGGTGGGGTTACTTTGTGGAAGAAGGTAAGTATAAGGGGCACATCAATATGAATAGCGAAGTCTTACAAGAGGTGAGTGTGACACTGTTACATCGTCTCCAGCCTAGTAAGACTGATTGGGACTAGAAAAGTACATGTGTTAGTCACAATGCTGTGAACATGGCGGATACAAAGAGTTCGAAGGGGCTCGCCGCTACAGGAGTCAGTACAGTAGACTGTGCTCGCCATGATATGAAGCTTCCAAACGGTGTTGGAGATCTACAGAAAGGAGGAAGTAAGGCTAACTTCCGTCCTTTCAACTAAATGAGTTCTCATATTCCTTCCCTAGGTATCTTAACATGGATTACCTCGTATTCTCGGCCCTCGTTGCATTTTCGCAGCTTATCATCTTCAACTTCTCCTATGACATTGCCTGTCAGTGGCATAAGAAACTCTGGAGTCGCATGCCTAGCCTTCCTCTTGCGCTTCACCTTGATCATCCAAGTAAGGTGATAAATTATTTTGTCCCAAAGTTCCACTTGGACGCCCACATCAAAGTATGTCAAACTAAATTTTCATTCAATTGGACTCCTTGGGTCGGTCGAATGGATGGAGAAGCACCAGAGCGTGGATGGGCGAATATTAATCGTGTGGCTGCAAGTACGAAGGAAATGGGTCCAGGAGCTCGTCGGGACACCCTCGATGACCATTTTGGTGACTGGAATTGGAAGAAGATATCAGGTTTCGGTGAGTCAATACTCTATTTAAGTTATCGTTTATATAGTATTCTCATGACATCATCTCCAGGGTGAACAATGTTGCGCAAAATCAAGGAAGCTGTCGAGGCAGAGAAAGACCATCGTGCTGCGCTTCAAGAACTCGAGGGGTCCATTGAGTTTTCAGAGTTGGGTGCTGCGTCCATCGCTGAGTGGAAAAATGAGGTCAAGGCATGGGAGACTGACCGCACAAAGCCAAATCCTTTTGATAGTAGAGTTGTTGGTGCGTCTATTCAATCTGTATCATGGTTTGTTTCACAGTGTCACTTCTCAGAAATGACACAGCCTGCAGTTCGCCTCGCCCTGGTGCAACAGGATGCCAGGGAGCTTGAGGATGGCGCCGTCATATCACTCCATGCTGAAGTAACACCTAGTGTGCTCATTAGCACTGCCATAGATCTCGAGCACGCACAGTAAGTTCACAGTTTTGTTCTCTAATAAATATGACGTCTGACATTGATATAAGACGTCGTCTTCGGGTAGATGCAGATGCACTTGGGCTGCATGTGACCGACACCCAGAGAGCAAACATTGTGACCCGCAGGAACGCACTGCAACACCGGGTTGAAGCATGGTCTAGTGTTCAAGTTTTATATATGCCCATTGTTGCCAACTTGCATGCTACAACCCTCCCCCATCCATCCCATCTACAAAATACTGGCCATGATGACAGCGGCTTACCAAGTTCAAAGCCTGACTCCGGGAAAGCCGAGGATTTCCCACTTCTTTTCCCTTCCGATGTCTGTGATCTCACTGTTTGCAATCCGAAGCTCCTCGAACTCGAGTGGTCACTGCGGTATGCTCAAGCCAATGATGCACTCGCTGAGTGCCGTTCACATATTCGCCTTCGAACCCAGCTACTACGTTTCAAAGCTCAAAACATCCGTGGGCAAGGTGCCAACACATGAGCGCGCAAGACTGTTGACACACTAGAGGATCACTTGGCAATGTCTCACGCGAAGTACTGCTGTGCTCACAAAGCACTCCTCGCACTTTCAACACACATTGATCACATTGGTTGGCAGCGGAGGTTTCAACCGCTCAAAAAGTCAGACCTTCGACCTATGGGAGACTTTGGAGGACAAACCCAGGGTACCACTATTATGTCTTGGATTTGGCTGATGCATGGAGTTTCCGCTGATGATAGTGCTGGTCTTCAGGACTGTGAGTAGCTGTCCAAGCACGAGTCTATCAGTACTAACACATTATTTCTCTAGCTCTCCACGTTGAATGGTGCAAGGCCAGGGCGCGCCACAACCGGTGGCACGAAGAAATTCAGCTACTCATGGAGGAAATGCGGCGTGTATTGGCTTTCCTGAAGTGGTATATACAATGGTGGGAGGAATGCGCAACCCTTCGAACATTTGTAAGGGCCGAGGAGACAGAGGGGTTTGTGGCATATGCCAAGCGTCAGGGTGCTGTTTGCCGTGCGTTGTTGACGAGTTTCGAGGACAGGTGGGCTGGTGTTGCGGGGCTCGTGGAATCTGTGTATGGTGATGTGGACATTGCCGAAGACACGTCATTCGATTGTGATGAGGGACCATCACTAGAAGCTCCCCCTCTTGAAGATATTGATAATGTTGACTGATTTTGTATCTAGTATGGCTCTTATGATAAGCATTCCGCTTGCCTATGGACGGCTCAGTCTTTTATCTTATGAGAAAACTGTTGACAACACGATTGAGCTGAGGAGCCTCCGAAAATTGGTTCCGTGGCCGCATCAAACGACCCGTTCTTCAACATGTACATAACGTGTTCCGAAAACAGTGGGGGATCGAGATTGATCGAGATTGAACACTTCAATGCGATAACATGTTCCAAAAGCAGTGAGGGATCGAGATCGAAAACCAGATCGTCCACAGTCAAGAATTTCAGCCAGGGCATATACTTGGTGGTGAGGCACATATTGGCCGTTGTACGGAGGTCAACGGTGTTCTGGCGGTGATATAGCTATAGACAACCTTACAGGATTGATGTATCATAGCATGGATAGCTACATCCCTCAATGTATCGCAGTTTATGGCTTATAAGCCAATATGATATATCGTACTGCCAGTACCAGGTGCAGTCTGTTCCATTACGACTGAGGCTAATGCACTGTCTAGCTCTAATAGGTTATGAGCCCTGCTCTCTCATAAAACAAGGAGTGGAACCGTCTAGATGACAGCAGGCCAACTAGGAACAAACACGCCAGGCTATCTAGCACCCGCGGATCACCGAGGACGACATCAGCATCACCTCGACTCATATCTTCTCTCCTTCTTCGGATGTCGACGTCATTCGAACGCATAGTCATTTCCTCTTCGGGCCAAAGGTCTCGAACACGTATATATACCTGAGAAGTCGCGGATCACCCCTTTCTCCTGTCTTCCATCATCATGCCGTCTGCCACACACACCCACTCTCGGAGCTCCGGCACTAAAGGGGCTACACTTAGCCCCCCAGCCGCTGGTTCCTCTATACCAACCATCAATACCATGACCTCCCTGCAGGCTACTGTTATGGCGATCACCCTCAGCCAGATGGACTTAGACAAAATTGAAATCCTCGACCGCAGTAAGAACAATTGGAGTACCTGGTCTGACCGCATGCAGAATTATCTGCTCTTGAAACACGGAGGCAGGTATATTCTAGGCCTCGTCATGCGCCCTGATCCGTCTGCAGATCCTGCGAGTGCAGGTCACTGGGACCTCAATAATTTATGCATAATCGCTGCTCTACGCATGCGCTCAAGTTCCAAAGAGAACGAATTCCTTCGCGGTTACACCAACGCTTACCTCGCTTGGAACACCCTTAAGTCACGCCATGAACAAGTCGGGCCCATCGTGCAGATCTTACTAATCCAACAAGCTCTGGCCGTTCGATACCGACGCTCTGAGCATCTTTCCACCACTAGTACCCAACTTGGGGAACTCGTGAGACGCATATATGCTATAGGCATACCTAAGGAGGAGGATTTCCTTACCATCATGATGCTCAACACTATGTCAGAGGACCTCCCCCATGTCCGTAATCACATTGCAGATGCTCTCTCTGCCAGTACCTCCGCCACGGCATATGGCCCCTCCAACATTTGTTCACGCCTTGACGTCGAGCAACAGCTCATGGACACCGAAAAGTCCAAGAGTGGGGATATAGCCATGGCTGCCACCGGGAAGGGGAACAATACTCAACGCCGTGATCGCGTTTCCTGTGACACCTGCAGCAACTCAAGCCATCCCACCAAAGACTGTTTCGCCAAAGGAGGGGCGATGGAAGGAAAGCGCGATGAGGTTCTGGCGCGCAAACGCGCTGCACGGGAGGGAAAGAGCTCGTCAGCAGGGAGTAAGACTACTACGTCTAAGCCTATGGCAGCCACCAGGAGACCCGGTGGTCTTTGATACGACACCAATGGTCAAGCATACCTGCTCGACAGCAAAACTCACCAAGCTATCTATGTCGCATCCTCCGAGCCTGCTGATACTCCTGCTCCCTCAACTGAATTTGCAGGTCTAGCCAGTGATACTATCACTCCTGCATTCATACGCGACCTGTCAGCTGCAGATGAGGATGAGTATACCACGCTTATTGCAGCTGTCGACTCCCTCATCACCAGCCTCAATTGGCGCGCACACTCGCGTCCCATTGACTTTGCCGGCATCACCTATAAGGCTCCCAACCAATGTTCCCGCACTATCGTGGACCCCACTATTGTTCCCTTCTTCCTGGACAGTGGTGCCTCCATCCATATCAGCAATGATGAGACTGACTTCTTCAGCCTTCGCCCCATTCCTCCCTGCGCCGTTAACGGCGTGGGAGGCTCGTCAATCCAGGCCGTCGGTGTCGGCACCTTGCACCTCATTGTTGCCAGAGGTATTCATATCACGCTCGATAATGTTCTCTTCATTCCCGCAGCCACAGTGCGCCTCATATCTGTCTCGGCCCTTTGTGCCGCACACCATTGCGTGGCATCTTTCGATGCCACGAACTGTTGGGTCCAAGCTTGTAGCGGTACCCATATGCTTTCTGGCACCCTCACTTCACGCCGCCTTTACGCTCTTTCTGGCGGCCAGCTGTCTGCGGAGCACGCTTACCTGGCCCATCACGTCCCCACTCTCCAATCCTGGCACTGGCATCTCGGACATGCCAACTATCGCGCGGTCTACAACCTTGCGCGCTCAGGCAATGTTGCCGGTATGCCCATTAACCTCTCTGTCGTACCTCCTAAGTGTGATGCTTGTATCCTTGGCAAACACCTGTCGCCTCCCAAGACGGCCACACTCCCTTTGAGTGTTGGACTGGCCAGAAACCGGACCTTTCGCACCTGCGCAAGATCGGCTGTCGCGCATTCGTCCTCATCCAAAATCAACACAACCCAAAGGTTTTTAGTCGCTCTATCGAGTGTGTTCTGATAGGGTATTCCCTTGATTCAAAAGCTTATCGATGCTATCATCGACAGACTCACAAAGTTTTTGTCTCTTACCATGTATCATTCATAGAATCACACCAGTGCGGACCCGAGGCCCCATTATCACCTATCTCAGCAATGCCAGCACGTTCTGTTACCGTTGAGGAAGTTCCTGATGTCGACACTCCTCAATCTTCAACCCCAACTCCAGCACCTTTGGCACCCGTTCAACCTCAGCATTCTGCGCGCCCTCCCCAGCCTTCTGAATGTCGCTGCGCATTGGAGAACAAGCCTTACGTTTTTCCAATGCAGCGTGCCATGCTGGACTCTCTCACTGCGGCAGAGCGCATCCGTGCGCTATCTAGCACCAATGGTAATACCCATCCCACTGAGGAGGACGTACTTGCGGCCTTACTGTCTGGGGAGGAGTCTGCTAACCTAGCCAACCTCTTTGCAGCGATGCCCGATCACCTTGAACATGAGTTCGCCGATGATCCTACAACCTACGTTGAGGCAATGGCATCCGAACACGCACCTCAATGGACTGCCACCCTAAAGGAGGAGTTTGATTCCTTACGCGACCTGGGCGTCTATAAGTTGGTGCCCTGATCTTCCATCCCTCCCGGCCATAAGATTATGTGCGGCCGCCCTGTATTTAAACTTAAGCGTGACCAGCACAGTAAGCCCGTGCATTTCAAGGCATGCTATGTGTGCCAAGGGTACTCTGCCGTCTGGGGCCAGGACTACACGAAAACTTCTGCGCCAACAGCCCGCCTCGAATCCTTCCGAATCCTTACTCACCTAGGAGCCGCCTCAGACTGGGAGATCGATCAACTCGACATCAAGACAGCCTTCCTTCACGGACTTCTCGAAGCTGACGAGGTCTGTTACATGGAGCAACCGGAGGGGTTTAAAGAGGAAGGGAAGGAAGACTGGCTATGGGAACTACAGAAGGGGTTATATGGTATGAAGCAGGGGGGACTCGTATGGAACCGGACGATGAATGATGCCATGATTTCCTGGGGATTCGCGCACCTCAAATGTGAACACTGCATCTACTATCAATGGACATCTGTAGGAATTCTCCTCGTCGCGATCCACATTGACGATTTTCTCACTGTTGGGAGCTCTAAGGGTGCAATTACGCACTTCAAGGATCAACTGCGTACGAAATGGATCGTTTCAGACCTTGGAGAAGCCCGATTCTGCCTTGGCATCGCCCTCGAACGGGACCAAGCCGCACACACCATCAGCCTATCTCAAACAGTGCTCATCGACAGAGTCGTTACTCAATTCGGCTTAAAAGATGCCATCCCTGTCTCCACTCCAATGGAGGCTGGCTTACACCTCTCCCGTCGCAACCATGCTCCCTCCACTGACGATCAACGAGAGCTTATGTCTCACACACCTTACCGGTTGTTAGTGGGATCACTAATGTATCTCGCCGTTGGTACTCGCCCGGACATTGCCCATTCTGTCCAACAACTCTGCCGTCACCTCGACTGTTATGGACCCGTCCATTGGGACGCCACCAAACGAGTTGTGCGCTATCTTAAAGGTACTTGGGACTTGAAGCTCGTTCTCGGGGGAGAACATCCTGCTCATTTTCTAGGGTTCACTGACAGCGACTTCGCCAACTGTCCCGATACACAACAATCCGTCAGCGGCTATTGTTTTACCCTCGGAAGTGGCCTCATTACTTGGAGTGCTCGCCAACAGAAGACAATCTCTTTGTCTACGTGCGAGGCCGAGTACGTCGCTGCGTCTGAAGCATCTAAAGAAGTTGCATGGCTCCGTACCTTGCTTTGCAAGCTCGAATTCACTCAGCCTTCCGCCACTCCCCTCCTTTGCGACAACACCGGAGGTATCACCCTCTCCGAAGACGTGTTGTATCATTCAAAAGTAAAACACATCGACATCAGCGTGCACTCTATCCGGGAACGCGTGGCTCGCGGACAAATCAAACTTCATTATGTTAAATCTATGAATAATGCGGCCAACATCTTCACTAAAGCTCTCCCACGTAAGGATTTTGAACGTCTACGCGCATGCCTGGGTCTACAGTGAGAAATCGAGGAGGAGTTGATGCTTATCGCGTCGAGGAGGAGTGTTAGTGCTTCGCACGTGACACGACATGATGCGCCTAGCAGAGTCGAACTGTTGGAATACGAACCATTGTATATAGACTGTCGTGCTTCATATTCTCCCCTCAGTCTGTTCCATTACGACTGAGGGTGAGCTCTTTGCATATCCGAGATATACCTAGACATTAACGGACATTTATAGCTAACGCACTGTCTAGGTATATCATAATATATCAGTCTGTTCCATTACGACTGAGGCTAACGCACTGTCTAGCTCTAATAAAAACATGACGCGAACCCATTTTCGAAGCCTGAACTGCACGTCTACAAATCCTAAAATGGGTTCGTGTCATGTTTTGTCAGTGTTTACATAATTTGACAACGTTGAATTCAGTGGCCACTAGAAAATAAGTAATACACAATCCCTGTCCCTATCCTTCCGCCGTTCCTCTATAATAGGTTGCATCTCCCTGTTCTCAGTATGAGCATCAGTTTCTCTTCTCCTGTTTCACGCCATGGCCTCATTCTATTCTACTCAGGTACACTTTCAAAATTTAGGAATCCGAGTCCCTGCCATGGCCGCTGACTCAATTACGCCGACCTTTCCAGTCATACGTCACCGCTGACAATAGAGCATCTGCCGAGGAACAATCCCTCCCCGAAGCCCTTCATCGCACGTCCTTCTTGATGATGCTACTCTGCTTTTTGGCGCTTGGACGCCCAAATATCGATGACTTTTGGAAATCGCTGTAATCAGATCAAGCTCTCGAAACTGTTAGGAACAGGTCGTGCTCTATCCTGGCCAGCACTGTCACCGCAATAAGCTATTCAACTTCGCGCCCGTCGCAGACTGAAGCTGACACTGACATGCTCTTATGAAGGCAAGTGTGCTCCTCGCTATAAGCGGTGTTTTTGTCAGCACGGATTCTCCTGTGTCATCCTTCGACTACACATCGCCCGTTCCCTATTGTTTGCTCTTTACATCCCTCATGCTCACCATGATCGCGATGATGACTTCTGGCTCGAGTATGATACGTTGGCTGCACGCCGATCGACACTGGATTCGAGAAGTAAGTCTTATTCTCTCCATACTGATTACCCTGGCTGACCTAAATATGATCAGCAACTCAAGCAAGGTGGCTTCTTCGTCTTGTCCTACCTATTGTCGATAGTCACGCCTATATCCTTTGTTGCTTTGTCCCTACATTGTTTCATATTTGGTGAGTTGTTCCATCAATCGAGGCTTTCTCTGGTCCCTCATGCATTCCACCCAGCGATGATGATAGCAGGCTTTTCTTCTCAGAGCATGATCTACCGCGCCGTCACTGCGCTCTGGCTGGTCACGTACGCTGTCAACGTTGGGACAATATTGATGGAAGCTATGTGGAAGTATGCGACAAGCCTCAATCACACTGGATAACATCAGTAGTTTCCAGTTTGCTCCTTGTTTCACCCGCGTTAGCCTCCCTGATTGTTGAATGTTTGACATTTCCTTTTCTTTTTTTCCCATCATAATCGTACCAGTAGTAGCGGATAACAGGTTCGAAGTCTGCTGTTAGCGTCAGGCCTTGTTACATTTGATCTTCATTTGTGACCAGACTTCAGCAGACCTTTTTAGTCGTGCCATCCCATGATAGAGGGCAATCGGTGATCTTATATTCTCAAGACCCTGTACCACAAGACATGGATTAGATATGATAATACTAAACATCTTTATTGCTTCTGTGCTGCCTGCATTCAAGGCAAGCTTTCGTATATCTGAGGCAGATCCTCACAGGGCATATTTCAGTTTTGGTAGACAATAAGGATTGAGTCGCTGTTATATTTTTGAGTGAAATGCTAAGGTTCTGTTCCACAGGCTCTGTCCAGGTACTATCATCACAACTGACAAAGGGTGCTGACCAACGAGACAGTTTTCTGACCTTGGTTGCTTTTGACTGCACAGGTTTGCATCTTGCTGATGCATCCATCTGGATATGTGCCGCGATGCCACTCGCAGTGTTTGATGTTTCTCCAAGGTTGTCAAGAATGGCGTCGAAATCATCCCTGAAATTATATTGACCCCTCACCGGCCTCATCCGGGTCGATCAGGTCATGGCTACAATTTTAAGGTTCCGTCAGTTCAGGCACCTCTCCGCACGGAAAATTTTCCAAGTAGACCTGTATTAGCCTCGGAGCGGAGTACGAAGTAAGACTGTAAGATTCTCCGAAGGCCGAATAAATCGAACTTCGCAAAATTTACGAATGCGAGCCTATCACCGTGGGCCAAGTCACCCATCCAGATAGACGGGGCAAAATGATTGTCGAGAATGATACCAACCGTCGACAGTAGTAGGAACGCGCACCGGACCAGAAGTCAACTCCACAGCCACTCCATTACGACAGAACGCGGCACATTGTTTGGCGACCAAACCTGTAGAAAGGAAGCCATTCCCAAAAAAGACTCCAAGTGGTGGTACCGTACTACCGGTCACTAAGTGAATGTTCCGGAATCCCTTTAACAAGCATAAATGTAAAACTCGACCTGCCCTAAATCCATGGTCTACTCTTGGTATCTTTGAATCGAATACATGGATTCGGTTTGGGATGGATGATAGAAATATTGGGCTCTATCATGATGTCCTTGTGTACATCTCCTGCTGCTATGAGAATGGGTATATAATAGGTTGCATCTCCCTTCTCAGCATGAGCATTACTAGTCTCTCTTCACTCTCCTATTTCACACCATGGCCTCATTCTATTCTACTCAGGCACGCTTTCAAAACTTAGGAATCCTTGCCGTATGACTCAATCACGCCGACCTTTCCAGTTATATGACGACAGAGCATCTGCCGAAGAACAACCCCTCCCCGATGCCCTTCATCGCGCGTCCTTCTTAAAGAGGGTACTTTGTTTTTTGGCACTTGGACGCCCAGATCTTGGTGATCATTGGAAGTCGCTGCAATCAGATCAAGCCTTCGAAACCGTTAGGAGCAGGTTATGCTCCATCTTGGCCAGTACTATCACTACCGTAAGCTATCCAACTTCGCGCCCGTCGCGGACTGAAGCCGACGCTGACATGCTCTCATAAAGGCGAGTGTCCTCCTCGCTATAAGCGGTGTTTTCGTCAGCACGGGTTCTCCTGTGTCGTACTTCGACTACACATCGCCCGTTCCCTATTGTCTGCTCTTTATATCGCTCATGTTCGCCATGATCGCGATGCTGACGTCTGGCTCGAGCATGATACGTTGGCTACACACCGATCGCTACTGGACCCAAGAAGTAAGTTTGATTCTAGCCATACTGATTACCCCGGCTGACTTATACAATCAGCAACTCAAGCAAGGCGACTATTTCATCTTGTCCTACCTGTTGTCGATAGTCACGCCTATAGTCTTCATTGTCTGCTCCCTCAATTGTTTCATATTTGGTGAGTTGTTCCGTCATCTAGTGCTTTCCCTGGTCCCTCACGGATTTCACCCCCAGCGATGTTGATAGCAGGCTTTTCTTCTCAAAGCATGATCTGCCGCGCCGTCACTGCGCTCTGGCTGGTCGCATACGCCGTCAATGTTGGGACAATTATGATGGAAGCTATGTGGAAATACGCGACAAGCCTCAATCACGCTGGAGATCGCCAGTAGTTTTCCTCATTTCACCTGCGGTTTGTCTATGTTGTATACAACCTGATGTGGCACACAAATGTATTCGGATTTGATGTATGTAGTCTGGGGCTTTCAATTATGCAAATCAATTTTTCAAGACCGTTTCACAACACATCGAATCGTGTCGATGTGAAAGCTTATAGAAGACCTCAGTACACACGCTTCGCGCAAAAGCATCCGGCAGTCAGAAAGCAAGACAAGCCATTTATCATACTATTTAGCAACATTACAGGAAGTACTACTTTACATAATAGCACAACGAAGGCTGTAGTACCTAGAAAATGAAACGTCAGATAAGAGTCAACGACAATCAGATGCGTTCCCTCAGGAAGAACAATTTGTCCATCGTAAAATTCGGATATATGATTGTATGTTGTAAAGCATCTCGGGGAGAAAGGGGAGATTATGGCAGAATGCTCACCGGTGCTACATTATTATACAACCATCACAAGACAATCTGTAAAAAGAGGAAAGGAAAAGTAAGTACTAACTGATGCAGATGAACGGAAAATGAAGATGAGAATCAGTTAGTGATGCATGTTACGAGTGATGGCTCATTAGAGACCGTCGCCGACTCGAGGATGGAAAGTATCGTCATTCGGAAAGGTAGGTCGTGACGAGTCCCTTGTGTCTCCGAGTGGAGTCAACGTTGGAGTGTAGCCTTCCACGTCGTCGGGATCGCCGACTTCCTTACTCAGTCTCCCGAGCGGCGGACAGATGGGGTCTCCGCGCATCCCATTCAAGGGCAGACATGGCGGCTGGCAAGCTTCGCTTGGGACGACGACGACGAGTCCCTCGACGAGGCGCCGGAGTTTGGAGAGCATCATGATTTCGATGATCCAGGAAGCGCTAGATGGGAAAGTTTAGAGACTCGTGGGCTTCCTGGAAACGGTTCGCCTTATGAAGGCGGGGGCGGTAGTTCTTCCCATAGTTGATTGGGATCGAAGCGATACTGTATATCCATAGTCATTTTTTCTAGTCGCTTTGATGGATCGCAACCTCGTGATAAAAAGAACGAGTATGAGTATTATTATTAATGGACAACTTTATTGAGACTGCTCTCGCCCACCGACCTGCGACTACGGAGAGCTAGGCTCTTCGACTGATTAGGCTCAGGCAATCGTAAAAGGTTCGAAGTCCGTCAGGCCTATTAGGCTACCTGGTTATATCCGATCTTCATTCCGGACCAGCAAATAGCTTGTAGTCGTGTAATCTCATGACGGAGGGCATCAGTGACATCATATTCTCAGGATTCCTGACCTGGAAGATAATGACTTGGAAGGTAAGAATGAGTGCAAATGTATGGATGGTACCGCTGGTGTTTTCTGATTGCCGGGTGCTTTTGCGAAAAGCGTGTGCACGTTCTACACTTGAGGTTTCTCTATAAGCTTTCACACGTCCTATCAAGCGCACAAACTAGGTGCTTATAGGAATTCTTTGAAGGTAGCATTATGTAAGAGTCCGCGAGGCAGTCCGACATCAGTAAATTCACGAATTGCTTAATTTCCTTTTAAGCTCTTATTTTTCTCACCCAAGAGCGGACAAGAACCAGAACACCTCCTTGTCACAAGGAGCAACAAGCTGCCAAGAAGATCCCTTCCTCTTGATTTGAGCATTTTCGCACTTTTTTTCATTTGTCCTACACTTTTTGCACTTATTTTTAGAACGAGCTACATTACAATCCCCTTATGTCGCACTTATTTTTAGCTTGTTCACACTACTGTAGAGATACGACACTAGGTTCGTCACGTGCAGCCCGTGACGATGTCACGCTTAGTCTTACAGGTTCGAATGGTCAGGTGACCTGTGACCTTACCCAAATAGATTCGCCTGCGGATCGTAGTGCTTCGCCGCTCGCAACGCCGTTTGCAACCATCTGACATGCTGCTTCGTGATTCAAGCAACTTGCTTCAGTCTGTCATGGATTCGCCTCGCATAGCGCTGACTGGTAACGAGTGGAATTTGTTCAGAAGAATGATCCAGCTGGATGGACGAGGATTGCTACTGCTCAGTACAAGACTGTCAGCGTTGACCAGGCAACAAACTCCGAGTCAGAGAACGAGGCCACTGATACTACCGGAGCCGAATCCCCCTTCGACGATGCTAGCGAGCATGACCTCGATGCCAGTGACGTGCCAATGGATGCACTCCTTGATCATATGGCTTCCGGGGGTGAACACGTCCGTTCTGACTGCCGTATCGATGCAGATGGCGGACTTCTGTGTTCAAACCACTCCGAAGTCTATGATGTGGGTGACATTACTGCCAAAGATGTGGAGAGTGGCTCGAATAGTGTTCCGAAGGTTGATTACAGGTGTGGAAAGCGTAGACGCATTGCAAATTCGATGTATGATGATTTCTGGTCCCATTAGCGCATAACCTATGTTTTTTTTCCCATATGTCACAAATTAGCTTCGTCCCACCAAAAATTCATGTGACAGTCACACCAAATAGATTCGATTCGTTAAGGGCTGTGACCTGTGACGAACCTAGTGTCGTATCTCTACAGTATATACACTTTTTCACACTTGTTCACACTTGTTACCAGGAAAAAGAATTGCATTTCAACCGGACAAGAGGATTAAGTAGATAAAAGGTTAAACAAGGAGAAAAATAAGGACTAGCAAGTAGATTAATAACGAGCGCGACAAAGCAAACGGAGGCGGCAACGAGACATAACGAGCGCGACAAATGGAGGCGGCAATGAGACATAACGAGCGCGACAAATGGAGGCGGCAACGAGACATAACGAGCGCAACAAAGGAAATGGAGGCGGCAACGAGACAGCATGTAAAAAAGACCAGGGAACATAGCATGAATAACCTTGAAGGTACTAGCAGCGTCGAAGCTCCTAGTCAGTTGCAAAATAAACTACAAGAGTGAAGGACATTACCTCTAGAAAATGAACGCTCGCTCATCCCCAGATTCTTCGTCCACATCCATCCGCGCGCCGCCACGCCTCTTCGTGGCGAGGCTCTGCGCAAGCTCAGAGTTTCGGATAAGGACCGAGTCTGGCAAGTGTGTGATAGACGCCATGTAAGCCCTCGTGTGCGCACCCCAATTGGCTTCTGAAAATACCAAGGGGACGCTGCTCTGGTTGCCTGTGGATGGATTGACGTCGAGCGGGGTCTTGTTGCCTCGACCATTGCCAGAGGTGTCGATGTCTCCTAGGAGCATGTGTCCATTGACGAAAAGCCTGATGGCGCGTTCCATCTGAAATACAGGGTAAGTTAAGTCAGCTGTATGAGAGGGTAGAAAACATGTGCTGCTGCCGTGGCAAGACTAAGAGCGCCCTTCGAGTGCCCCAGCACTGTATCGTTTGTTCCCGGCAGGTTGACAGCGCCGGACGTGGCACACTTGTGCTGCACGAGAACCTGTACAATAAGGTCAGACTGGAACGAGTTGGAGACCTCTCCGTCCTCCGCGATGTCCCCAAATAAAAAGGTGAACTTGTCGAGTAAGGCCGATGCAAAATCTTTGCGGTCCTCGTCAGTCTTGAGGTCATCTTGTGAGGTCATGAAGTTGGCGAGCACGGCAAGAGCCACATTGCTAAAGGTATTGCGCCACTCTGACAGCCGCTGGAGGGTCTAGAAAAATAAATGACAGATTTAAATCACGTTTGAAAACAAAACGTACAACGGCAAGGACAGGCCCATCAGCTTCAACCGTGTGTGGAATCCAAAAGAAGCATCATCATAGTTACTGATAGATAAACAAACTCACACATCAGACGTCTTCTGAACTTCTCCATCACGTGCCTTTGTTGAGTCGATAACGATGCCAGCATTTAATACTGCTTGAATTGCTTCTCTCACCGCCAGTTTCTTCTTCTTTTTGGTTTGGACCGGCTCCCCATCCTCATCCTCACTTGCAGGATTTTCGACGCTAGCATCAGCTGCTAACCTTTTAGCTCCACCCACGCGACCCCTGCCTTTGGTGACAAGAGGCTTATCGGCGACGATTTTTGCTCCTGCCTGCCTATCATCCATAGTCGAGTCAGAGGTCTTCAAGTCCTTTGCAGCCTTCCCCACCGGGCGTGCACGAGGACGCTTAGGCTTAGGTGCGTCAACACGCATAGCATCTTGGTCAGCCTGCATCTGTGCCTGCAAAGTAGCAATACGCTGATAACTTTCTTGTACAGCTTTTTCACTTGCCTCCTTTGCCTCCCTTTCACGTTGGTCGTCAGCGGCCTTCTCAGCAGTGGTACGCTTCTTTCCACGACTATTGATTAAAATGCGCCCGGGATGCTGAGTTGCGTTCTTAGGTCGAGTCCCCATGCGCGTTGTAACTGCGTCAGGTTGAGACATTCTATCGATAGACGGTTTTGTAGGCTGATGAAAATTGAAGGCAGTGGGTTACCAAGTTGAAGGTGAGTTTCGTCACTCTAAAATTTGTAGCCAAAGCTGACTCTGAATAATATTTCTTAACGTATTGAATTGAGGGTCGATTGCAACATCCGGAGCATCAATATTCGCCAGCGCTTTTCGGCACAATGTGCTCAACAAAATGACATGTCCCGGATTGAAATACCTTAAGTACGGTGAGTATCAATGTTTACCAGAACCTTTCCGGTGATATAATGACGTCTAATAGCCTAGGGAATGTTCACCAGAACCTTTCCTGTGGTGGGGTGACCGTCATCAATGTTCACCAGAACTTTTCCGGTGGTGCGATGACATAACTGTCCATTTTAACAAACCCTTTCTGGGGTAGTGCACATTTTCGTTCCAACGGCACCTTTGCAAGGGTGATTTTTTCTTCAATATTAGCGGCTGGTTTTAAACCTTCACTAGGTCCATACGTTGCATCAACACTACTCATATGATGCGCAGAAACCGGCCTACTCACCGTGCCCTTCAGTTTTCATGCCTATCTCCAGGTTGTATGCGCTGGTTTCGAAACATCTCTGGCCGCACTCAACACATGCACGTGTCCCATCCCGTTGCACCTGCTCTGGATCTTCCCCAACCGCAACAGCTTCCATCTCCACCTCAGTCACCTCCTCCTGATTTCCTGCCACCCCCCCCTGATTTCTCGCCACCCCCTCCTGATTTCTCGCCTCCCCGATCACCACCTGGTCCAATGGCTGACGATGAGGATCCAGACTCAGAATTCACTGATGCGAGCAAGCGTTACTATCGTACGTATCACTCGCTCCTCAATGGTAAGTACCTTTCAATCTGCGCTTTTCACGTGTTCTGATTCTGACACGCTCTTAGGACGACCATGCACAGCTGACGGCGTGTTTCTGCCCCCTGGCACACCACCAACTCCTGTCCCACCGAAGTCTCCTCACGACTGGAGCCCGTATCATAACGATATTGAATTTGCAACGGCAGAGTTTGTTTTCAAACAAAGCCATATGTCTAACAAAGCTACAGACTTATTACTCGACTTAATGGCTGTGCAGCTGTTGAAACACGACGACCACCCTCCATTCGCGGATCACAAGGATTTGCACAAGGTCATCGACGCCACACAACTTGGCAATGTCACTTGGCAATGTCTCTCGATTCAATACACAGGGGAACGCCCTGAACATGATGCTCCTCCGTGGATGGACAGAGAATACGAGGTCTGGTACAGAGACCATTCGCAAATGTTCGAGGAGTAGTTATTCATAGTAAAATTTTATCTACTTGTAATCTACGACACACTTTAGTCTTCCTTGCTTTTGGCGCTTGTTGCACTTGTGGGCACTTGTGAATCACACATTTACTTGTGAGTGCTTGTGAAAGAAAAATGACAAGTGCATAAGAATAATAAGCGGCAACATGTTGAAGATTTTCGTGACAAGTGGCGAAAAAGGACGCTAAGGAGTTTGTGAATTTACTGATGGATCGAGAACAGTTCTGCACATATGTAAGAAAAGTTCTGCATGGGCCTCTGCGCACAGTGTACACCAGAACCGAAGTTTCGGTAAATGTCATCCATTTTTGGTTTAGGTCGACAGGGCGCAGGAAGATGCAGATGCTCATCGACTCATCCTATCAAGCGCCCAACTATAGGTACAAGGTAGCATTATGTAAGAGTCCGTGATGCAGTCCGATTCAATCACTGCCACTTGCTTGGCACTGCGTTCACATCACATCGTCGTCCAATTCTGAGATTGTATAAAAGTTGCATCTCCCTGTTCTCACTATGACCATTAGTCTCTCTTCACTCTTCTGTCAAAATCTCAGAATTGGACGACGATGTGATGTGAACGCAGTGCCAAGCAAGTGGCAGTGATTGAATCGGACTGCATCACGGACTCTTACATAATGCTACCTTGTACCTATAGTTGGGCGCTTGATAGGATGAGTCGATGAGCATCTGCATCTTCCTGCGCCCTGTCGACCTAAACCAAAAATGGATGACATTTACCGAAACTTCGGTTCTGGTGTACATGCGCAGATGCCCATGCAGAACTTTTCTTACATATGTGCAGAACCGTTGGAACCTCCTCTTACAAAAATAATCCTATATAATAGGTTGCATCTCAGTATGAGCATTAGTTCCTCTTCACTCTTCTACTATTTCACGCCATGGCTTCGTTCTATTCCACTCAGGTACACTTTCAAAAATTATGAATCCTTGCCCTGCGACTGAATTACGCCGTCTTTTCCAGTCATATGCGATTAATGACTTAAGATCATTTGAACCCCTCCCCGATGCCCTTCGTCCCATGTCCCTCGTAATGAGGGTGCTCTGTTTTTTGGCACTTGGACGCCCAAATCTTGATGATCATTGGAAGTCGCTGCAATCAGACCAAGCCTTCGAAACCGTTAGGAGTAGGTTGTGCTCCATCCTGACCAGCACTATCACCACCGTAAGCTATCCAACTCCGCACCCGTCGCGAACTGAAGCCGATGCTGGCATGCTCTCATCAAGGCAAGTGTCCTCCTTGCTATAAGCGGTGTTTTCGTCAGCACGGCCTCTCCTGTGGAGTACTTCGACTACACGTCGCCCGTTCCCTATTGTCTGCTCTTTATATCGCTCATGTTCTCCATGATCGCGATGTTGACGTCTGGCTCGAGCATGATACGTTGGCTGCACGCCGATTGGCACTGGACTCAAGAAGTGAGTTTTATTTTCGCCATGCTGATTCGGACACTGGCTGACCTAAATATGATCAGCAACTCAAGCAAGGCGACTACTTCGTTTTGTCGTATCTGTTGTCGATAGTCACGCCTATAGTCTTCATTGTCTGCTCCCTCAATTGTTTCATATTTGGTGAGTTGTTTCGTCATCTGGTGCTTTCCCTGGTCCCTGATGGATTTCACCCCCAGTGATGTTGATAGCGGGCTTTTCTTCTCAAAGCATGATCTGCCGCGCCGTCACTGCACTCTGGCTGGTCGCATACGCTGTCAATGTTGGGACAATTTTGATGGAAGCTATGTGGAAATATGCGACAAGCCTCAATCACGCTGGTTAACGTTTCCAGTTTGCTCCTTGTTTCACACGTGGTTTGTCTATGTTGTAATATATAGCCTCCAGCTCCGCACAAAGGTGATCATCGATCAGAATGTAGACGAGTACATGTATGTAGTCTGTGGCTTTCAATTATGCAAATCAAATTTTCAAGACCATTTTGATCACAACACATTGAATCGTACCAATGTGAAAGAACCTCAGTACACACGCGTTATGCAAAGCATCTGGCAGTCAGAAAATAAGACAAGACATTTATCATACTATTTTTAAGAAGCAACAATACAGGAAGCACTACTTTAATAGCACAACAAAGGCTGTACCTAGAAAATAAAACGTCAGATAAGAGTAACAACGATCAGATGCGTTCCCTCAGGAAGAACAATTTGTCCATCATAAAAATCGGACATATGCTTGTATGTTGTAAAGCATCTCGGGGAGAAAGAGAGGATTATGGCACAATGCTCACCGGTGCTACATCGTTATACAACCATCACAGGACAATCTGTAAAAAGAGGAAAGGAAAAGTAAGTAACTGATGCAGATGAACACGGAAGATGAAGATGAGAATCAGTTGGTGATGCATGTTACGAGTGATGGCTCATTGGAGACCGTCGCCGACTCGAGGATGGAAAGTATCATCATTTGGAAAAGTAGGTCGTGAGGCTTACCTTGACCAGCCTACGTGACACGCCGTGTGCACGATGGTGAAGGTTCATGAAAAAAATAAGCTCGCTTGCCGAGCTTGATCTTAAAGCGGAGTCTAGCGGAGACTCAAAAACATCTATACAGTTTCTGCTCGCAATTTTCTTATGCCATGACAGCATGTTCGTGGTTTACTCGCTCTCCCCTCTCCCAGTCGTATGAATCAACCGGATCAAGGTGAGCAACAAAATTTCTCGATGCTGGAGCTTTTGTGCACCTTTTTTTGTGATGATACAATCAGTTCTGCTTCCGAAAGAGACACAATCTCTTGTGGACAACCTTTTACCAAAAATTTTCAATCCTGATCAGCTTTTCTCTCGATTTACGGAAAGAACAACATGCTAACTACTGCTGTTACAGATGAATACACTGGTCGTTCGTGACGCGCTCATTGTGGAAGGGTGAGTACTGTTCACTAGAGTTTTGTACATCCGTATCTGCAGGACGAAATCAAGTTCATCCATTCTTTGAGTCTCCCGTAGTTGCGCGTTCGTTCGATCGCTCTTGTTCGCAAGAGATGCGTGTATGCTTCGTCTTGATTCATGTGCGTTGGTCCACGGGCGATGCTTTACGGGGGACAAGAAAACATCGGCTTTTCTGATTCATCTTGTGAGGTTCTGTTGAACACCTTGCTTACTGTTACGCTTTAGGTTGACTATAACTTCGGATTTTTATGTACTTCTATACGAGACATGTTTGTTGTGCCAGTGAAATATATTATGTTTTGCATATGACTGACTATCGCGGGGCGTGTTCTATAGTATGTAGTACAAGTTACGCTTAGAATTACAAGATATAAGTTCTATTCAAAGGAGTCGAGTCATCCATATCCGCGAAGAGCCAATTGAGGACAGCTGCAAGCCTGATACCACCCTGAGACATCAACTTCTCCACAATCCATGCATCCTCGATTGCCCCGGAATACTCGGGCGTGTCGAGTTCGAGGTATGGATTCTTCCTCGGCCTAGAAAGCCAGTGGACTTCAAGACTTTGATTGGATGAGTTGCAGGCATGATCATCGGTACTTCCAGAGAAGGAAACATGGTTGTATGGCGGTTCATCTAGTGCCTTCGGGAAGACGATCTGGCAGTTCAGAGCGTGAATGGGAGCTGCCCAATGGTATGGACACAAGGTTTCATCATCGGTGTTCAAACCTCCATCTGTAAGATGCGACCCCACAATCCAAGACCCTATGCGACGCCCAAAAGTCCAAGATAGCCATTGCTCCCAGTGAGTTTGCAGGGGTTGGACGGACGGTTCGGCGGGACACGTAAGCCACGAGTCGAGCTCGTCCTCGTACCTGCCCGTGATGCCTTCCCAGACAACACGACGGATATAAGGGTCGTAGATGGTGCCCCGAAGCTGACTCTCGACGTCGGGAAGTGGCAGAGGGCGAGTATAATTGGAGGGTATTGTGCGAATTCTTTTGGCTATGAGGAGGCCGTCCCACAGGGAGTGAAGGTCTGTCGCAGATGATAAGAACAAGGAAAGATAAGAGCGGGAACAACTGACTTGTCACACGACTGTCGAATGAGACTTTGATTCCGTTCCCTCCTCGGTCACGTCCTGTGAGGTGCAATGGCATGTGCATATCCCCAACGAAGTGAATGAGAAACTTGAGTGCGACCTGCGCCGCATCTTCATCGTTCTCAGTGGTCAAACCTGCTTTGCGCAGGCCCATGTAACTCTCCAGAGTATTTGTGGTGTTCCTTATGCCGCTAAGCACATTGATATTCCTTCTACCCTCCCAGCCTCTCTCTCCTGGGAAAGCGCAAGTCTCACTAGGATAGTCATCCGTTGCACCGATGTAGTGCAGAGGGCCTGTCCACCTGTACTGTGGCAAACCACGAATCCTGTCTGCCCAGGCAGCGACCGGAGCGAGATGGCAGTTCCCTTTGTAATTCAAGATGTCGCACAGGATGGGCATGACCGAAGGATGCAGATGCATCTGAGCGACTGTCGCGATGATTTCATGACCTATGAAAAGTTAGACTTTTCAGACACGACATACTGCCATACTCACCTACTGCTCCCCATGCACTGACGGATGGTATAATAGTGGACCCTGCGGCAAGAATGAGCGATACCCGTGAAAAGCGCATGGTGGGGGATGTAAAAGCAAATGGATACGGGATGTGACACTTCTTATATCCAGAAATGCCGCAGAGCGCGCAGTCAGAGGGGGACTGAATGGGGCTTCCACAGATAAGGTGACAGCTTTAGTAATAATAGTCAGGGTGTAGTGAAAGACAAGAGGTCCGAGGATAAGGAAACAATACGGAAATCAACGGAAATACAATAATAGTCTGCGACACAGCCACATGTGCTATAGCGACTCGAACCTTATCATACAGATCTCATTTGATTTCATCACAATTGAAAATGTTCAAATTCAACTTCGATGTGGAGGACGATACTGAACAAAGTACAGATGTAAATCACACAACACAAAATCATGGGCCCGCTTCTGTGCAGGCGGTCGTCCCAGACGTGTTCACAGAGCTTTTTCTCACGGACGCGGTACGTCTGATTACCGCTTATCTTCGTTCTGTAAAAACTGATCTGGGCGCAAGGATTAGTTAAACAGCCTACCGTCCAAAATTTCTTACTCTCCAATCACGATCCCACTTGCCAGCGGAGCTGAACTTTCACTTCCACGCCGTGATCTGTTCGATGCGAGGTTTCAATTGATCTCACAAAATGTCGATGACCCGGATGCATTGGAACAACCGTCTATCACTGATGCACGGTCTGCATTGCACTTTTTGGACGCACCCTCTGACCTTGTCCCTCTTGTCTACGAGGGCGGCTTGAAGACTTGGGAATGCAGTCTCGATCTTGCCAGCTATCTGGATGGTATAAGCTCACAGTTTGATGTAAGCGGCAAGCGTGTGCTAGAGGTGAGCATCCATTTCTCTGAACTCTGATAGTATGATGCAGCTCATTAATCTTTTCACAGATCGGATGTGGCACATCAATACCGTCGCTGTACATTCTTCATCGAATATTCTCCTCCCCACCTTCTCAGAATCAGACACATATCCACCTCCAGGACTATAACGCCTCCGTGTTGGAATTGGTGACTATTCCCAATATTATTCTGACCTGGTGTTCGTAAAATTTGGATATTTTCTTTCTACGCGTCTCACTCGAGATACAGATCTGTCAGAGGCAGCAGAGACGTACCGCAAATCAGAGGAGCAGGCAGACTCTCCTTTGGAGTTGGATATATCGGAAAGTCTCAAAGATGCATTCCATCAATCCTTGATGACCTACGGTGTCGAATTACGTTTTTTCTCTGGCTCATGGGATACATTCGACCTATGTGGGAGCTACAACCTGGTGCTGACATCCGAGACCATATACCGTATGGAATCTCTTCCGAGCCTTACTGCTATTATGCGCGGTGCTTGCAAGGCCGAAGGCCCCAAAGGTGTAGACGATTACCTCTGTCTTGTAGCCGCAAAAGTGCTCTACTTTGGTGTGGGTGGCGGAGTAACAGAGTTTGTGCGATGTGTACAAGGTTCGGATGAAGGAGGCACGGTTAAGACTGTATGGGAGAAAACACAAGGCGTCGAAAGGAGGGTAATGAGTATCACATGGAATTGACGATGTTATTTGATCCTTACCCGCGAAATGAAACGAAGCATGATTCATATGTCGATGAGGATAATATGACTGGGACAACGAAACTCGATATAATTGTGATAAGCAAAAAATGTGGACAAATCCGGACTCGAACCGGAGACCCCCCGCAGTCAGCGCCATGCTAAGCGGATGTGATAACCAGCTACACCATATGCCCGACGAACTTCATTCGATCTTGGGTACCTATTACCTATTACAGTGACCTAGATCTACATCGAGCATTATTCCTTTCTACATTCTAACCGTCACTGACAATTCAAAAAGAACGATTGACTTCATTCTGTCAGAACCTGGCTATTGCTAGAGACCTATTGTACGTTCTTTATTGTTGCGTGCAAAAGCTTATATCAGCCCCATTCCAGGATGTGTTCAAAATAGCTGGCTGGGTGTTCAGCTTCGAGCAAGTGCGCACATGGTTAGAGAAGTAAGGACAGCAATACCAGCACTTGCCGGTCGACTTTCATGCCACCGATCTCAACTATTGGTTCAGAGAGAGAAATATGGATTATCTGTAGGCCATCGGTACCGACTACTCTCGAGGGAGCCGGCACGCAGTCATCGTCTTAGTTCGAAGGCGCAGGGAAGATCCCAAGTTGATGGTGCCCCACTACTATCGTGTCAGAGAGTTGGATGCAGACCGTGAAGTGAAGAAGCAGGTGATGGAGGAGACTGGACTGAGTGATGAAGATCTACCTTGGGTCCACTGTTGTGGAGCCGTTCTTCATGAATTAACGTCGATGTACTGAGTCTCGACGTGAATGAAATTGTAGCAGAAGGATTGTTTGTATGTTGTTTTATATATGTAAAGTTGAGGAGATCTCTGAAAGATGTTGGCCGGTTCGGGACAAAGTCTGGGACACAGCAGGCTATCGGCATCTCTAAGCGGTGTACTGTATCCGTCACTGTGTCTCACGTTTGCTCACTGTGTGCAACAGTGCCAAAGACTTACTTGCCATGGACATCGAGAGCCTTTTTCTCCCATGTAGCAACACAGTGAGCCTGTTGCTATGCTACATATTGATCTCGGCCTGTCCTTGCAATGTGCTAGCCTCCTGACAAGTACGAAAGAACATGAGCAGCCAGCGGGGTGGGCGGGCAGAGTTGATGCGGACCATGAACATGCGGCATTCCAATATTCCCGGGATGTTGTTACGCCCCGTGGGCGGGATTAAGGATTGGCATGGATCAAGCGGGGTTCAAACTCCGCTGCAGGGAGCTGCTGTCGACTTTCAAATTTGGCCCAGACCGCCAACATTCTGGTGAAGTTGTAGGTTGAAGTTGGCGGGATACTGCAGTCGGGACGCACAACTTGGTCCTTAGGCCTCAGGCCTCAGAGTTCTTGTACCGCGCTGGAGTTTTTGCGCTTTTATCTCTCGTTGCCACTCGGGGGCGGCGTGTTGAGTCTTGACGTTTGAAGAATACCAGTCCGCGATTCTACATATCACCACTATCCAACCTTTCTGAATTCGATCGGCAAACCCACCCATCCGAACTCAAGCAGCTCTTACGAGTTGTCATTTTACTGCTCAATCGCCTGAATATCTATCCAGTTCATCACCATCGATTTCACCTTCCTAGACATGTCTTTTCACCACTCAAACACCTCTACAGCTTACCCGAGCTCACATGATCAAGTTCAGACTTAGTATGAACATCTGTATGTTGCCCCAAAGTTTAAGATAGCTATCGCTCATTTTTTTTTGAATCCTTGGTTATCGTACTTTGGGGCGAAGCCCTATGATGGACACTACATACGTACTGTTGCGGCGTTCTACTGGAGTTTGTGTGGTGTGTACTCTAAGCAATGGTTCCAGCTTGCGCGGGAACGGTGGAGGCTTTCTTCAGGCGCTCGGGTTGATGGTGGTCTCTACTTTCCTTCGTCTTCTTCTTCCGGGGGGGTCACGTCGCCGAAAATTGTCTCCATCCTCCTCGTGCGTGCAATATACGTTAGCGTGGCTCTCATTCCCTTCTTCTCGCTCAAGAGGTACCTAACAGCTATCGCTCATATAATTCCTTACCGCACTGTCGAAACCAACAGTGACTACGTAGTACTTCCTTGAGTTGTCTCGGGGCTCATTCTATTGCATATTCCGTGTCATGACTTATCATCAATCTCTGTATTTTATTCTCCTAATCTACGTCTTGTTATCTGACCAGGGACCTTATTCACAGTGTCTCGATCATCTGAAGGAACTTGGAAGAAGTTATCCTAGGTCGCTGTCAAGGGTGTTGAACACGTCCGAGATGTTTGGATGGTACTCGGGAGACCCTTCTCAACTACATTCGTGAATTGCTGGATGACGAGGAGCAGAGTCGAATGATTTGGCTGCATGTTGCGGACCTACGGTGGGCGTCGAAAAGTTTACTGTCATATTCACTGTAGCCGAAAGGATGAGAGGTCTGCGCGAGTGTCCGGCTTTAGCGTTTGTTTCGATGCCCTTGATGAATGCGATACCGAAACTATTGCCGTTCTCGTTTCCCTGCTCGACTACATAAGCTCTCCGTGAACCGTGATCCACACCTCGTTCGCGAGTCACTCGGAAGAGCACATTCGTAAAGCCATGCAGACGGAAGAAATGCGCCCACTCGTATGCAAGATACCACTCAACACTTCTGGGGAGGGCGTTACTACCACGTGTCGTTAGACGGCGCAGATATTGACTAACAATGACATTTGCACTTCCCTATTCCAGCAGAGTCATCTTCTACCAGACATAGAGATCAATCGATCACGCTATGGCCGCATTTGCGATTTTCACAGAAGAAATACGAGGACGAAGTTATTCAGCTCCTGACGCTTTCGAGTATGCATGACGAAGCTGGCCCCTTCCATCTCTCGCGGGCTCCAATGCTCGACCGATATTTAAGGTTTTTCGGAATTGTCATCCCCTCTCCTGGCTCGAAGCGCAATGGTGTTCAAAGGATCTGCCGCAGTCTTGTCTCGCAGTTTTATCTGAAGGTCACTTACAAAGGTGGTTTTTTTCTGACATTCCGATACTTCTCGAGACTCAGCATCTCACCTGCGCATATAGGAACATCTTTTCCAAACCCCAGAAGCATCTCGGTCCAGGGTTTGAATTTGTCGATTTTATGACTGTCATGGAGTCGCACGTGTATATGGCGTTCACGCTAAGCAAATCCGTTTTCCTATGATTGCAGTATATCCAACGCTTCCAGGCCATAAATTAGTTGTCATTGAGTCACCCACTTGAAATAATAGAATTTTGGGACTCCAAATGCCATTGTCGCGGCTTGAATGGATACAAATCTGCTCCTGTTAAATTTATCTTACTTTAGGTTCTAGCAATGGTAATGCATTGGGTGGTCAATAGCTAAAAAGACACAATACCGCTACGGTCTTACTATACAGTCAACGTTATGCTCAGCGGTGTTTCCTTTTCCCTCCTAACACACCTTTGGCTACTTTTTCAAAAACTCCTTCTAAATTGTCCGCTGTCTCCCAACCGTCTCCACCTGGAGTCGGTGCCCGCCTCCCATGGATACTGTAACAATAGAATTTCCCGCCAAGTACAAGGATAGCCACAAATTCATCATGGGGATCCTTCGAAGCCAAAACCTCGATGTATTCATGCAACTGGGCGCCCGCCGATTGATATGTCCCTCCCTCCTTCTTTACCTCGATACACACCAATGGAATGTCTCGGTTATCACCCACATGGACGATAATGAAGTCCGGCTCGAAGTAGGAGTCACGGGTAACTGGAGTGCCCGTGGAGTCTAAAGATAATCCTTCATCTTCAAACGGCTGATTATCGTCTCCATCATCGGGAAGAGCACTACGCCTGATTTTTGGCTGCGGCTTGACCATGAAGCAATCTGCCGCGAAAACGTGATTGGCGAGTTTATCGAGTGGCCCGTACCACGATGCTTCATAACGAGGGGGATTGAGATGCAACTCGTGCAAACGCTGCTTCCAAGCAGGAACTTTTGGCATGGTGGCTAAGAATATTGTGTTCACGGTCAGAACTCAGAACGAAGTATACATTGACTCACTGGGGGAGAAAGTTATGATATGTTGGATGACCGTTCAATAAGTAAGAAGAACACGTCTTTTAAGATACTCAGCTAGGAGCTTCCATTAGGCAGTTGTGGTCACGCAATCAGCAGCTATGGTTACAAGAAGCATTCGTGGTGGTATGTGGGACGCGATAGTTGAAAAAATGTACCACAAATGTTGGCCGCCCACTGATCGGCAAACAGGCGGGTAACTAACTTTGAGTTCCGAATGGGGCCTCGGCTTGAGGAACAATGCTAAACGATTTTCAAAACATACGATAATTATCCACCTACTAATGCGACAACCGGATCAGAGCCTGACGGTGCTCGAAAGACAATGTCCAGGCTGATATTGAAGTTGGTCACCTCCGGCTGATAGTGGCAGAACAGGTAGTGCGACAATCGGATCAGAGAACTTAAAGGGCCCACCCTGAAATTAAAGAAATCCTGAAGATTCAAGAACAATGCCCTCGGCGGTAGAAATTTCGAAGAACCTCCCAATCATGTTCGTCCGATAGATCAATGATCAATGATCTGATCATATTGAGTTACACGGTGGCAAGCACGTGACCCTTTATGGTTTGGTTTAATAGGCGCGTTGTGAGTCGCCACCTAACGTCACAGTCTAAACCAAAGTCTCCCAACTTGATCTTATATTTCTTTTCTGACAAGCCGTACGTTCATGAGGTACTTTATTGCCTATGCATGGCTTACGATATTTTCCTCTCCAGAATGGTGCTCAAAATAGCCGGCTGGGTGTTCAGCTTCGAGCAAGCGCGCGCATGGTTAAAGAAGCAAGACCACCCATACCAGCATTCGCCAGACGAGTTCCTTGCTACCGAGCTCAATTTCTGGTTCAGAGAGAAAAATCGATTATCTGTGGGCCGTCGCCACCGACTATCCTCGAGGGAGCATGCAGCCAGTCATCGTATTGGCCCGAAGGCGCAGAGAAGATCCCAAGTCGACGGTGTCCCGTTTCTATCGCGTCAGGGAGTTGGATGCGGACCGTGAAGTGAAGAAGCAGGTGTTAGAAGAGAGTGGACTGAATGATGAAGATTTGCCTTGGGTCACTGTTGCGGATCCATTTTTTGAATACTGATTGTTGTCGCTTAATCAAAATGGGGTGCCCGCTCGGGAAATGCCGGATACGAGGGAGGGCCAGAGGCATAACCTTGGAGGTCAAACATGCCAGTCTGAGCATCAAACGAGCATAAAGTGTATATTATGGCATCAAAATTGATGAAATACAGATCGATCGTCTTAGCTAGGTTGCAGGAAGTGGTAACAAATAATAATTGAGCTGACTGAGGCCCAAACGCACACCCTGGACATCCCAGCAAGTTGAGCGGTTTCCCAGTCTCTCCGTGCCAGACGATGACCTCTCCGTTAGAGTCTAAGTTAGAGTCACCGCTTGCTATCATTTGCCCATCACGTGATACACGAAGCACCTTGTCCTCAGAGCCCGCAAGTTGCAACCATCCGTCGTTTATCGGGAAACACTGTGACCGCCTTTAGCATTGGACGCGATCGAGGTGGACTTTGGAGGGATTTTTGGTGTCTTTCAGATTCTTTCTGCAGAGGTGCGTGTGTTGGGTGACTTCCAAGTTCCTGTACGCTAGATAATCCAGATTATCATACCAGAGTGTGAAAATGTCTCCACAGCTGCTGCAGAATGTGTCCCATCGCATTAAATAGATACTTGGTGCTTTTCAGCGCTCGAATTTGACCATCTATCCTGCATGTTACCTGTGTGTCGAGCAGCTACTCCAGCCTGAGCATAGTACCACCATGTCAGTCCTTAGAACGCATGCATATAGCTTACTGCAATGTTACCCCTTCATCGAGCCTCCTCCCAAGGCCTCCTGATGCGCCAGATGCAGCCGAAGTTTTCCCCTCTGACGTCTCAAACTCGTCACCAATTCTGTTGTGGAGGAGCACTACTTCCAGCACTCTGTTTATGAGTCATGACTGATATTTACTTTGAGCTTCTCCTACCAGCCTCCTGGCCCACTGGTTTAAGTTCTTCCCTTCGCCAACCTCCTCTCAAGTTCATCATCATCGGAATACTGCACCACACAAATACCGGTGCAACATGGTCGCTAGCCTCGGCGAGCCCTCACCGCAGATGCTACGCGAGCCCTGCGTTCAAAGGATTGCCATCGCGGATGGTTGTGAGCGCCACCTACCATGAGTCCCCAGAGACCAAGTGAGGTTCACACCAGTTCTTTTGCCAAAATTCTCATCCTAATTATCATGTGCCAGGCGCTGCATGATTGATTTTTGATCGAGTTATAATTATTCTCGAATGTCTTGTGCTATCTCCAGAATTAGTGCATCCTGAAATGACGGATAGTCTGATTGTAGCGCGACGAGGCCCACCTCAAAGCTATTTAGCAGTGCACCCGCATACACATCTCTATCTACGGCTCTGTTCTGCACATTTCTTGCAAGCTCCAGAAGCATCTCGGTCGAGGGTAATTCGTCGATATCATGGCTGTCTTGGAATTGCGCATGTATCATAATGGCGTTCGTAAGCAACTTCATTTTTCTATGGTTGCAACATTCCAGGTCATCGAGTCACCCACTTGAAGTAATCGAATTTCGGGACAATTCGTCTGTGCGAACCCTACATAAAGAAGTATCAGCACACTCATATACACACCACATATAGGAGTGTATTAAGGAATGTCGACATTAACAGCACCTGCACATTTGGGGGCAAGTTGTACGGTGCCGAACAGGATACAGTACCCATCGGGTAGTGTGTCAAAACGTGCAACAACAGTTGATCAAGCGGAAACGGTTACTGGTGTAGGCAATGAATCCATGTTGGGAGCGATTGTAAGGTACCCCTGGTTTTGCGGAGTCAGATTCAAGTGGATGAACCTTGACTCGGATGCTCAGAAGGCCTAGGAAGATAGTCGTTGTCCTGAAGATTTTTATTTTAAGATATACTGTAGTCGTGTTGCACTTAAGGGACTGGGTGGGTGGGTCCGCCCATCAACATCTCAATCACGATATCATGATTTTAATATGACTTGATGAAACTTTCCATCTAGAGCATGGTGGCACAGCCACAGGCGTTGTTTGGCAACAGCCTTAGGAACAAATATGGCGCGTCTTCAAAGCTTCAACGTTGCAACATCATCCTTGAAAGCTTGATATTGCGCAGGTGGCAGGCACGTCAATTGACGGCACAACTTACTTTGAATAGACGTCGATCATCATGGCGGACGCAACGGCGTCCTTCAAAGACGTCCCAGAGCTGTTCGAGGTTGGCATAATTCTCATAGCTGCGTACCAATGTCAGGCTTACTTTGTTTCAGGTTGAACTTGGAGAAGCTTTAACAGCAAGGACCGAAAGCCTTTGTCAGTCAAGCATGTTCTTGCCTTACTTATTGAAACATTGACAATGTATCATAGCGACATTCCGTGAACTTGGCCCCCCAGACCTCTGTCATATTGTGAAGAGTACAGGACGTACTGGACAACGCGATGTGAGTTCCAACATCTAGGATCTGCGGCGCTATGCTGATTATCAGTTAGATTGGCTCATATCATTTTGTGTCTGGAGTGGATGCGTCCTCTTCAGCATCCCTCGCCGCCTACATCAATTCTCTCACATACTCTATCGAGGACAACTCTGCTTGGTTTTCGAAGAGTACAGCATGGAAAGTTAGGAATGGCTGTTATTGGTTTGTTCTCATGACTGTTTACCTCCATATATGCTGAACACTTTGTTAAAGTTGTTTCAACGCGTTTTCTCGCGTCGATATCCGTGTAGATGTGAAGATCCCTGGAGGTGTCGTTGCCTATGTTGTGGACCTTCGTGGCGAGCGGTGCGTATTTTATCATAGCACGTATCGAGTCATTGATTGTGTTTGTGGACTCTAGACACGAAGCGACTCCAGAAATATGGCAAGAAACATACCTCTCTGCGCTGCTTCGGGCTATCCTCTACTCCGACGACCCGACTTACTGGCTGGAAGCTTACCGCAAGCTTGATCCTATCACTACAATCGAAGGCGAACTCCGATTTCTACAGGCCGCTGAGGCCTTGTTTATGAAGGGTGAGTGCTTCACCTTTCGCTTTGTTTGTTGTTTGTTGCTTGTTGCTTGTTCAAGAAACTGATCGCAATGTAGGCTGGCAGGTCGGGTCAGATCCTGAGATACAGGTTGCTACTGTGGTTTCTAACCACTTGACTGCTGGTGTAATGAAGTACTTCAGCAACAGTGGCCGCTGTCAGCCAGCAGCTAATTTATTCGAGAAACTAGCTGCACGAGAGCCGGAAATTGCCTCGCTCCTGGCAAGAAGTTACATTGGAATGAGTGCGCTTGTTTCTCCCTCTTTCCAAGATACTGTCTCGCCTGACATATTTTATGACAAGATGAGGAAGTAAAGGCAGTCCAGATCATGTCTGCTGCCATGAAGCATACTCCACACTCTTACACCCTTCTCCACGTACAAAGCGATTTCCTTCGTTCCAAGGGCAGGTCCGACTGGGCATTGAAACTCGCGAAAGAGGCTGTTAACTGTGCACCGAGTGAATTTGTTACTTGGGAAAAGCTCACCGAGCTATACATCGATACAAAGGACTACGAATCGGTATGCAACTTCCTTGAGTGCAGTCAATTTCACTGACCGCCACCACAGGCGCTTTTAACGCTGAACTCATGTCCAATGTTCACTTTCAATGGACGTGATGCTCACCGTGCTCTTGTACCTGCAAAGGTCCACTTGCCATTCCAGCGCCAGATCGGTGACATCCTCCCTGAAAAAACGAAAAGTGAAGATGATGTGGTTCGTGAGATTATTATATTGTCATTCCCATCTCATGTCTCTTCAGGCTGATCCTGCCCTCCTTCGCCTTCCTGCACCGGGTCTTCGTGGAACGTGGGCGAGGGCCTATTCCTTGCTCACACGTCTTGTCTCTGATATAGGCTGGGACGAATTGCTGAAGACGCGGAGTGTAGTGTTTGTTATGGAAGAAGAGTATCGGATGCAAAAGGCCCAGGCAGACATCCAAAAAGTGGCGACCAGCCACAGTGCACAAGATGTGAATGAAAATATCGCAGTGATTCACGAGGATGGCTCTGTGACCGCAGGGAATGCAACTCTCGCAGACGATGACGCGTCTACACGAGGGATGTCAAGCCCCCTCTCGGAATCGGAGAGCAAGCCTGAATTTGAGAATGGGCTGAATGTTTCCGCCATCCCGATTATCCGTGTGTCCTCAGAATCTGACACGGAACGCGAAATTGCAGAGTCCACTCGTAATGGCGTTGCGGAACAGGAAGAGCAAAGCATGACACTCGAGAAGCCAGTGCAAGCTGCTGCCGGGGAGGAGCCTGAGCCATCACAGGCGTCAAACTCCTATCAGGAGGCGTTCTCATTCACAAACAAGCGCCTGTGTGAGCGGTGGCTAGATAATCTGTTTATGGTCCTTTACGAGGTAAGAATCACTCCGCAATGGGCAACTTGCTCCTTGACAACAACATATCTTCCCAGGATTTGCGAGTGTGGACTATCTTTCGAGCAGAAGTCGCACATTTCAAAACACAGCACGTTGCGTACCGGAAAACTGGCATCGAATGGGAGATCCTCGGAGACCTAGGCATGCGCTTACACCACAAAGAGGAGGCTAAAGAAGCTTATCAGCGATGCCTGGATACTTCGCGTTACTCCCAAAAACCATGGGCGAAGCTATTAGAAATGTATGCCGACGAAGGAGACATCACACGCACAATCCAGGCTGCGATACGAGTAGCAGCATACCAGTATGCTGATTACACAGAGATGACCGTATGTGATGCCCCTCTTGCATAGGGATATAGCTCACCTTGTTCACAGTATCCAACGCTGATTGCGCGGTGCTTCTTCAAGTTGGGCCAAATTCATGGCCATGCCAAGATATCGTTTACTCTTCTGAGCATGGGTTTACCCGACCCGATCCTGAAAATCATGGATAGCTACCTTCAATATGGGAAGACTTTTAAGGTGGAGGGATATGACTTTTAATCACTATGTAGTTTTGTTCTTTATCCGTCGTACTGTTCTGATACCTACATTGTGATTCATGTGAATACTTCGCTTCGCTTGGGATCAATGTCCGCCATGGCCACATGATTGGTGGCGAAAAGTGGCAGGTTCATGATTCCCTTTCTAAGCATCCGAACGTTTAGTTGTCAATCCACAAACGTTTCTTTCCGTTTCCTCAGTCAACGCCCGCCATCCCATCATACTTATTTGAAAAGGCGTAGTATCAGAGACTTCAGTGGTTAGGAGATGTATAGTGAGCTTGACATCATGGGGGACTCTCCTATTCGACGACTGTCCACCACCAGCTCAAACAGTAGCCTGAAGCGAGAAGAGAATCTCATCAATGCCTACGAAGCGGAGGAAGAACGGATCATCAACGTATTGTCCCGCAAACTCGAGCAGGTATGCAAGGGTCAGTTCTCTCTTTGAAAGTGACTCATTCCACACGACGTATACAGCTTCGTGAGGAGAAAATCCAACTCGAAAACGCGCTCGAAGCAGAGTCGGAATCTCATGTGAATAGGCTTGGTCGGGAATTGTCTGCACTACGGCTTCAGCAGCAGCAACAACAGCAATCTGGGACGAATGGGATCACCGCTTCCCCAGATAACAGGGTGGGAGTTCCGACGTTTATGGCTGGTCGAGAACCTATGATTCCAAGTGCAGAAGTCATGCTGGAAACCATGAGACGAGAGAACGAGCAATTGCGCAACCGCCTAGTCGATACAGAAAGAGACTATGTGCGGGTATCACGGTTAAACGAAGTGTATCGTGAAGAGCTCCTTGAACACAGGAGACGGGTGAGCACCAGCTTTTGATCTGTCTTGTGTGTCTTTAACCATGCCCTCTTATATTCAAGCTCGGTCTGTCAGTCGACAACCTTGTCGGTCTGTCCTCGGCAGACCCGTATTCGCAGCCTACGCATCGGCGATCTGTATCTAATCTATCATCGCCCAGCACATCTGCGACACAGCCTTCGCAAGCAATCTATGGTGTCCCTATCCCTCGACCTTCCTCTTCGATACGGCGCCCAACGAACAATGTGTCAGAAAGCAATACACCGTTATCGCATTCTCCTTCCTCGACAGAGTCACCATTCCCATTCTCGCCTATTGTCGGAACAAATCCTACAAGTTATGTCAGTAATGGGACGCCTATGACGACGCCACCATCGTCTGCTTCGTTAACGTCAAATCCTCCATCAACGTTCACTATTCCTCATATGTTGTCCTATCCCTCAGTGCCACCACCATCACTGTCTTCTTCATACGGGTCGCCTGTGGTGTCATACATACCGCATCGCGACCACTCACTGTCACCTGTGGTCCCTCTAAGTAGGCGCGGTTCGAACGCACGAGGAAACATTGAGCGTCGCTTCGTGGACCCAGTAGGTATCAGCAATAATAGGAGTCGGAGCAGACACGGGAGCATTGAAAGGGGTGCACGCGTTGCGGAGACAGGGCGATTGATTCCTCGCTCTCGCCGTGAGAGTCAAAGCATTTCAGCCACGTCATCAGATGTATCTGCGACAGTGGAGGGTTGACTTGGACCGTTCAGATGAAAGTTTGTAGCTTCACTTTCTGATTTTTCCAGCACCGTTTTTATGCTATCATTGTTACTGGAGAGCTCATGTATGTAATAATGTTCGGTCCCGTCCAAATCGGTCGAACATTGTGCTATTATGTACCAAATGTGGAATTTGCGCCCGTGACAGGACCCCGCACACCGACGGAGACGAGCAGCATTACGAACACCAGACGTGAGTGAAAGATTTAATGGCATCACTCAGAAACCTCTGTGGCCTCTGTCCCACTTATTCTACTGGTGGTTGGGTAGCTAGGCTATCTTGATTAAAATTGATAACCATTTTATCATGCAACATTGTCTGTAGATTTGCGGGGTCCTCCCGACGTGACGCATATTCGCTTCGGATCCGCGGAAGCTTTCGAGTCACGCCGCAATATGGGCGCGGTATATAAGAACGCGTCGGGGGGCATCGCCCCTTTTTTTCAATGTCTTACCAATACCCATACACCCAAGGAAATATGACAATGCCCCCAACGCCCACAACACCATATTCATGGGAGACAACAGAACTCGACAACAACATTCCAGAGCAACTTGATCATCATCAGCCTGCTCAACGCGCTTTGAATCCACAGCAACAGCCTCAAAATGTATACGCCACGTCACAGCATATGATTGAGCTTCAAGAACACGTACCCATTGTTCCGAGTCAACGCAGAAGTGATGTCCCACAGCAACTGCATGTATCATCAGCGCCAGGACCTTCAAGAAGACAGAATGTCATGTCTGGGTCCCAAGAAATGAGACCTCACATATACGTTGACACGACGCGTCATATGGCAGCTAGCACTAGTCCCCCTTCTGGCCCATCATCTGCTAGTGGTGTGCATTCAGTGGGACCAGTGCGAGCGAAAACATCGCCCGTACACAATATGGGGCATCCATATCGTCGCCCCCAGAGTGCGAACCCAAGACGAGAGAATCAATCAAATCCACCTGTGAGACATACAAGTAGCAGTTATGCACCAGGTCCGTCGATGCCAACAGCCCAAACACCCGCTCCTGCTTCATTACACAGGTGAGTGATCATGCATTGACATCCACTCAAGGGATGTATTCCTGATCTTATTGTAGGACCGGCATCATCAGCCCATCCCACATCATCCCACCCATACCATCCAATACGACTTTTATACCCAGAGCCGATTACTTCTTTTGCAGCGAGAGTAGAGTGACCACAGCAATGTTTGAACTTCCAGGAGTGAAGAAGAGCGACCTGAAGATCGAGTTATCAAGATGCCAGAACGGTGTGAAACAGGTGTCAATCACAGGAGAATCCCGACAGCCACTTCCAGACGGTCTGATGGCGCTCAAAGAACGAAAGTATGGCAAGTTTCGCAGGATACTTCCCGTTCGTCATGATACCAAGGCGAGTAAGCTAAATTCCCCTACGTTATTGCAGCTCAAGCGCGCATTTTCTGGCAGAAGGAAGATGTCACCGTCGCTTTAGAGGACGGTGTTCTTATTCTTCGCATACACCTGGGGCCACCGCCCCAGCCTGAGGAGCCAGAAATAATTCCTATACCATGAATGAGCCTGACTTCAAGTTCTATCAAGTCCTCCATCGTGCGCCAATTGTTCCGGCAAGAGCAATACGACGTCAGATACCTTCAAGTTGTTTTCTCCGCCTTGCTAACACATCTAGCTTTCAAAATTATGCATACACTTGCACTGTCGACTTGCTTTGATCATTTTGCTGTCATCGTTCGGCCTTGAAGTTCTCAGATCCGTAACGATTGTTACATTTTGGCTTCCATAGTCTAGTATAATACACATACATATCTCACACTCACTGTAGCAACATAGTAGTATGTTTCTTGCAATGATACCATACAGCCATATCTTGATATCGATGTTTTATGTATCGCTTGATGGACAGCTTATGCGCGGCCAATCGCAATCGGCAAGAAGCACCGAATTGCCTGAAGATAGGGTGAAAAAACGTCTGTAAAGTTTTGGTGGCTTGTTCGCAGTCCTTATTATATTGTGCCTATCCTTTTTGTACATATTGGCGTGCTGCAGTAGTCGATATTTCAATATTTAGACTCGTGACCAGTCCGTCTCGAGACTCTATGATACGAGTCTAGTCAATATTAATGGTGCTGCAGCGCTTATTGTTCCGGACTGTCACATTCCAAGTGTCAATAAATGTCACGCGTCAGCTGTCACGCTCGCGTCTTGTTCTTCTACCTTCGCGATGGCAGCAGCACTTGAAAGACAGAGCCTAGTAAAGCTATGCTCGGGAGAAACATACGAGAAAGCACAGACGATTCTACGACTTGCAAAAGTCAAGACTGCGATTGGCAGTGGATATCTCGTCGCTCATTCAAGTGCACTCCCAGGAATTTGCGCGTATCTCGCGTCAGAAGAGTGCGCCGTTTTCCGGTTACCATCTTCCAGCATCTGATACTCGTCTACAGACTGAATAACAACGAAGTGTCACAAAAAGCCGCGGTAGCGAGCGCTTGCATCAGTCAAAATGATTTTACAAAAGCTTTGAGTATTGTGCGGCAAGCACTTAGCTCGACAGCGCAACAACACACGAGAGATCTTGATTACAAGTCGCTCATTGCCACATACCATGTAGCGCCGGCCGAAGAGGCCTTGGAATGGATGTGCGAAGCAGAACGCAGTATCCCCAAGGTTGACATGCTTCGTAAGCGTCATCAAGCCAGTACGGTAACTTGTGCCATATTTTATTGGATATGTCAGATCATGGAGGTCTGCATAATATATCCTTTGAATATACTCTTGCTCACGTCGTGTTTTTAGGTTCAGGGGGTGCAAGAAAAATCACTCTGCCAAAACCATGGCGTCCGTCTACCTGCGTTCAAATCTGTCATGAAGGCCCTTGACAAGGAGTGCGATGCAGTCGCTGGCCGCATCAAATCCGAGCTACAAGAAATGAATTCTTCTGGGGCGCCTTCGAAACTCCGGACTCGTTCTTCTACTTCGCCACAGAAATCTCCATCTAAATCCGCCATGAAAGCCAACTCACGGGATGTCACGCCAGCGAAGCCCCTCACATTAAAACGTGCTGTGGTCTTCTCCCACAGTATTGTCGATGATCCCGATGATACCCTATTGCCTGAGACCCCGACTAAAAGACGTCGGGTTGAGTCACCTTCTAAACCTGGCGGAAGCGTTTTAACGCCTGCAAAACGTACCAGGGGGCCACAAAGTGCCATACATTCCATAACTGCGTTTGAACAGGCTGTTAGGGGAGATTCTACACCACGCCACGAACAGCAAAAGCCTGCGTTTCCCATTGCCGTATCTATTGGCTTACACTCCTCATTGCCTGGTCCTTCTACCCCGCGGCGCTCGCGAAGCCAACCATCTAGACTAGTTGAAGAGTCGGCCGCTATGGAAGTCGATGAACAACGATTGGAGCCTGCTGGGCCTCCTGTACGCAAACGTTTCCGACCAGTGTTCCTGGACCAGCGACAGTGGTGCAGTCGAGACCCAAAACTTACCAAGATCTGGGACGCTGCCGCAGAGCATAGGACGAAGATGATGGGGTTGTATAGGCATCCATTTGAGCAGTATCGCCCTGTTGTTACCTCCTGAGTCGTCTGACCTTGGCTCATTGCCGATATCATCACAGTTCTAGATCATAATTGCCGTATTTTGCCATCCGCCCTCGTGTCTAGAAGTACATGTATCCCTCGATTTTTTATGGGTCATTTCTTGATTTTCGCGGAGAATAAAACTTGTTCTGTGCCTGTTGTTACTGTTCACCTGTACTGACGCAGAAGGATCATGCTGTGAACGATTTTTTTGATGACTATGCATTGACTCCACGCAGACCAACTCTGAATGCGTTAGCAGATGCTCATGGACTTCCGGTTGACATTGCAGAAGTCAAGTCTATTTCTCTTCAGGACTTTGGTTCTCATTCGTCACGAACATTTGAAGGGTGACGTTGTGCCGGAGTAGTTGTTGGCAGATTGCTACTGTTCCGCCATTTGCCGCGGCCGGACTTGGCAGAAGTTGAAAAGGTACCGGAGCATGCAGGCATGAGATGAATTTATGATAAATTGTTTATCAATGCAAATCCTAGGGCCTAAGTTTCCTGTATCTACCCAATAAATGCACATTAGAACTAGTTGTTCATCCGTGGCAAAGCTAGCCAAGTCTGCAGGGTGCCCTCTCCCCAAAGTTTTTGAAGACGATTTTGACCGCCTGGAAGACGTCTGATGCACTCAAGAAGCAGAATATAGTTGAGAATGATCTTAATATTAACGGACTTGAGGTTTTTCAACGAGTTAGGGCGAGTTGAGGCCGGTATGGTACAAAGTCCATTGACGAGTTCTCGGTGATTTCCATGGTGCGAGAGGGGACTATGGGGATGTCGCATCCGAGTGATTAATGTCGGCCTGGTTGACCTCCTTTGAGTTTCGCCTGGTTTTGTCATGGCACAACTCTAGTTCTGCCATGTTCTGCCGCCGGTTTCTGCCGGCAGAATTGCACGCAAATTTAGTTCTGCCCCCAACACTATCAAATTGTGCGTCAAGCTCAAGTCAAGCTTGGCTTTAACATGGCACGTGGTGACGAAGGGGCCGTACTTTCTGCGAAGATAGCTCCGTTCTTGACACTATGTTGACGATTACGAAACGACGCCTTTTGGAAAGGTCAGTTTCAACCTTTTTGCAAACTGCTGTAACTTTTGTTCTATTTGTCATTCTGCGACCTTGTCTGTCTACCAACCTTATTCTCCCTTTGCGGGGTCGTTATCAGAGCTCTCACACGAGACTTAGGGCCCGTGATGTTGGTACCTACGTCGCACATTAAATCACTCCAGAAAGTGAAGAAAAAACATGCACATATGATATTCACTGAATCAGGTTGGATTGTGATTTGAATCAGGATGCGACCGTAGCGCGCTCTGCTGCGAGCACCTGTGCGTTATAGAACTTATAAATGCTGAACTGATCTCCCTGCTGATTTTATTATTTCCCCCTATTAGAAGGATTTCTCATGACTGGCTGCTATAGACAACGTTCCCCAAACCAACGTTCGCTCGACTTTTATGATTATCCATCGGTGATTAACTAAGTTATCTAATTTGAATTCGAATTCGGATGATATAGCGAGCTGACTGTGACTTCTTCTAGCGGAATTTACAGAAGGCGTTCTCTCGACTTTTGCAGAAAGTCTGGGAATCCGAATTTCCGGCAGTCTCCGTCCGGCTGCATGCGGGTCTGTCCGGATCCGTCTGCCAGTGTGCACAACTTGTCAGTTCTTAACGTCGCGTCATACAATGAACTCATTTTCATGACTCGTTACCGTCTTGAATACATCAAATTAGTGATCTTCCAGCCTGGCCTCACCTGACTATTACAGCTTTGTGCAGCTGCAGATATAGACAAAATATCTTGAGCCGGACAGACCCAGCCGGACTCGGCCGGACGGACCCGGAAATTCGAATTCCCAGATGCCCTCGACTTTTGTGATTATTGGGAACGATGATTATTATACTGGCGCGGATGCGGTCGGACGGTCGGATATCCCAGGATCGAGATGTCCTCCCATCGGTGATTAACTAAGTCATCCAATTTGAATTTGAATTTGAATGAATGCATCGCCAGCGAGCTGACTCCTTCTAGCGTGATATACAGAAGGAGATCAACATTCACTGCCGTTGAAGTAACCTGCATTCTCCTCCAACTTGCCGTGCTTGATATCACTAACTCCATCATTTTATTCATTTTCGGACCGCCGTGGTCATGAGATCATGGATGCCAGCACAAGAAGAAAACTGGGCCGGTAGGGTATCCGCCGACGTACATAGTACTAGTATAAGTACTGTATAGTAGATTTTCTCTTCCCTTTAGGTTCAACTTGAATTCTTCAGGCTACACAGTCAACACTACTCGCGTTATATGATGTCGAGATCCAACCCCACGCCATATTGCAATAATGTTACAGATCTACAGCACTCCTTGTCCGCTGAACTCTCTCAGCGGCTCAAGGATCTCCTGAATCAAGCCCTGCTCGGGTTTATACGGCCAAATTCCATGTCTCAGTTTGCTCAACATGCTTCCGAGTTGGCTGACTTCCGCGAGGCTATAGCACAGAATTCGAATGATGATATAGAATTTCTGCGCAGCTTCCGAGAATTCGTTCCAACTACGAACTACGAACCTTACAGGCCGTTCATAGCCAAGTTTTTTGCGACCCCTTGCAAGGAGTCTGACGTAAAGAGCATGTTCGCCCCAGGACTGCCCTACTGCTTAGCCATTTCCAGCACGACATCTGGAAGAGCGCCAAAAACATTCCCGATATATCGACCTGCATCGCACCTTTTGCATCATCCCTTATATTTGTCGCTTCGCCACTCAGAGGGTAGTATCCTATCACCATCTTCTTTGAGTTTTGGGCAAGCCCTGAAAATAGATCTTGAGGATGGTCAAAGCTCCAAGATGTCGCCGGTCTGCTCGGTAACCGTCGGTTTTCTGCGAATGCAAAAGAATTGGGACGTCGAGCACGATATGGACAGACTCAACTTGTGGGGTAAGTCTGTTGTGCTATTTTCGCTTGCATCTACTGATATCTAGGCAACTTTCAGTTCCAGGGAACACGAGTCCATACGCGATTTCCTTGGTGAAGAATTATCGTGCTTTCTTCATTTTGAATGCGCTATTTGCACTCACAGACTGTCGGGTGACAACTATCCGCTTTCTCTTCGCCAGTGTATTCGTCAATTTTTTGCAATACATAGAGGACGAGTGGACTCTCCTCATCGACTGCATCACGAAAGGGATCATTCCAGACTTGGAAAACCTAGAGCACGTGCGAGAACCTTTGGAGGTTATATTTACGTTGATTTTACATTTCATTCAACTCACAGTTTGTCTCAGAATCATTTTACTCCAAACCCTGTCCGTGCTGCCGAGCTTCGCGAAATTGGACCTCCTGGTATCGAGGGCTGGGCAGTCCTTGTGTGGCCTGACTTGAAAAAGTTCATCGGGATCACTGGAGGCCCCGCTGCTGCATCCGTTCCAAAGGTATGTCAAGTGTGGAAGGTTTACTATGCAATTGGTAACTCAGCGACATAAGGTTACTCACATCCTCGGACCTTCTGTTGCCATGCAGTCTCCTTGTTATGGCAGCTCTGAATGTTATATCGCCATACCATATTTCAACGGCAACCCAAATACCGACTTCAAGGTAGTGCCCATAGATGGGGTCACCGAGTATCTGGACGTGCGTTCCAACGAGCCTTCTGAGCGTGTATTATCCGCTGTAAGAACTATTTACTGCATCTCAGCCTTGTCTGCTCATACCTGTCGCAGTGGGAGCTTGAGACTGGAGGGCATTACGAGCCCGTCTTGACGACTCGTAATGGCTTGTGGAGATACCGTATCGGCGATGTCGTCGTCGTTAAAGGCTTTTCGCCAGATGATGGATTACCTGTCATCAATTACCTTCATAGGCGAGAGTAAGTTACGACACGATTGATTTGCGGTTTGGCAGCTGAAATGCCCGCCGAGAAGTGGCTCACTTGGACTGGCGTATGGAACAACGTGTACAGAGTCGCAATTGACGGATGCGATCGTATCTGCGTCTGAACGATGGATCGGCCAAATCATAGATTTCACTGTTGTGGCCGACGAGCGAGACACGCCAGTCACTTATGGGTACTTGGTAGAAATTGGAGGCGATATAGGTTCGTGCTTGCTTCGTACTCTTCCACGCGACTGCGCTAATTTATATTCACAGGAATGGAGGCGAAAATGGCAACACAACAAGTTTTTGAAGACCTCATGAAAAACAATGAGTATCATATGGCTTTTTGGCAAGGGAGAGCGAGGAAGCCAACCGTCCGTCTCGTGAAAAAAGGCACCTTCACTGAATATCGCAGGCAGAAATGCGAGAAGACAAACGTCTCGATGGCCCAGGTGAAGGTTCCCATCGTCTTATCCGACCCATCGTTTAGGGAATGGCTCCTGCAAAAAGTTATCATGGAGTTGTAAGATAGTGACATATTGTACAAGCCGGCTGGAATGTCTCTCTTCTTACCTTTCCGCACTTGCATATAGTTACAAATTTTAGCAGTGACCGGGCAGACCACATGATGTCTGAACTGAATTTTGACTGGCGGATGATTGGCATTTGCCAGCTCGGAATTTAATGACATCACGGATCTCGGGGATCTACCGTGTATATCCCACTCTCTTCCACTTCATCTCTAGAAAATCCTTCTGGAATCCTTATATCCGAGATTCATCGATCGTCATGAGAATCATATTTCGCGTGATCCAGTAAGTGTTCGAAATCCTTGCTTTCGCCGAAGCCCATTCCCACATCAATAGGACTAAATGCGACGACACAGAGAAGTGGACCTCGGAACCCCAAACCGTAGGAGCCGCAAAGGAGACAGTTACTATTAGTAACACGACTCGGAGTAGTAAGAAGGCGTCCACGTGAACATACATGTGGGCATCTGTGTCAATACAAGCATCCGAGGCACCCACGTCAGTGCGGGTCCATCTGCGTCAACGAAAGTGCGGGAAACGACATACGCACGAAGGACGGTACTCTCGCTCGCCACCGGCAAAGGGTATCATGGCGACTGGGTAAACATTCCTTCTTAATGATCAGATTCGACTTGAATGGCCTCCTCCACTGGCAGTAGGATACAGTTTGGCATCTCAAACAGGATCAGGTCGCAGCGCTTCCACCAACTGTATTGATAATTGACGACCATCTGGTAGTAGCGGGCGAGTTCGCGCATGCAGTGAATGAATTTCAACATCTCCGAGCATGGGAGTCGAGACGTACCACGAGGGAGCAACCGGGACTTACTGAGCTGAATGTATTTGCATGGCACGTGTTTCAATTTGTGTGTTAAAATTTTCGGAAAAAACTAAGTTTACTTGGCATGCCTTTTAAGGCAATGGAAGGGCGCAATTTGCCGCCGGCATTATGAGTGACTTGGAAATTCGGAATGGGACCCGAACTTCTGAAAGGGGACACCCGGCGCCTTCCAAGACGTGCCCAAGGTTATTCCCTTATGGCAGTGAAATTTTCAATGATATACTTTGGAGTCCCACCAGTGCCATCGGAGTTCGTTCGATAAATGTGCCACTGCCTCGGGATGCGACTTACGGTGAAGACTGGGCCCTACCGTACTAGAGAAGGGGTACAATACTGCGTGTGAATGGTACCAGAAGACAGACGGGAAGTGAATCATGGGCGACACAGACATCATCGTGGCTTGTCGTTTGCTGTGGTTCAAATGAGTTTTGAAGGAAGATGAGTGGCTCAGGATCAGTTCTTGGAATGGAGGGAAATGGGCCCAACCCCTTGTGGATGTTGAGAAGGAGTGCAAATTGGCGTAGAAGAGTGCGCATACTATAGCATTTAGTATTTCAGAGACATTCCAAACAATGAGAGATTCCTTCAACAGGTCGACCGGTCAACCCGGGCCACCGTTGTAATCATGAAGTGTGCACTACATGTCTGGCTTAGGTCAATGGAGTTGTAAAACAGTGACATGTTGTACAGGCTGGCTGGAATGTCTTACCTTTCCGCACTTGTATATAGCTACAAATTTTAGCAGTAGCCGGGCAGACCACATAACACCTGAACTGAATTTTGACTGGCGGATGATTAGTGTTTGCCAGCTTGAAATTTAATGATATCATGGATGGGATAGCAATACAGATCCCAGGTATCTACCGTGTATATCCCACTCTCTTTGGGCCACTTCATCTCTAGAAAATCCTTTTGAAATCCTTAAGGAGATTTATCGACCGTCATATGAGAATCATATTTCGTGTGATCCCGTAAGTGTTCAAAACCCTTGCTTTCGCCGAAGCCCCGATAGTAGTGGCCCCGATCTGTGCAAAAGTGAGCTGGGGTGGACAGCAATTCCCACATCAGTAGGAATAAATGCGACATGGAGAAGTGGACCTCGAGGCTCGGAACCCCAAATCGTAGGAGCCGCAAAGGAAACCAATCGAGTTAAGGCTGTATGAGACAGTTACTATTAGTAACACGACTCGGAGTAGTAAGAAGGCGTCCACATGAACATACGTGTGGGCCCATCTGTGTCAATACAAGCATCCGAGGTACCCACGTCAGTGCGGGCCCATCTGCATCAAAGAAAGTGCGGGAACCACATGCGCATGACGGCAGGTGTTGGTAAGGACGGTATTCTCGCTCACCACTGGCAAAAGGTGTTATGGTGACTGGGTAAACAATCCTCCTTAATGATCAGATTCGACTTGAATGACCTCCAGCAGGATACAATTTAGCATCTCGAACAGGATCAGGTCGAAGCGCTTCCACCAACTGTATTGATAATTGACGACCATCTGGTAGCGGGCGAGTTCGCGCGCATGCAGTGAATGAATTTCAAGAATGTGTTGAGGATGTGTGCCAGAAGGAGCATGACACATGTTTCAATTTGTTTGTTATCCCCACTGGAATGATGAGTGTATCGGATATATCCTGAACATGATGTGGCCTACTATCCTTGTGTCACTGTGCAGAGTACACCGGGCACTACTGTGAATCACTTGCTTATGAATATAAGCTGCTTTACCGTTACTCTAGTTTCACATTCGGTGTGATATAGTACACATGGTGGACCCGGCTCTACCCTGTTCTCACGAGAGGAAGAGGAACCTCAGGCTGCTATGACTGAACTGAATGGAATGGAATGCCTCTAACATGTGTCGTGCTACATGTCTATGTGTGGTTGGGACCCTTGGAACCCCCAAGACCCCTGGCACCCCTCTGCCTGCTCCTCCTGTCTGCTACTCCCATCCCACTGGCAACCCCCGTTGTATGTGCCCCCCTCTAAAGTGCACCTCCGGGGGCGTGACCCTGCTCTGCTCTCAACCACTCTCATCCTCTGCACCTTGCACACTCTCACTCTCCGTACTCGCTTCTTCCATGTCTGCATCTAGCTCTTGGTCCCATACATTGGGCAAGTCTTCTTTGGCAATGCTCTCTGTCAGCGTCTCTTGAAGAGATGCGAGCGCTGTGTTGTCTTGTGGAATGAACAGGTGCAGCCTTCTCACATGGAACAATCCGCTGATGGGGAATCCTTCCAATGTGCTGATGGTGTATGAGTTCCCTATCTTGGATGTGATGCATCTTGGTGCTGACCACTGGGGTTGTAGTTTCCTTGATGACACGAGTGTCATATCTAATGTGTTAGCATAGACTTGTACTAATTGACCTGGTTCAAAGATAACTTCACCTGCACGAGACTTGAGAACCCGACGATCGAAAACCGCTTTGCATCTGTGGGCATGAGAGACTGCTTGATTTGCTCTGTCCAGATGTTGCTGTTCCACATATGCCATGTGTACTTCAACATCAACGATGGAAGGCTCACTGCTGGTGTGTGACGCAGATGTGGGTATTATATTGATGACTAGCCCCAGTAACAGCTCCTTAGGTGAATATTGGAACACGGGGATGATGCGTTCATTAAGGTGCCTAATCGTGTTGTCGAAATGGTCTGGCCACGTGTGTGATATATATGGTCCATTAGCTTGAGCTTGGTGAGGTCGCGACCCCAATGTCTGTTGTTGGTGTGTTCTTGTCTAGCCATCTCCGTTGCTTCTGCTTGCGACATGCACTCTAACCGTGGTCGTGCCCTAATAGACTTGCCATCCACGATACGCCAAAGGCGTCCTTCTTCGATGCTATACCCCAGTGCCCTATGCCGTGCCCGTCTACGATCTTGCTCTGACTTGGCGCTATCAAGGTTATGTATGGCCTCTATTACCTCCATGAACAAGGGTTCGTTTACGAAGTGTGACTTGAGCTCTGTAATCGTTGTGTCAGTATCGTCGAGATGCAGTAAGTCATTTACTAAGCCATGTGCCGATTCCCAATCTTCACTAACAGACCATGTGCTGCCGTCTCCATCTTTCCATGGTTGCCCTGACATTCGTCGACTCAAAGCATCTGCTGCCATGTTAGTAGTTCCTGCTCTGTGCCGTACAGAAGTTATCTGGTATGCTAAGATACTGTCTCTCCATCTCACATGCACTATTGATGCCTTGTCATTGAGCAGTGTGTCCCGAAGGGCGGTACAGTCCATCTCAATTTCTACTGGGAAGCCCCAAATCATTCTGCCAAAGTGATTGAAGGTGAACTTAAGTGCTGCAAACTCCAGTAGATATGGTTTGTATTGTTCTTCTGCTGGTGACATGTGTTTCGAAGTGAATCCGACTGGGTGGGTTCTGGCTATCATGTCACCTGAGGGAAGTTGAGTTGTGAAACATTGCGACAAGACAGCACCGAATCTGTCTTTACACCCATCGCTTGTAACTATGAATGGGGTGCCATCAAATTTCGGTGCCTTGAGGATGGGCTCTGATACTAATATCTGTTTGAGCCATAGGAACGCTCAAGTATGGCATGGTTCCTAGAATTGTGCAAGGTTGCGGTCTCTCAGGAATTGTCAATACTTCCTTTTTGCTCCTTTGACGTCTGCCAATGGCAAGTCTAGGTTCTGGAGTAGATCTGTGAGGGGAACTGTGATCCTAGCATAATCCTTGATAAGAGTTCGGAAATAACCTGTTAAACCTAAAAAGTGCATCAATACTAGTAGATTCTTAGGAACCGGCCACTCAGCTACTGCCGCAATCTTTGCTGTATCTGGCTTGATACCATCGCATCCCACTTGTGCTCCACCAAAAACAAGTTCTGTAAAGAAAAGCATGGTTTTAGATGGTGATAATGACAGACTTAGCTTGTGACATCGCTTGAAGAACATGCATAGTCATCCTAATAGTTCTAGAAAGTTATCACCTGCCATTGCTCCATCATCTACGTATAGTTCCAAGAGTAGCTTTAACATGATGTCATGGAGTGCTTGAGCTGTGAGATCACTGAAGCACAATGGTGCACCTTGTACTCCCATTGGCATCCGGCAGTATGCCTCATATACGCGACCTTCTGTATAAAAGCATAAGTATGGCTGGCTCTCTTTCTCTACCGGAATCATGTAAAATCCTGCTGCAAAATCGAGAACGCAAATGTACTCATGTCCCGCTAATTGTTGTTGCTTCATGTTGATATCTCCTTGCGGTGTGGGTGCTACATTAGATACCCTATTGACTTGATTAAAATTCTGGCAGATTCGCCATTTCACTTTCGACGAGTCAACAGGTTCTAGTATCCTATCTGGTGTTGAGTTTGGATCGATATTAGGGTCCAGCGGCTCACCTAATTCTATACACTGTTGATTAACGATCTGCCGGATATCATCGAGTGATAAACTGGTGCCCGAGTGAGTCTTCTGCACAAGTACCATAGACGCTACCGCTTTGACTTCGTCCAATGGTATGAATCGGGTGATCCCCACCTCTCTCATCTCATCCAGCACCGGGAACAAGTACTCTCACTGTGGTTGTGTTAGCAGGCATTGGTGGACTTTCTTGGAGAATCCTGCATCTGGAGGTATTGACAACCGGAACTTAACGAAATCTACCTGTTTCACTTCCCTTGTCGACAATGCAAATACGTCAGCGAATTCTGTAAGTAGATTCCATACTATATGGTGTTGGTCATCTGTAAGTTGTGGTACATAACGGACAGTGTTCACAATCAACTCCACCCATGGTGGATAGAATGGTCCGAGAGAGGTTAATCTAGTGAACATATCATTTGACAGGTTGGGATGCGCAATGTCTAGTACTTCACCTAAGAGTGCATTATCCTCCGTGTCCTCCATGTGCAATACATTATGCTTATCTTGCTGCGACGGTATTTCTATATTCGTGACATTAGGTGGATTCTTCGGACATTTGAGAGGGGGAATGAAACTTAGTTGCAGTTGGAAAACTTATTGCAGTTGGAAGGCATGGGAGTGGTAATGGTTGGAACAGTGCTAAGTTGCTTATTCAGTGTTGTGATCCTTGAGATGCGAACATGATGGAATTGTTGTCGTAGTCCTGCATGGCCTGAGACTGTTCAAGCAATGGCTTTCCTATCAACATACGCCAAAATCCTCTGCTAGGGAAGACTTCAAACAAAGCTTCTAACTGCAAGGGTCCCCATGAGACCTGTCCTGTCCAGACGCCTGTTGAAGGTACTAATGATCCATCAGCCATTTGTAATGTACGTTGTGAAGGACTTAGCGGAGTGAGTCATTGTGCTATTCATTGAAATGCTGCCATATTGATGGTGTTGATCATCACGCCATTGTCAACTATAGCTAAAAATCGGACTTTTTCTCCTTGTGGTCTGTGTAGGATTGGGACCGTCAAGAACGGGTTGCTTGTTCCTGTTCAAATGGGATTTCCTGAAGCATCCGCCATATAAACATCAGTAATAGGATTGCTCTGTGTAAGAGACAGTACAACCGGGGGAGAGTCTGCCATAGCGACAATAGGATCTGCCTCGTATAACTTGGAAGGAGATAATGAAACTTCTGCGCTAATATCATCAGTGCGTTCTAGGTGAGAATGAGAGAAAGGTGACGGCATAGATGTAGGAATGTTATGTACAGTAGGTAGTGTATGTGTCAGTTTTACAGGCGATTGAATGTGCATAGATGGAGTCTGTGTTTGGGGGACTGCTACTGCTCCACATTGGGTAGAGGTCCCCCGTAATTTTCTGGCTCCCACTCATATCCTGTCTCCTGTTGCGCCCACACATTGGTGTGATCCCACCAGCCTTGATCCTCTTGTACTGTGAACACAGGTGGTGTTAGTGGAGCCCTGTATTGCTGATAGTATGGGTGCATTGTCTGCATGGTGTGTGTTATCATGTATGCAGGGGTCATCGTCTGCATGGGAGAGGCTCGCCTTAACATTGCTGCTATGTGTTGGTGCCATCTTGACTCCTGAGGCCGTAATGTCTCTGTTGCAGTGCATTGCAAGCTGAGATGCATCAGTTCCATAACCATACCATAGGTATAGCATTCTCCCGATCCGACGATTGCTGTACCCAGGTGCAGTGGATATGGACGTTCTATGGATGGAATTCCTTCAGTGCCATGCATACAATGCCATGTGTTCACATCTGCCTCGTATTGACGCATTCCTGTCTCTGTGTTCTGACATTGTGGTACCATATTCAGCTTTTCCATGATTTGTGCTCTCGTAAGAGCTGCATGCGTGAATGGGCTGCCTTGCCATCCCATAATCCCTGCTCCCGTGTTCTGTATTGGTCTGCTCATTGGCGCGAGAGGTATTCCTTGAGTTAACATAGCACTTGAGTTATTTGGAGGTAATTGGGGGAATGAATTAGGATTGGTGTATGCGTGTGGTGCTCAGTAGTATGGTTGTGGAGAGCATCCGCTGTCCATGGATAGTTGTGTGAACTGGAAGGGAAGTGTATTGAGTGCCAACAAATTCTGAGCTTTCAATTGTGCAATGTCAGTGTTTCGTGTTCGGTTCATGTTCAGATCTTCCTTAGCTCTCTTCAGTTTGACCGCTGGTACACTCTCTACATTTTGAAGGAATTCCTGCCACGATGCGTAAGAACATGTCATGTGGTCCTTGAGTACATTGGGTATTCCTTCGAGTGCATACTCCACCAAGAGTCCTGTGCTGTCGCCCATACCCATGGTGATGCGCATCACTTTGTTGCCCCAAGTGACCTGTCCATAATTGCTCATGGGTTCTCCTGGTAGCCATACTCCAATGTCCTCCTCTTTCAGCACCTGCGCCATAACACACTCCTTCTGCTGTGCTCGTGAGTACTGCGGCGGTTTTGGTGGCGGCCATCTTAGCATGAATTCCCCTTGTAACTGATTGAACAAGCTACAGGCTACTGAGATGTCGTCGAACCACTGATCTGCCATGCTCCCTGGTGCGAGCTGCATTTTGAGCCGTTGTATGCATTGTACATCAGAGTAGCTGTCTGGTAGGGATAGTCGGAACTGCGCAAACCATAATGATGGCTCTTCTTTTTCCCTATAGTCACCATGGAACAATGGGATTGGGCACGGGTTGTCACCGCTCATGACTGGTGTTGTCGGGCAAGGTGTTGGGAAAGGTTTGGTGTTTATGAATGAAGATGTAGAGCTTGGTGTGGTGGAACCACTGACGTGATAGTTCGGTGTGAACCGCGCTGGACATAGGCGCGTTGTAGGACTATCCAGTTCGTTTTCCAGTGGTGACCCCACACAAGGGGACTGCTGTAGATGCGGAGGGGCTGAAATGTTGCGTGGATGGTGGGGAGTTGTTAGATCTGTTCTGCAGGCGAAGGAGTTTGAGTGTTGGTTAGTAGGAAACTTTGGGATGCAAGATGTCGTATGCAAGCAATGTCTTCTATGGTGAGTTGTTCTGATTCTGGTTCTGGTTTTTGTTTGACTACTGCTGGCAGCATTTGTTTCATCATGCAATGGGTCGTTGTCCCACTCTCATCACCAGGTGGACCTGGCTCTACCCTGTGCTCACAAGAGGAAGAGGAACCTCAGGCTGCTATGACTGAACTGAATGGAATGGAATGCCTCTAACATGTGTCATGCTACATGTCTATGTGTGGTTGGGACCCTTGGAACCCCCAAGACCCCTGGCACCCCTCTGCCTGCTCCTCCTGTCCGCTCCTCCCGTCCCACCGGCAACCCCCGTTGCAACGGTGGGAGGTGGTGTCCAAATGCTCTGAGATTTCTGATCAGTGGAGAGTTGGTGGAGAGTAGTCGCAACGCGTATAGCCGTTAGCCATTGACCAAAGAACTTAAGCTTGTTACTCAAGTTATCAGACATGATGATGATTCAAAAGACGAGGCAATGACATATGATGTACGATCACAACAATCTTTCACTTCTCAGAGAGAAAACATAACAGGGAAATGACAAGAATCTTATCTTCGTGCCTTCAGTAGTTAGCATCCTGTTGAATGAGCGCGATGGCTTTTGCCGAGCGGGCCTTAATAGAGCACTTGAAGGGCTTGGGGTGACTACGAGTGTTTATTCATACCAACACCTTACACGATAAGATGAGAGACATACCTGATCGTGACTGATGAGGGGTCAACCTCGGGGGTGATCTCAACACCGTTCTCGACGACCTTTGAGATATCAAACACGGCCAATGACATTGCAGCAGATATCCAAACGGAGGCTTCAGCGAGAAGGAGACCTGTGAAAGAAAAGGGAAGAAAAGAAATAAGCACATCAGAATACTTGTTTTTTGGACGATTTTGTGCGTTGGGCATACCTGGACAGATACTGGGGGCGTGGCAATTTAGCACTAGTATTATTCTCAAAATGAACTTCAAGCTTACCGTCTTCCAAAACTGAAGCAGATTGTGCGGGGCTCTGTCTCTGGCTTCTTTCCGTCATTGGCCAAAAAGCGTTCAGGATTGAATTGCGAGGGATTAGCATATGTCTCCGGGTTGTTGAGCATGAACCTGTTGTTATATTCCGTGAACATATCGAACACGGAACGAGGAAGATACCAACCATTGGTTGGGTATAATAAGGGAACCTTTTGGAATATAGTACCCGTCGTGGATGTCGTCCTCAGTTACACGGTGGACAAAACCTGACATAGGGATACCGCTTGGTAACTAAAGAATATGATAAACGAGATACACAGACCGGTAGGGGCAACAGAATTCCAGCGCAGTACTTCTTTGGCAAGCGCCTCGATATAAGGGAGGGAGGCGCGGTCGGCAAAGGAGGGAAGACGATCAGGACCGACAACAGCATCTATTTCAGCCTGAGCTTTCTTCTGCACATCAGGAAAAAGTGTCATAGCTAGAAAGAGCGCATATATTGCTGATACAGTCTGAGAAATCAGGCGTTAGTCTCATTGACACACGACAATTGAGATATGTAGGGACCAACTGTGTCGGAACCACCGCCGTATAGAGACAAAGCGGACCATTTTACCAGGTCATTCTCTTCCAAAGTCAGATCTTGGCCTTCCAACAGAGATGAGGTGAAAGACTTCGGGGCAATACCCGCAGCCTGCAACATTCAACTTCAATACATGATATCTGAGCTACAAATGTTGGTCACCATCTGAGCTTTGACGAAATTGTAGGGTCCGGAAACCATTTCTTCGACAGTCTCGTGCCACTCACACGCTATGCGCTTAAAGCCAGCACCAGGAAACCACTCAGGGATCTTGGCCACTCAAAATTATAAGGTTATTGAAGGAGAGTGTCTGAATGTTATATGCACACCTACGGAGTGGTATAATGTCAACCATAAAGGCACCGTGAGCAGTGGCCAGCGAGAATTGCTCAAGAGCGCGGTCCGCAATATCGACGAAGGGATCGTTGCTCTCCTTCACTTCATATCCGTATGAGATTCACAGAATGATAGCGCCAGCAGTGCTGATAAAATTCAAGATCAGGTCAATGCAAGGACGACTCAGATTTATACATACTGTCGAACATGTTCTCATAACTGATCAGGTTTCGTAAGCACACGCTTGAGGAATTTGCGAGTCTCAATGTCCTCGATTGAGCTATAGGCGTCCATTGCAGCGCGGGTGCCAATGGCGCGGTGAAAGTCCTTGCGATACCGACGAAACCGGTCGCTGTAAGGAGAAAAACCCAGCATATGCTTCCAGCCAACAAGTTCGCCAGCCATTGGCAGAACAGGACGGTCGGAGTAGATCGAGCTCTTCTTATCCAGCATGTCCATCGCAGTCTTGGAAGAATTCAACACTATGAAGTGCTGACCTAGAACCTGGATATGAGAGATATCGCCTGCATGCATGACGTGAAAAATCAAGATTAGAAAAATACGTGTGGCTCACCATACTTCTTGCCCCACTCCACGAAGGTGAGCCAGGGCCTTATTTTAGGCATGTCTAGGACATTCCCAACAAGGAGAAACCCTGGAGGACCAGGGGGATATGGTGCAGGCTTCTTTCTGAACACCTGCTTTACCAGGTAGACTCCTACACCAGCAAGACATAGTAGATTCAGCCAAGTGACATTCGTGAGTGTCGACATGGTCTACTAGTGAGGGTGAACAACCGAAGAGGTGTTGTGTGATGAGCAATCCAGTAAGGGGAGTCCCTTCTTATATGGTTGCCCACTCACAATATGGTATGCCCAGCGTGGCATTGGCCTCCGAGTTCCATCCTAGGTATTATATATGAACTGCTGGAATTGCTGATTAGAGATAGCCGATCCCATTGAAAATAACCACCAACAGGTGACTGAGTCACTGAGGGTTAACGTAGGCTAAGAAGCTGAACCGTTGATCGGCGCTGACCGACGATATTTTACCGGGATTGCCCAGCCTCCAGGACTCTATAAGGGGACTAGTCTGTGTAGAAGAACCATGGCAACACTGGGACTCCGTGCACCGTAATTAATCTAAGAATTGGCACTCTTATGGATAATACATGTATCCTGTATATTCTAGTCTAATGCTCCAGCTTCGTCTATCGCAGAAAAATAAGTACTGAGGTCATGCCAAACAGTGGTTGGGCTGGAACCGAGCGCTAGTTCAGTTCGAATGCTGGCGAGAGTGCTGCTGGGTGGGCGGGAAACTCGACATCATGACATGTGGGCTGCTTGAATAACCACCACGGACGCACCTAGGTTCGTCACAACCGTCACACGCCCAGGCTACCCCAATCCAAGAAGTAAAGGGCTGAATATTGAATATTGAATATTGAATGGTGAACCGGTGAAGGTTTAGAGTATCGATGAACTTTTGAACAGGGGTGTAATTTGCTTATATAAGCATAGTGGCAAGCATCAAGACGCTTACTTAATACTACGCGCATCAACAGCGAGACAGTGGACAGCGACCGGGTCTACTGAGCTCCCCTGATAATCAAATAATTTATGGTTCGCACAGGTTCGCAACGGTCAAAAAACCAGTCAGTCCCCGAACCTAATCTGAGAACTTATCTCTCCTGCTGGACCTTTTCGAACCGGTTCAAAGGTTTCAGAACCAACCAGACTGCGGGCAACTTTAGACCCTTCTGGTAAAGAAGGAACGGCTGTCTTTGTTTCACCTACCTAGGGGAGACCAGTAACGTGATTGCTATCTCTAACTTGAAGATATTCAATGGTACGCCGGCGTGCATCTATTCCCACTTCCATAGGTCTCATCTACTATGATATCTTCCATCAGAAGTTCCACCAGAGCTTGATCATCATTCACAATAGCATCCTTTAAACAATTTTGCGTCGCACACACTTGGCAAGTCCTTGGCCAATTTTGATGCGAAACACGTATACGTGTCTGCCTATGAAGATGTGCAAGTTCCAAGCGATCGATGTTTAATACTCCAACTTGTCGCGACACGTGCGTATTTCTGCTGATTCGTTGTCCCGAAGTAGATTTGAAAGTTTGATGTAGCAGATCCGCAAACCGATATAGATGATTGTGTTGCATTACTATTGGAACTAGCTACCGCAGCATCTTACCCACTTAAAGGAGAAAGACGCTCTGTGTACGACAGCCTGGAAATGCAAACCCCGCATCAAAAAGGATACTTGGACATACCGTAGTGTCAGCCTGTACATGTGGCAGTATGATGATCGATTGCTGGAGCTGTATGTTCGGTCCTATCACATGTCATAATGTGGCCTGGCATTTACCATTGCTTCCTCTTTCTCCCCTTAGTCTCAGCTCCCGTCCTGCATTTACGGCTCTCCCACTCATTTAGTCGTGCACGCGTGAAATCCTTTGCTGAACTTACCGAGTAAAGGTTCATCAATATTGCCGCGTCTCTCTATCAGAACGTCATGTGCAGTTTGTGCGTAATCGTTCTATCACCTTTGTGTTCAAACTTTGTTTCCCATTCAACGTGCCGTCAATCCGCATTAATTCCAGAGTGAATGCAGCGATACTCACAGATCACCGTGCACACAATCCATTGGTTGATTTTCCACCGTCTTTTACGGTTTAATGACCTCACGGGAAACTAGATACGAGTAGGACCGTATGTGCCCCCTTGCTATCCACTATCAGTCCAATTGATGTTCGCGCATAAACCATTATTTTCAAATGGCACACTAGAGCATCGTCATCCCCAAGTGAAGGCAGCCACGGGAAAAATCATCGCAGATCACAAACTCAATTGACCCAGTGGGGACTTCCATGTGAACTTAGCTAGTCGCAATTGAGTTCTTTTTGGGGAAGCGCAGGACGGACGTCTAGCGGCTTTACACATTAGAGCTCTATTTATAGACGAATAGAAAAGTGATTCAATTTGAATATGACGCGATGTACACGATACTGATTACAGAAAATGTACAGGGGATATCATATCATCTACATGTGGTCCGGTATACTGGTTGATCCACCACATTCTCAGGTAAGCACATGCATGATACATGGTCACCCCTTTTGATATCCCTGTTGTGTAGATGTCAGTGCCAGCACAATGGGACACTTCTTGGGCTCCAATGGCCCTAAGAAGTGCGTAGCAAGGCTCACGTGAGATGTTGCAGGCCGATCCCATCAAGTCATACAAGCCTTCACACTATATAATATCGCATTCCAACCGCACACCATGTTAACCCGAGTCGAGTTGATGCTAGCAGATCGAACATGCAATCGAGACTCTCAACTAGCAGGAGCCTTGCAAGGCAAACCAGATCACTGTGGTCATCCTGTACAAGATGCGAGGACAAGCCCATCATGAACCGCTATAGCAGGACTGTCACGCAACCAAAAGATCAAGGTGCAAGTCAAGTGAGTCATTTGAGTCGGTGAGGAAGGAATGTGGAGAAACTGATATTCATGGGCTATGTTGTACGCTACTGAAGGTATCAAAGATGATGCGGACTTTCAAAAAGCCATGGTCGGTGTCGCTAGTGTATGGTGAGTGCTAAGGCAATCAAATTCTCCTGCGGCCATTCCATTGACTACGGTTAAGGTATGAGGGCAATCCGTAAGGAACAACGTATGCCATAAATATATTAATATCAATGTGCTTTCAGATGCAACCGACACTTGCTTGGCTTGGGGCAGGAAATCAAGGGTTCCTTGGTCGAGGCTGGCCTCATTGGTTACCAGTTTGGTACAGTTGGTGTTAGTGATGGGATCAGCATGGGCACTGCGGGAATGTCGTACTCCCTGCAGTCGCGGGACCTTATTGCAGATCAGGTAGAGACAGCTGCTGGAGGACACTGGTTGGATGGAATGGTTGTAGTACCAAGATGTGACAAGAATATGCCAGGTGTGCTGATGGCTCGTGAGTAAGGTACTTGTTCAGATCCACTATGGGCACTGACATATTATCACACTTGTATAGTCGGACGACTCAACCGTCCAGGTTTTATGGTATATGGAGGCACAATTCGTGCTAATTCATCATGCGCGGGTCAACCTCGACTAGATCTTGTTTCCGCATTCCAGGCGTACGGAAAATACCTACAAGACGGAAAGACACCAGAAGCAGAAGCCCTCAGGTATGAAACAGTGCGACATGCATGCCCCGGCCCAGGTGCTTGTGGAGGCGTGAGTACCGCTGTACCCAATTCAGCGATATTTTATTCAAATACTGGCAGATGTACACGGCGAACACCATGGCCAGTGCAGCTGAGGTCATTGGAATGACTCTTCCTGGTTCTTCGTCGTATCCAGCTGAATCTCAAGAAAAACACGAAGAATGCAAGATCGCTGGTCCCACCATGCGAAATCTGATTGAGAAAAATATTCTGCCCCGCGACATCATGACGCGTTTGGCATTCGAGAACGCTATGGTGTGCCATGCTTTTTTTTCAATTTTTACGGTCACTCATACCAAGCCTCAGGTTCTTACCATGATCCTAGGAGGGTCGACAAATGCTGTGCTGCATCTTACTGCTATGGCACACGCCGTTGGCATCAAGCTTACCATTGATGATTTCGCCCGAGTGTCTGAATCAACACCTTTCCTCGCCAACCTCAAACCAAGCGGCAAGTATGTCATGGAGGACCTCTACAAAATTGGGGGCATACCCAGTCAGTGATTCGACTACCGTGATGATTTCTGCGTTCACGAATTTTTTTTTCAACTACAGGTGTACTTCATTTCTTGATGAAAAATAATTACATCGATGGCAACAACATGACGGTCACTGGCGCTACTTTAGGCGAGAACCTGGAGCGTTGGGTACACAAACACGGGCAACTCCCCGCTAGTCAGGACGTGATCCGTCCCCTTGACAAGCCCATTAAAGCTACCGGACACATCAGGTTCGTCATTGCCATCTCTCAATAGCCCTTTTTCTCAAATAACCCTAGAATTTTGCGTGGTAATTTGGCTCCTGGAGGTGCTGTTGCCAAGATTACCGGCAAAGAAGGACTGGGGTTTACCGGAAAAGCTCGAACCTTTAATTCAGAAGAGGCCTTTGTCTCCGCCGTGGAGTCTGGCTCGATTAAAAAGGGCGAAAAAACAGTCGTCGTTATGCGCTACGTCGGCCCTAAGGGTGGCCCTGGTAAGTGGAATGTCTTCGATCAGAACGGTAATATCAATGCACGGATTATGCAGGTATGCGAGAGATGCTGAAACTCACTAGTTTGATTATGGGCGCTGGCCTAGGTCAGGACGTCGCGTGCCTCACAGACGGACGATTCAGCGGAGGGTTTGTGATATTTCCATTCACCATGATTTGTAGACTGATGCGATATCTGTCAGATCTCATGGGTTCTGCATAGGTCACGTCGTCCCTGAGGCCCAGGTCGGTGGACCTATTGCGCTTGTGGAGGATGGTGACACCATTTCTGTCGATGCTGTGGCAAACACCATCAAATTGCATGTCTCCTCTGAGGAGATTGAACGCCGTCGGAAAGCCTGGGTTGCTCCACCAATCAAAGTCACCCAAGGAACACTCTACAAGTATGTTAAAATGGTCAAAGATGCCAGCCATGGGTGCATCACGGATGGTTAAGATCGGCTATATTGGAAAGAGAACTGATGCACAAGTCTCAGCGTCGTGACGAGAACTACTAATATAATATTGACAATACCTAAAGCACAAGTATATGAATGAAATACAGTGAGAATGCAGAGTCCAAACTAAAACATTATACATACTGACTCCCAAGTGTCGTGACGAAAACCGCCGAGGTGCAAATAATGTAAAATAATCTATTATAACTACTAATGTTTTATGTAATTCCGACTCTCGAGTCATACTGGTAGTGTGCTTTCAAGTTTTGAGCTATTGCCATAGATGTATCTGCGCCCTGTCTCTTCATGAATCCATGATAGTATTCATCCTTTTGCAAGTCCCCTCACATACCTTTGCTGACGTGGCCTGAAATTTTTCTACGTTTATGGACATTTGTCGAATTTTGTCCTGTGCCATTCTTTTCGTTTGTTCAAGTTCGTTCTTCGAGGCTCCTACCTCCAGTTTTGTCGACATTCCTCTTTGCTTTTCTGCCGTTCAGGGTGCCCAATTCCTGGCCTGCGAATTATACTCGTGCGTCTTGGGTTCAATTTTAGGCTTTGCTGACTCTTGCCATTTGTAGTTGGAAATAGATATATTTGTGCACAGCTTGGCGCGCCCCGCATGCTCGTTACAAGTATGAGGCTACGCAATCTCCCTCTCTTGCTCATATGCCCTCTCTTGCTTATCGAAAGACACCTGGGGCCGGAACCGCTGCAAGCCCATCTTCAACAGCATCGTCTCTCTCCACACCGAGAACAATCGCTTGCAATTTGCGGATACACGAGAGGCTGATTGGTGTCGGGACAAAGATTGTTGCTATGCTATGCAGAGCGGACCATCTCATTGGTCAGGTGCCGGGTGTGGTCGAGAAGCTCTCGAAGGTCTATACCGGTGAATTTTCTCAGCGGCTCAAGGATCTCCTGAATCAAGCCTTGCTCGGGTTTATACATCCAAAATCCACGTCTCAGTTTGCTCAACATGTTTCTGAGTTGGCAAACTTGCGCGAGGTCATGGCACAGGAAAATTCCAATAACGATATAGAATTTCTGCGCAGCTTCCGAGAATTCGTTCCAACTACAAATATTACAGGCCGTTAATAGCCAATTTTTTGGGACTCAATGCAATGAGTCTAACGTAACGAACGTATTCGCTCCAGGACTACCCTACTGTTTAGCCGTGTCCAATATGACATCTGGCAAATCAGTAAAGGCATTTCCAACATATCGGCCTGGCACCACCCTCTATACCTGTCGCTTCCTCATTTAGAGGGTAGCGTCTTATCGCCATCCTCTTCGGGTATCTTGCAAGTCTTGAAATTGTGTGGCGAGGACGGTCAGAACTGCAAGATTGCCGGTCTGCTTGGTAACCCTCGGTTATATGCGAATGCAAATCGAGCATGATAGGGACAGACTCGACTTATGGGGTAAGTCCATTGTGCTACTTTTCCTTGCACCTGCTGATATCTAGGCAACTTTGAATTCCGGGGGAAATAGATCCATATGTGAGGCTGTCGTGCATTCATTTTGAATGCGCTATTTGCACTCAGTGACTACCTCCGCTTCCTCTTCGCCAACGTATTTGTCAATTTCTTTGCAGTGATGCAGAACACACACGTGTCTGCCTATGAATATGTGCAACGCGGGAAGTTCCAAGCCATTTAACATCCCTACTCGTTGTGACACATACGTATTTCTGCCTGATTCCTTGTTTAGAGGTAGAACTGAAAGTATATGCAAACTAATATAGATGATCCTGTTGCATTACTGCTGAAACTAACTATTGCAGCATCCTACCCCACTTGAAAGAGAAAGATGCTCTGTCGACACCTTTCAGGTAGTCTGGCTGACACTAAATTCTTCCAGGCGTCTCGCGATGCACAAAATCGTGTGTCAGCGAGTGCACGATAGCCTAGAAAAGCAAAACCCGCATCTACTTGAACATATCTGTACATGTGGCAGTATGCTCAATACTGCGTCATGATCGATTGCTGGACCCATATGTTCAGTCCTATCTATGTCATAGAATGGCCCAACATTTAAAAGCCCTCGGCACCATTTACCATCGCTTCCTCTTTTCTCCCTTAGTCTCAGCACCCATCCTACATTTACGGAAATCCTTCGCTGAACTCACGGAGTAAAGGTTCATCAATATTGACTGCGCCTCTCTATTAGGACGTCATGCGAAGTTCGTGCGTGATCGCTCTATCCCCTTTGTATTCAAACTTTGTTTCCTACTCAACGTGCCGTCAATCCGCACCAATTCCAGAGTAAATGCAGCGATACTCACAGAACACTATGCGCACGGTGCACTCTAATGACATTGGTTAATTTCCGACCGTCTTCTTTCACGGTTTAGCGACCTCACGGGAAACTAGATACGAGTGGGAACGTACGTTTCTCCTTATTATTCACTGTCAACCCTATTAACGTTTGCGCATAAACCGCCATTTTCAAATGGTGCATTTCAGTCCCCAAATAAAGGCAGTGACGAGCAGAATCATAGCAGATCATGGGCTTGATCCATTCAGCTAGTCAATTGAGATCTTCTTTTGGGATGTCTAGCGGCTTTGCACATCGTCTTTGGATATTCCTGCTGTGTAAATGCCAGCACAACGCGACACTTCTTGGGCTCTGGCCCTGTAGTAAGGCTCACGTGAGATGTTGCAGGTCGATCCCATCAGGTGCTACAAACCTTCGACTATATAATGTCGCATTCCAACTTCACACCATATCAAACTAATGTCTCCTCCTAACACTGATCTACTAGATTTCTTGTCCGCCGAACTCACTCAGCGGGTCAAGGAGCACATGAACCAAGCCCTGCTCCAGTTTATACGACCGAATTCCGCGTCTCAGTATGCTCAACATGCTCCCGAGTTGGCAAACTTCCGCGAGGCCATCGCGCATAGCGACTCGAAGGACGATATTGATTTTCTACGCAGCTTCCGAGAATTTGTTCCCACCACAGACTATGAGCCTTACAAGCCATACATAGCAAAGTTTTTTGCGACCCAATGCAAGGAGTCTGACGTAACAGACCTGTTCGCCCCAGGACTGCCTTACTGCTTAGCCATGTCCAGCATGACATCTGGCAAATCATTAAAGATGTTTCCAACATACTGGCCCGCTCCGCACTTGTTGCACCACCCTCTATATCTGTCGCTTCCTCATTCAGAGGGTAGTACCTTATCACCATCTTCTTTGAGTTTCGGGCAAGTCCTGAAATTGCATGGTGAGGACGGTCAGAGCTCCAAGACGTTGCCGGTCTGCTCTTTAACCGTCGGTTTTCTCCGAATGCAAAAGAATTGGGACATCGAGTATGATATGGACAGACTCAACTTGTGGGGTAAGTCCGTTGTGCTACTTTCTTTCCCTTGCACCTGCTGATATCCAGGCCACTTGTAGTTCCGGGGAAAACAGACCCATACGCGATTTCCTTGGTGAAGGGCTTTCGTGCTTTCTTCCTTTTGAACGCGCTATTTGCACTCGCTGACCGTCGGGTGACAACCATTCGCTTCCTCTTCGCCAATGTATTCGTCAATCTATTGCAATACATAGAGGAGGAGTGGACTCTACTTATCGACTGCATCGAGAAAGGGATCATTCCAGATATAGAAAAATTAGACCATTTGCGAGAACCTTTGGAGGTTGTATTTGCGTTGATTATTACTTTTCATTCAACTCACAAATCCCCTCAGAAACATTTTACTCCAAACCCTACTCGTGCTGCCGAACTTCGCGAAATTGGACCTCCTGGAACCTAGGGATGGGCCGTCCGTGTGTGGCCTGACTTGAAAAAGTTCATCGGGATCACTGGAGGCTCCGCTGCTGCATCCGTTCCAAAGGCACGTCAAATGTGGAAGGTTTACTATGCAACTAACTGATCGACACAAGGTTACTCACACCCTTGGACCTTCTGTCACGATGCAGGCTCCTTGTTATGGCAGTTCAGAATGTTTTATCGCCGTACCATATTTCAACGGCAACCCTAATACCGACTTCAAGATGGTGCCCGTAGATGGGGTCACCGAGTATCTGGATGTGCGTTCCAACGAGCCTTCTGAGCGTGTATTGTCCGCTGTAAGGACCATTTACTGCATTCCGGCTTTGTGTACTCATCCCTGCCGCAGTGGGAGCTTGAGACTGGAGGGCATTATGAGCCCGTCTTGACGACCCGCAACGGCATGTGGAGATACCGCATTGGCGATGTCGTCGTCGTTAAAGGCTTTGCGCCAGACGACGGATTACCCGTCATCAATTACCTTCATAGGCGAGAGTAAGTTATCAGATGATTGATTTGCGACTTTGCAACTGAGATGCCTGCTGAGGAAGTGGCTCGCTTAATCTGGCGTATGGATCAACGTGTACAGAATCGCAACTGACGAACGCGATCGTATCTGCATCTGAACGATGGATCGGCCAGATCATAGATTTCACTGTTGTAGCTGACGACCGAATCGCTCCAGTTACTTATGGGTACTTGGTAGAGATTGAAGGGGAAATAGGTTCGTGCTTGCTTGGGAGCTCCTACGCGTGACTTGTGCTGATGATATTTACAGGAAAGGACGCGAAAAAGGCGGTACAGCATACTTTTGAAGACCTCGCGAAAAACAATGAGTATCATCTTGCGTTTTTGCAAGCGAGAAGAAGAAAGCCAACCATCCGTCTCGTGGAGAGAGGCACGTTCACAGAATATCGCAGGCAGAAATGCGACAAGACGAATATCTCGATGGGCCAAGTGAAGGTTCCCATCGTCCTATCCAACGAGACGTTTAAGGAATGGTTCCTGCAGAGAGTCGTCATGGAGCTGTAAGGTATTACACAAGAGTCTAATTCGATTTTGGTCGTTGAAATTGTTGTCGAGATGTCGAGGGTCTCTTGTACTGATAAGCATGTGTATTTCGATTTTTTTTGTTCTCCGCGGGCGGCCTCGCAACCAAGAGAACCGGATAAGCTTAGCTGCTTAAAGTCAACATTTATATCATCTGGCAAAAGCCAACGTTCAGTCCCAGGAAAGTTTCAAGCAAAAATAGAAAAGTGATAGTACACTAGGTGATGCGATTTGTAAATATAACAGTACAATGGTCAGGCGTGCGCATGTCAGAGAAATACATGTGTGCTAGGTTTATTCGGACTCGGAAGAAATATCATGCTACTTGGTACTTGGCTAGCGTAAGGCTGCGATCAGCTCCAATACCACATGTCAGATATCATGCAGCAGTGCACCGCTCAAGAAGACCGCTCTGGCTCAGACATCATATCCCAATCGCTGCCACTGTCCGGGCAGTCGTCACCAGCCGACGCGTCCGACCAGGACTCACTAGAACTCCCACTAACACTTGCAGATCGACTGATCGGGATCAGAGGGCGCTGTGTCCACGATAGCTGGGAACCAGCATCTGAGAGAGGGATTCTACGTAGCGCCGGTGAAGACGCTTCGTCACTCTCATCATCAGATTCAAACTCAAAGACACTCGAAGGAACCGAAGGCGAACGGGGCGGATCATGGATCGGTGTCGAAGGGATGGAAAAGTTATACGGGGAAGGCGAAGACCGTCGCGAGGCATCATCCACCTCCTGCAACGGGCTCCATCTCCTCCGGCTCTCCCCGAAATCAAGATATCCTCGCATAGCTTTGGAGATATCCACAGCGCTGGTGTTGGGCGAAGGCGGCACAGAACCATAAGTGGAGGAATCGCATGAAGATGAGGAAGACGACATATCAGAAGCCCACGGGTCGATGATCGTGCAATCAGGTAGGCGCGGCGCGTTCCCATCGCGCAGAGTTTCCGTGCTCGACACCTTCCTGACCCTATTATGCTTCTCATCCCATTTCACCATCTCCTCTCTCTCCGTCGCGTGTCGCGCGAACATCTCATCCCACAGCGTCGGCACCAGGTCCCTGTGCTTCAACATATTCCTAAGCGCCCACTCCGTATCAAGCATCGCGAGGTACGTGACGTCCTTCCACACGCCAACCACGCCCCGTCTCTCAGGCTTCAACACCGACCGTCGTCGGGTACCTTCGTGTCTAAATCCCTGCCCCACAAAAAGACGCATCGCGCGGTCTTTCTGGGCGTCATCCATGAGCACCGCTTGGATACGATGGAACTTGAGATCTTCAAACGCCCATTTCAGCGCAAGCTCCACAGCTTCGCAAGCATATCCCTTGCGTCGATGGCTTTCAGAGATGATGATCCCCACGTTTGCTTCTTGTGCTGCGCTCTGCGCAGGGGCAGCGGTGACATACACGAGGCCAATCGGTTCCCCTCCATTGGGGACTTCTTCTTCTCCTTCCTCTAAAGGAATGGTGAAATCGCCCGTTATTTGCACTTCGTACTTGTCCCTCAACATCACGATGGCGCATAGCAAGCAGTCTTCTGCGAAATTGATTAGGTATGGGACAGGCGCTTGCATGGGCTCTACTGCGCCCTCCATGAGCTCGTTCCACAGAACGCTGAGGAGCGCATTTTGGTAGTTGGAGAAGTCGAGTGGCGAGAGAGCCACATTTTGTGACTGAGTTAACATGACAAGGCGAGCGATAGAGCAAGGAGCGGAGCTGCTGCGGCACTGTCGTGGCCAAAAGATATATATTCACTTCAAAGGCGCCCACAGCAATCAGCGGGTGTTGCACAGCTAACAAAGATCACTGCTAAATTTGGTTTGTGAGATGTAACCAACCTACTTGGGCAGGGCGATTCGAGCATTGAAGACAGGGGTGCATTCTCACGACTGAAACACGAGGAGCGTTAAACCAATTGGAACCACGTTCTAGACGAACATTCCTAGGCATTACACGTTATACGGCGATTTGCCTCCAATGGTCCGATCAAGCTCTAGTGTCAAGTGCGATAAGTAAGGCCCATTATATAATAATACAGGTTGTCTGAAATGAACGTTCGATTTATATCCCTCCAAAGGGCACGAGGGGTGCTGCCTCCGTGACATCGAGCGTCAGCGGGATATCCATGATCCACCTCACCATCATGTCCTATGGATACCATGAGCGAACGGACCTCGACTTGAAATACATCACTCACCAAGGCAGCCTCAGGTTGGTCGTAAGGAACCATGTGCCTGAAAAGATAAGTGGTTAATTATCAAGAACACGAAAATAAGGTATAGATTTCTGACCCAGATTCATAAACAGTCACAAAAGTGACGTTTCCAGCGCCAGAACCAGCGCCACCGGCAGACCGGACAGTACCAGCGACCTTTCCAGAACGCAGCGTTACCCACTGCTCAGTCGGAGCCGTAGAGAACTCGTCCAAGAAGATGGTATCAAGTTGTTCGACCCACCGCTCGTTACCCTGCATCATACGTGAGCCTACGCCACACAAACCTGAATGATGACATATGCACCATGTAATTGCACATCATATCTGAGAACGGCATCAGAAATGCGTAGCCACGGTAGATAGAAGTTCTACTCACCCGCATTACCAGCGTAGATCAACAGCCTGACGCCATCATTGATCATATCCGTCAACAACAGAGGCGTGTTCCGCATCGAATCGCCCTGGAGCATGAACGCCTGGTTGACAGCCATGTTGCAGGACTCGAACTTGCGCTGCGGGTTCACACCGAGTGCAGCTTTCACCTCAGGATCATTCATGAAAGTCTCGATCCAGCCCATCTGGCGGTAGCACAGAGGCCCGTCTTTCTCACGATCGCATTTGATACGCGCATCGTAAGGGTTAAGACCGGATTCTGAAGGGCGAGAGGTTCAGGCATGATTCAGATCTCGTAACAGCAGCAGCACATACGTTGGATGGGAGCATAGAGCTGAGAGTTGCAATACAGCGTAGCAGGTACACAAGTCAACCGAGAGTTGAAATCACGACAAGACTTGATCAGTCTCTGGCAGGTCGGGACTTTGCTCCTCAAAGCAGTGCATTCCGCACCATCGGGGTCATCATAGATCGCGTACGGTCCTTCGCAGAGGTAATCGGGTATCGACGCCATTTGGATGTAGTTGTCCGTCATCCCGTTGCCCATCATGACAGACGCGAGGTTGATCTTGATAAGTCCCGCATCGGGCGAAAGAGGAAGGAGTTGGTTCTCTGTGTAGATGACGTTCGCGATGTGCGGGACATAAGTGCCTCCGTAGCTCTCTGCAGCGAGATGGAAAGGCTGAGTGGAGTATTCGGGGAAGCGCCCGAGGAAGAGTTCCATGAATGCATAAACATCCTTTCCAGCCACAGGGCTCGTGTCGACGGTGCTCCCGTCTTCAGAGTAGGAGAATCCGACGTTGATAGGCTGGTCGAGGAAGATCACGTTAGCGTGGGTATTCCAGCTGTGGGGGTTAAACGTCGTGTTGGCGCCTCCGTCTGCGATATTACACGGACCGAGCTCGAACAAGAGACCAGTGGAGGAGCTACATCCTGGGCCGCCATTAAGCCACATCACAAGGGGCGCATCTTCCGGAGAGGTGCGTGACTCAAAGAACCTAAAAAAAATCGAATAAGATTATGACCGAACAACAAAAAAGAAAAAAGATGGCATCAATTGAAAAACTAACCAGAAGAACAAATGTTTGTCGTCGGTGATATCGAGGTAACCGGAGTACTGCTTCACCGAAGGGTCACATAGCTTAGGCTCCGTGACCCTGAGCTTATAGTCGCTAAAATGAGGGTGTTGAACCAGCTCGTCTGCGGTGTTGTTTTAGCTTCATCGAGAAGGGAACCGGATCGACTTACAGGTTAACCCGTGTTGTTTGATGAATTGCTTTCCGTCTTCGTACCATTCATGCACTCTTTCGGTGTCTGGGAGGTGGAAGAGGCTGTTCTGAACGGGGCTAGTCCCACCGAGAACGACTTGGGTGTTCTCGGCTGGCGCTGCGAGGATCGCTGGTGCGATGAGGGCGAGCGGGAGGAGACTGAGGACCTTCTTCATATTGAAGGTGATACGATGACAGCTAGCACTGTCTTACTTCGTTCAAGTACGAGAAGTGGGACTTGTGGGATTGCGGACCGTGACCACAGCTTTGTTTGGCAGCAAACAACCGTGTAACACAACTAACATGCTGCCAATGCGTGTGACCTCCCGAGTAGCCTCGACATGATTTTCGGCCGCTCCGGATAAATTATCTTGACCTTGCATATGTTGTCCGCATGTAGCTGGAGCCGATAATCAAGGACCTGCACTTAAGAAGTTAGGCCATCAGAAAATCCACGGATGATATCATACGGTTGTGATCCCAGGAAGTTTGATGGGCGCCGTAGAAAATAATTTGATAGTCAGCTGCACTGCCCATGGCCAGGAATCTTTCGTACTGCAGCCACGAGTATATCCCACCAATTATATTGATTATTCGTAGTAAGTATCAGTCCATTTCGCACCAAGCGCCCATAGCAGATGCTACGATACGATAAATGCTTACGAACAGCTTTATGTATGTATAACAAGCGACTGAGAGTGGGTGTACAGCGTCCTGCACTAATATACCCTGCACCATGACCCCAGAAGAAAGAGAGCTACAGGCTGCGCAGAGGAGCGGGTAGAAGGGGCGAATCTAAAGTGTCCCAGAGGTATATAGTGCATTCGCAACAATAAAACCGATGACAACGGCTGATGATACAACATAGTCACAGGCATAGGTAGTTGGGTGCGGGAGGTCGCGGGAGTTCCATGCAGGTATCTCAGGTCTTGAAAAGTAGGAATGCACGATATCAGATGTTAGGTTACGAGCGCGCTTCTCCTCAGGTTATCGCGAACGAGAACATCTTGCACTGGGATCAAGTCAGCATGGAAGGTCAAAGTAAAGACGAGTACATACCGTTCTCAAGGATGTATGTCGTCGATTTCGTGTCCTGTAAATTAAGCTCGGTTACCAAGAGTGCCTATAGATAATCACGAAAGATGATCTTACAGTCACTGATGTAAGATGGAAATAGTATAGTCGCTCGGGAGAATGCTCTTTTAGCAAGCCAGCGAATTTCTTTTTCAGGTCTGATAAGACGACAGGTCAGAGAGTGAGTTGACAGCAGAGGGTATGACTTGCATTGACTAGCACTTTCAAAGTCATTCGGCCGACTCCCGTAGCTGACGATGTAATCGGCCAAGCGAATGCCTGATGCGAGCTTGGCGCGCAGGATATCGCATTTATTTAGAAAGAGGATCAGCTCCGTCTTCTTCAGCAGGGGGTTGGACACAATAGCTTTCCAAAGAAGGAAAGAATCGGCCTGCCACAAGGAATGAGTAAAAGTCAGGGGGAGGAGATAAGGCGTACCAATCTATTTACGGATGGGTCTTCTTGGAGAACCTGGTCAAAGCAGCTTATGGGTGCCAGGAAAATGATGGCATTCATATCATCAAAGTACGGAACCCACGCGGCTCTCTACAAAAAAGGCAGGTGAGTCAAGACCTCGTTGATACAGTAGTACGCACCAGTGATCTTTGGCCGCCAACATCGAACACGCGCCAATCATGGCTCATAGGTGATCCCATGGAACCTAGTTAATAATCAATCAAGATGCGGTAGAAATGTTTATCGCGGCGCAAACCTGTTTTCATAGTGAATCGATGTTCCGAGACTCCGAGAGTCTTTAGCCGCGCGCGGAGAACATCATCTGAATTTCAAATGAGCGTGAATTATAAGCTATCGAGAATCTTACCATCAGTGGGGACGTATCGGGGTGAAGTCACGCGATCCAGTGCATCAAGGAAGCTGTAAAGCGATGAGAGCGAGATACTAGGCCATTATTGGAAACGTACAAGCCAGCCATCTCTTCTGGTCTCATCTTCTCGATGTCCATCAATTTTCGGATGATAGGATCCGTCCAGAGCCGTTTCATGTCTTCTGCGCAAGCGTTTAAAACCACACCAGGGTCGTCTGGGTCGGACCAGTCGATTAAATCCGCACTGTCGCAGCTGTTTCGGCCCATGAGCCGACTGAAGGTGTTCTTCCAGCCTGCGGAAGAGTTGACGCTGATCTCTTGCTGAATAGGAAGGGATTGGGCGGGATTGGCTAATTTGGAGAGCTGGGCGTGGCCATTGGGGAGAAGCTTCTTTATCAAGGTGACTTCAACTTGTAGTAATGGAGCTAAGCGCATCTTGAGCTTCAAATGTTCTGGGTTGAGTGGTGGGTATTCCTTGAGTGGTGGATTGGGTAGAGAAGAGGGATTTGACAAGTTAGTCAAGGAGGTGGAAGGGTGGGCTGAGGAATGTGCCTTGGACATTAGGTCCAAGATTGCGTGTATAGATTGAACGACATTGAGTTGGATGACGGCTCTCCAGGAGGCACGTTCTGAGCGGAAGGCCTAGAGGGATATGAGTATGAGTAAAGAAACCGTCGGAGATTAATCCGTCGTAACCTTAGGAGAGTTCATAAGTTGGAAGTCTGTAATGTACCCAAATGAAGTTAAATTGTAGTGTGACCATAAATAGAATTGGGGCTTACTTTTCAGTGTTGTCGATTTGCCTGAAAGCTATGGGGTGAGCTGACTGGAGCGGAGAGAAAGCTACAAGTGACTCGCCTGATTCGCTCTGACCTGGTGGGGGATTGTTAATGGGATGAAGTTGAAGGGTAGTATGAGCGCACCTAGGAGTAGTATCTTGATTGCCTTTGGACCTTTCTTCTCTGAGATACGTTGTTTGTTGAGCTCGTCGTCGATTGCGTCAGACACACGCTTTGCTTCTTGTTCCGCAGCAAGACGTTCCTCGCGTTCTGCAGGTGATTCTGTAGGAGGAGGTGCGATTGCTAGAGTGAGAGGATCATCTTCTGATATTCTGGGTCGTTTTGAGGAAGGCATGATGATGGAAAGAGGAAGTGGCGGTTGAGATGTGAGGTTGGGTGACGGTAGGAGACTAAAAGGTACATGTGGATCGGCGGTATGCTCCATAAAGTTGGATCCGGACTCGTCTTGTGACTTTGATCGCAAGCTGTTCCTGTCAGAGTATGACTGCCATCAAAGAGTACTTCTTGCTTCCTAGCTCAGTGCCTCGGTCCACATGTATTTCCGTTTTCATCTTGAGCGCCTTACGAGGTATTACTCACCCATTGACGGCCGTGTGATGTTGAGTCTGGCGAGGCCATTGGGTTTAGCATGAAATGGCCCCGTTGCCCCAACGCACAGCTTAGGTGTACCGATCAGGCAAAATTGTTCAGGTCATGGACCCCAGCGGCATGAAATGATTCTTGTCTTGAATTCCGCGATTCTGTTTCCATATACCTCCGTTATGTCAAGGGTATCTGCCGAAATCTCGCCCTCCGCCGATAACATATCCAGAGTCTCCATTTCCTAATACTGCTCTCTCACCATGGGTACAACATCAAACTTGTATCCAAGTGCCGGTTCCGATAAACTTCAATCCAATGGCAATACCTCTTACTCAAAACACAGTCTTCCTACCCCGCCTAATCGATCAACCACTCCACTCACTCCAACGCTTGACGGCGTTTGTGAGCTTTGTTATCGAGAGCCTCTGTGCGAACAATGTCATCTGCCGTGCCCGCCGGGGTCGTTAGAACATCACTGCACTTCAACGGCTACAGTCCTCCGTCCAAAAAATTTCATTGTCCGCCGCTCTAGTGTCGATGGAAGTAGAACTTATGTTTGGCCCGCGACAGCGACCATCGGAGGACCTACTTCTTTTTCACTTCTGGCGGATGGCAGCAACACGATCATTGTCATGCATCCATGTCATGTCGACGTCTGGGATTACGTTTGTCAGCACCTGGCTCTTTTCATCCGTTCTCGAACCCTGTCTTACATAGGCTCTCCCTCCATTTCGATCACTCTCCCCACTGGTCGTGGTTACACCAATGACACCCTCGATTAGTATGCATTTGACTCGATCCGTTATGGTCAAATGGTATCCCGCAGGTGTCAGGGGACGATAGCGCAGGTCCAACTGTTTCCGCGAATGTTCGTCAATATAGGGCAAATCATTTGAGCCCCTCGTCTCGTTCCCTGGCCTGTTTTCAGCTTAATTGTGTTTCCATTCCTGTCGATGCAGATCTAGTCCGGCGTTAATAGCGAGTCACATGCTTATCTCGAAGTATAGGTCATGTCATGTGCAAGGACATATGATCCTGCGCACTCTGAATATCAGGAAACTCGAATACCCTCCACGCGATAATCAGATTCATGACACTGACATGAGTTCTAATTAAGGTTCATGGAATTCAAGCCACGAGGTGATAATAGCTAGCCATGTCCACCCATACACTTGCTTTGATGCTGCGCCAGTGTGCTTTTAAAACAGTACTTATGATCCTATCATCAACCATTACTCCTCCTACAACAGAATGGCGCTCCAAGTAGCGCTCATACCTGGCATGTGAACCTACGGTCTTCCACTCGGTCACCTCGGAGTCTAGGCTTACTCCACTATCTCACAGGCGAAACCCCGACGATATCAGATTACTAGCATTTCAAGTGACTGCGGGCTACTAGCTCTACACTGCATACTACGCCTCAGTTCATGACGATTCTGACGCAGCCACCCCAGTACTATGCTGATCGTGATGAACCTACACAATCATTTGGTGCAAAGGATGTGAGAGCAGGCCCGAAAATAAATACACATGGTGCACAAGTCCAAAATAAAAAGAGGCAGTGCGCACGGAAGCAAAGCTAGAAGCTTAAACGCGATGGTTTAAATGTCCTCCCGTCCACTCCGTCATGAGAAAAGCCAAGCCTTTTTCAACGCTGTGGCTTGTCACTTTTACACAAAAACTCCACTTTCACCCGATTTTGCTCCATAATTGGGGTGATAAATTTAGTTTTAGGCTTACCCTCCCCAACGAGTTGGCGCTTGGAGTGATGGGATTTTTAAAAGTGCTCGTCACTCTGACGACTCGGCTTTCCGTCTCAGACATGGTGTTTTCTTGCATTACACTACACAAGAAATTGGGGCAAAATAATATACCTTTTAGGTTTATTCCTGTCGGCAATATATATTTTAGCGCTGCGCTTGCGTTACGAAATCAATTTATCTCCAACCCCAAAGAATTTGGTGCGAAATAAATGCTCTTTCGTCACGTCAACTTTTTCTTCTTGACCACCTTCTTTCATGTCGTCCGTCCCTCCAGTTCGCTCGACGCCTTCGTCGATGGAGACTCTCACTCCCCCTATTACTCCGAAGCTTAATGCAGACTCTACCTCACAGCCCTCAAAGAAGTTTATTGACGATCCCGAGCACGTCCCTGCGGACGTTAATATTCCAGATAACTACGTGTCGTACACTCTCAAACATCAAAAGTCTCTTCCCCCACTCGGTTGGGACAACTGGTACACAGAGTTAAACTGGTTACACGTTGCAATTCTCGCAGGCACGCCTGTCATCGGTCTCGTCGGCGCGTACTACACTCACCTTCGATGGGAAACCGCCGTTTGGTCAGTGGTATACTACTACATGACCGGTCTCGGTAAGCTTTGGCATTTACCTTGGAAAGCCTGTTGTCTCATCGTGCTTCCAGGCATCACTGCAGGTTACCACCGGCTATGGGCACACCGTTCTTACAACGCGTCGAAGCCCCTTCAGTATGTTCTTGCATTCGTCGGCGCAGGCGCGGTTGAAGGCTCTATCAAATGGTGGTCACGAGGACACCGTGCTCACCATCGTTACACCGACACAGATCCTTGACCCATACAACGCACACCGCGGTCTTCTATGGTCGCACATCGGATGGATGGTTGTCAAGCCCCGTCGCAAGCCTGGTGTTGCTGATGTTAGCGACTTGACAAAGAACGAGATCGTGAGGTGGCAGCACAAATACTACCTAAGCCTTGTCGTGATCATGGGCTTCCTCTTCCCCACTGTTGTGGCTGGCCTTGGCTGGGGTGACTGGCAGGGTGGTTATATCTACGCCGCTCTTCTGCGTCTTTGCTTTGTTCATCATGTATGTTTGTTGTTGCCTTTTGTTCCGATACATCGTTGACCTCGCGCATATAGTCCACGTTTTGCGTGAATTCGCTCGCTCATTGGTTGGGTGAAACGCCATTCGATGACAAACACAGCCCTCGCGATCACCTCGTAACTGCCCTCGTCACAATTGGTGAAGGATACCACAACTTCCACCACCAGTTCCCCATGGACTACCGCAACGCCATCAAGTGGTACCAATACGACCCTACAAAGTGGTTCATTTGGTCGTGCCAGAAGCTTGGCCTCGCAAGCCATTTGAAGGTATGTCTGTTGCAGATACGCTGAGGATACTTGATTCATCCCGGATCTATTAGTCCTTCCCTGACAACGAGGTCCGCAAGGGTCAGCTTACCATGCAACTGAAGCGTCTTCGCGAGACCCAGGAAACCCTGTCATGGCCTGCTGATAACAGTGACTTGCCCGTCATTTCCTGGGAGAGCTGTACGTACTTGTCCGCGTGTGCCAGATGCATTTTCTAATACATTCCGCGTAGACCTTGAACAAGCCAAGAGTCGTCCGGTCATCTGCATTGCTGGCTTCATTCACGATGTTTCAGACTTCCTTGACGATCACCCAGGAGGCCGTCACTTGTTGACGAAACACATCGGCCGAGACGCTACTACAGCATTCTTTGGAGGTGTTTATGACCATAGTAACGCCGCACATAACGTGAGGCATATTTTAGCTGTCGCGCGATCATATCTTTACTAATACCTTCTGCAGCTCCTTGCAATGAAACGTGTCGGCGTTCTTCACGGTGGAGCTCCACATGGTCTTGAAGATAAGGTCATCCCTCCAAGCCAGCGTCTTCGCATTGCACGATACAACGAGATCGGTGGCAGCGGTTACAGCTCGGCAGCCCACTCTGACGGCGAGGGTCTCCTCGGGTAAAACGGTAATATCCTTCCCCGTCCTAGATGCAGGATAGAACTTTTAGACTTTTATTACATTCGACCCGCACCTATTGACTCTGCATATATTCTCTTGCTCGCAATACCGGCTGTGCCATAAAAAGCATATTGACGCTTTTCTCCCAAATTTTCTTCATACGATACGCACGGCTCGCTGTTACGCCTTGTCATGTTTGCAATGGTAATACGAAAGGAGAATGTACGATATACATACTTTGATGTTATGCCTTTACGGTTGGAACTGGGTTGTTATCGCACACCAAGCATGATCACATAATTGATTTTGAGCTGGAGGCGCTGCTGACTCAGCTACACAAATGTCTTTTGCCTATTATTTCCTCACTGTGGTGGTGCACAATTGAACTAAGTTGATGGTGCTATGGTAAAGTCTTAGTACCTATGTGTTGTCAGACTCATGAAACAGAAGCATGATCCCTTCAAGTTTCTGTTTCTGACTCATGAGACTAGGTTATGAATAGTCTGACTACATTGAGAGAGAATTATTTTTGATGTTGTCCCCCTCAACTTTGATGTTCATGGATCCAAAGCATAAACCAGGCTGTCATAATCAAGCACAGTTAGGCATTAATTGCTGTAGCTGTATGCTCAGGCTGGCTCCCCAAGCCTAACTTGAACATGATGGTGCACAACTATCTTCCAAGTCTGTCTTAGAAAAATTACCATTGAGTGCATACAACAGCTCATTAACCTGGCCTGCTAAGAACAAACTACACTGAATGCAGTAGCCTATATACAAACAACAAAAGACTGGTAGCTCCATTAGAATCAACTCTGAGTATTACAGGGAGAAAAAAGCAATATGTCAGAAATTTCCAAAGGTGCCTTGTAAGGGACCCCTCTTGAGGTTAATTGAGGGATTGCAAGATCATCTGACATTTTTCCAAGTCAATTGGAGAAGACTTGCAATTAGCTTGCAAGTGTCAATTGAGCCTCACTTGCAAGATTTTTGAGTCTGCTTCCAAGGTGCTTCAAATGGGCTAGGGTACGGTTGAAAAATCCCCGCGACTTTTCAACAGCTGTTTATAAACAGACTGCCTCAGACCATTTATCAACAGGTGTTTTAAACAATTTTCAACTAATAGTTATTAACCGGTTGAAAAATATTTATCAACAGCGTGAATAATGATTTCGCAGTGAAAAAATGTGAAAAATTAGAATATCCAGTCAACGGGCCTCATTTTCGACAATGGCACTTTGTTCTGGTCCATCCAAAAGTCCTCCGAGTTGTCACTGCTGTGTCCAGTGTCCTCGGCAGGCATGTCATTGGTAGTTTGTTTGACTCATGTGGTAACAGCACGAAGGTCTCTGTTGATGTCACGAAACTTCACCGTCGGTTGTCGGTCGATAGGGTTCCTTTCGTGGTCTCATCTTTTCAGCCCAGCAATGAATGTCATACTACTGTCCAATTTGAATCATGTCAACAAGTGTCTGAGCAATCTGGTTAGCACGTATCGCCCATGTGAACTTCGATCCTGTCCGTTTGTCTGGCATGGAGTTAAAATTAAGGCTGGCGGGGTTGGAAGGGGTCCGATTGTACTTTTTCGAGCCTCACAAGTTGATTCAAAATGTTCCCACACGCCCTGGATTTATTCACAATTTTCAACAGGCCTTGGGACACGATGACTTTTCAACAGTGTTATTAACAGTTATTAACAGGTATTATAAACAGCTGTTGAAAAATATTGACTTTTCAACCATACCCTAAAATGGGCTTCATCATTTGAGGGCTTGCAATGCCTTATAAGGCATGCCAAGCAAAAATAACTTTTTCCAACATCACTAGTGTTCAATGTTTATTCCATTGTGGAAACAACAAGCTTGCTGAGTGGCAAGCAAAATAATGTTGGGTCTTAGCTATGCCTGGCTGCTATGTCTTTAACAGATGTGTTTGACCCTAATGGGAATTGCCACTAGAATGATAAAGGATATGTGTGACCTGAGAGCATGCTAAGGGTGGGAAAATAGCAGATAGGTAATACATGAGGTACAGAGGTGTATGTGAGGCTATCTGAAGTGTGAAAATGCTGGCTGAAGGTACAGAAAGCACAGCAAAGTGCAGATAAGGTATAGGGAAGTCAAGGAACGAGGTTTAGAGAGAGTGAGAGCAAAGGTATATTGTGAGGTAAGGATAATCTAGGTATAGGGACCTAATAGGGGCTAAAAAGCACGTCCTACAAGGGATTACTTCAAAGGTACAGTGGCTCAAAAAAATGTCCCAATGTTTATAGCTTTTCGTATAATTGCTATATCATGTGTTGAGACGTGGGAATATGACTAAGCTATAGGGAGGTGTTGGAAAGGTCTGCCTCTCAGCTTTATTTCGGTTCCCTATACCGTGGGAAAATAATGAGATTGTGTGAAGATATGGTCATTTTAATTTGATGACTCATTGGGACACTTTTTTGACTTTGAGTTTGACTAATATAATCTCTACAATTCTAGTACTTTGTGTGACCTCCATTTGCCCTAATCACTTCTATCACTCTTCTAGACATATTCTCTATCAATTTTGGGTATTCCTCTTTGGTATTTTCATCATACTCTGCTATAACACTGACTCATAGTTAAAATAGCCCCTATGGTAGATCTTGATATGCTACAAGCAATTTCTTGAGTGATATGTAATAGGGTTGATGTCTTGGATCTATGCTGAACATGATAGAATAGTAGTATCATGGTCTTTAAGTTATTTGGTAGCCAATCTAGAAGGTTGCTCTATATGACTCAAGATCTCTTAATTACTATATTCTAATTGGACAGCCTGCTAATGTTACCAAGGTGACTAAATTGATTATTTCCATCATCTCTATAACTATCTCCACTCAAATAGTCAGTCAGACTCTCAAGACAGCTCATCTCAAAGTGGTAATTAAGAAAAAAAGATTCTTCTGTCTCCAACCTATAGAAAGAAAAGACAAGATGCTGCTTTGAAGTACAAATACTGGACTGCTGATAGCTGAAAAAGTTTATCTAGTTAGATGAGGTCAAAATAAATGGGATGAGATCATATGGCCAGGAATTTATATTAAAATAGATAGGAGAGCTATAAAGATAAAGAGAAGTCAAACAAACATGTAAGTTTCAAGAAGAAAACTTGATGGTATAGGACTGTATAAGATGAAATGGAGTGGGAACTTTCTGTGAAGCAGAGGGGAGGATTAATACAGAGCAGTAAATACTCATTTGACAGAAGTGTCTGCTAAGAAGCATACAGGAGTCGTGAGTTAATGAAGAAGATACTATTTTGTGACAAGATAATGACTCTAAGTATACTTTTAAATTGACTGCCAATGGCTTGAAGACCATGATATATATATTGATTCCTTGTTTATTGTCTGGTTGGGTGGTGCCCTATGTTGGACAGTACCTACATGTATCTACTTATGTATGTGGCAATAATCTGACATATGGTACTCTAATAGTGGTCCTAGCGGTTTGGTGAGGACTGTAAATGCCGGCTTGAGGCATATGATGGGTAACTGGCGGGGGTGTGGCCAGTATCACAAGCGGTCTCTTTCTTCACATTCTTTGGGTGGGGTGACATCTCCAAATGTGGCATGGAAGTGTTTGGTTTGCACTATGAAGGTGAGCAGTTTACAAATGGCCTTTTGGTCATTGAGTAGCTTCTTTAGTGTGAGGTCGCAGGTTCCCAGGGTCTTTCTCAGGATGTTGCATGGACGGATGAAGGCAGGGCATTCCAAGATGTAGTAATAGACTGACCCTTCCTTCTGATGGCACGAGGAGCAGATGGGGGATGGGAGTTTGGCAATGCGATGGAGGTGTTTATTGAGAGGTACATGATCTGTTCTGAGCTGGAGGAGAAGGGAGCTGTGGCAGTGAGGGAGTTCCTCTGTGATGTGGGCAAAATGATTGGATGGTGCAGAGGCATCTATGCTGCTGAGTTTTGGTTGCCAGGGGGACTTTCTCCATACTTTGTGTGCTTCCTGTCTTATCTCTTCATTGAACATTTGCTTGAGAGCAGATTTGCTGATGGGGAGTGTGATGGGAGTATGGGTGCACCCTCTGCATTTGAGTGACTCTGGGAGCAGGTTTGGGGCCAATGACTCTCCCTGTTGTAGAGACTGACATCTCTGTGGCCTTGTAGAGAGCTAATTCTCCAACACTCTAATCACTTCCAAAACATAGCGCGACTCATATCTCATTTCCACGCACTTGGCACTTCATTGGCCGATTGCGTGCGCAAGCGCTTCAGCCACGCATCGGTGCATACATCCCCAGTTCCATCGCTCATCCTCTGTCCATCCATTCCATGTCCATTTGGTTCATCGGTGTAGAGATACAACAACTGTTGGACACTACTTGAAGTAAGTAGCCAGCAATATAAAAATGTTGGTCATGCACAGCCTAGTCTGCTATACTTGCAAGACAAGTGTGTTCGACCTGAGGGGTTTGCTGTATGGTATTAGAATAATCAGTTATAACAAAAGGAAGATAGTCCGAAGCGCGGGAAACAAAGTCCAAAGGTATAATTACGAGTCCGATGTCAAAAACGTTGGGTCCGATGTTTTCAGGTTTCGGGTTAGCGGGTTTGCCTTGGGTTGTGTTGGATTAGCGTCAGGTTTGTGTTGGGAATATAGCAGATGTTGGGGATAGCGAATGGTGGGTTACTGTCAGATGTTTTGGATAAAGAAGGGATGATATTGTGGAATCCAACTAAGAACTATGAATATTGGATGACCTCCTCCTACTCGGAGGTAGAAAAGGTAAAGTAAATGGGTAGGAGGTATGCGAAATATATAGTGTCTATGTAGAAATTCGGAGTGCTATAGGCGAATGTAGTAGTGCTGATTTTCGGGTCCGATGTCCTATGTAATAAGACACGATGTACTGCGGACATGTAATAACGTGTTCTACAATGTTAGCGATGTAAAAATGAATAACTGCACACCTAGTGAGGATAGATACGACAGGACAAGACATAGGGAGGACAAGTGCGCAGGAAAATATTGGGTCCGATGCGTGGGAAACATCGGGTCTGTTGGATGAGTGCCGCCTCATGTTGATCCGGAGCATCTCTTGGTGCCTCATGCTTGATCACAGGTCAAGCCTCATGTGTCTTATCTCACCTCATGATTGACCTCATGTACTACTATCTTTGATTAGCATAGATTCCCCAGATACGAACTGAGCTTGAACCCTTATGTACAAGCATATATAAGTAGACAGATTATTGTATTAGTTCTTTACTTTAATCTACTAGGTTATCCCTTGAAACCTGTTCAACTAAGCCTCCAGCTTAGTTGTCTTTGAACCCTTGATTGCACTTCTAAGTCGCTCCCTGCATCTTAGCCGTATTTTCGCTAGCCCTTCCTCTCGACGAGGTCTGCCAACCTTACCGAGATAGACGGAGAGACCTGTAGACTTATGTCTACCTGTAAGACACCCCTCAACACACTCTATGCGATAGCACATTCGTGCTGGTGTTAAGAAGACCTATCCTAGTCATAACAAGTGGTATACATCATGGTGGTCAAATTAAACTTACAGCTGAAAAGTGGTGGTCTGAAATATCTACTTGCTCTAGTCCAATATTACTTATCACTGATTACCAGCAAGTATACTGTCTGAAATATCTCTTCTATAGACCAATATCACTTATGACATTTATCAATATTTGCTGGTGGGTAAGTTATAGAGGTAAAATGTGTTGGTGCACTTGGTTTTTCTAATTCTGTCACTCTTGTGCTTCTTGGAACTATAGAACAATTCACCTTTATCACTCCACCACTACATCATTCCATATGATATTAGTAACTGCTTGCATTTGTATATCTTCTTCTCAGCATTTGTTCCCACTTGCTAAGGTAGAACTATTCTTGCACTTTGTACCTAGAGTCTTGCTAACTTAGTCTAGACTTACTTATTATCTAGGTATATCCAATATAGTGTTTATTCCCACTTGCTGAGACTTGTTGTTTGGTCTATAGTTTATGAGCCCTGAGCTCAAATAGCTTAATAAATTAGATCAGACCATGATTACTTTCACAGGAACTTGTTAAGGACACTTAACCCTCTGATCATTTGAAATACAATACTTCTGATCATTGTTACAAACTTAGATAGAATCTTTTGTAATAGGTTTAATAAAGGAGACCAAGAGTACAGTATTGGGTAATGACAACCAGAGGTAGAACTCTGGTGAAGTGATCGAGTGAAAACTAGTCTCTCATAAAGAGCTAGATCAATAGGCACCCTCAGGTCCTAGTTAGGTATCAGGGAGAACCGAGTAGATTCAAGTTAAGGATAATACAAGGAAATAGCTAGGGTTTATATACATAAGAGAAGTGTACATAGACCAGTCCATGAGGCATTGTAGAAGTATAGGAAGAGGAAGTCAGAGATAAGAGAAGTCCCCATGGTCGACATGAGGTGAGCTAGAAGTAAGATGGGAATTAAGAAGTATAGTATATGTGTAGTCCTGCAGGTGATGATAGGAAAATGATGGGGTTACTGTAATAATCATAATATTGAACTTTTCCTTTAAACTTTTATTTTATAGTAAGAAAATTTGATCATATTGCAGAACTTCTAGGTACCAACATGTATCCTAGCTGGAGACATGTTGTTAGACTTGCTTTTGCCAGTGGAGGACTCTGGAACTACTGCAGTAGTAGGACAGATCCTAATAACATTGCCAAGTTTGTAAGCACTATACTAAGGCCAGTCACTGTTGGTGCTCCTACTACAAACAAACTTAAGGCCATGTAAGAGTGGATTAAGGAGGATATGCAAGCTAAAGTCATTATTGGCAGAAAGCTCTCAGCTGCCATACAAAATATACTTGATAAAAGCCTTGTTATATGTCAATAATGGGACATGCTTACAAAAATATTTGTGTATCTTGATGTCACCTCCCAGTTTGAATTATGTTTGCAACTCTTTTCAGAGATGCTTAAAGACACAGAAGATGCACAGAGGTATCTTGGTATTATTGAGAATAGTTATCACTGCTTCACTGAAATGTAGATCACTTTTATCAATGAAGAAGTTATTTTTATGCTCATTAACTTACCTGTCATGCCTTAGTGGGTTGTTTATAGAAGTCTTATTACTAGGCTGTATACAGTAACTCAACCAATGCTATAATATCAACCACTTCCCCCACAAAAAGTGTCACATTTGAACGAGTCTTGACTTCTTTCATAGTGGACTGGCATGGCTGCAGGCATTTTCCCATTTTTTCTCCACCAAATATCCAAAAAACATTGATTGAGAAGATACAAATTTCCCCTCATTATGCCTATCAAAATATTGAAAAAAAAGTAATTCACATATCAATGCTTTTTGTGTGTGGAACATGATGCAAAAATTGGTCATGTTCCTTCAAGGATAATGCTGTATTTTCCATCTATTGTCTTTTAAATAGCAGCTTATAATAATGTTAATTTTCTTCTGTGTTTTTCAAATTCCACTAACAAAAATTGATTTAATGGAGTAGAAGACAATGTAGAAATATGGAAATCCTGACTATGAACCAGCATCTTGTGCAGTACTCACATCAAGGAAAACCTCCCCCCTGAAATTGAGGTATTTCCATGTAATTCCATTGTTTTCGAAAGATTTCAAGTGAATTCAAGTGAATCCAGGTTTTGCAGAATTATTTAAGTCTGGTAGCTCATTTAATGAATTCCTTTGAATTCCGAGTAGTTTCTCTGAATTCCATCAAATTCACTTGTTGCTCGATGGATTATTCTGAATATTGTCCAATTCACTTGATGATTGATCAATGTCAAATTACACAAAAATCAACATTATATTGCATTAAAATGGCTTATCACAATGTATGGAGTTTGATCAGAAAAGAATATACATGAACATGGGTATCAACAGCACACGAAGACGCTAGTGCTTGAATTAGATGCAACTATGATCAAGTTGGATCAGTAATAGAGACACAAGTAACAACCTTTAATCCTTGGACATTGTGTCAACATTGAGGTAGTCGAAGTTGCTCAATGAACCAGCCGGCAGTAACATGTTCTGCGACACACTAACAGAGTATGTGTGAGTGGCAGGTGCAATATGAGGGACATGAAACGCACCTGATGGCCTTGTAAAGCTGTGCCATCAGTGCATGATACTTTTTTTTCCCACATTCAAAAATCTGAGTGAGGGTTGCTTCGTGGGCTTTGTAGACACCAATGTGGAGGGTAGCATTGAAGGATTTGACTTGCAAGCTCGATGGTGGATTGCCACTCCTCCAGTCCATCAGTATGGCATAAGTCTGTGAAAATAATGTGCTTAGCATTGTCGGTCTAGAATAAAAACACCTAAAAACCTACGATAGTTGCAACCAATGCAACCATAGCCACAGGGAGCTCCAACTCATTATTGTCATCTAAGACCGACACAAAATCTTCATGTGATCAAACTCTGATCGAGTTCTCACCATCAAACATTAACTGATGAAGGATATTGACAATGCCCTCGTTGCAGAATGGTTGGTTGCTGAGGACCTTGCCCTGGGTGTGACATAAATATCAAGAATGACATGTGACACCAACTTGAAGCACTCACATTGTTGTTAGTTGGAAAAATATACACGTGGCTTTTCAGGAGCTCTTCAACCTGGTTGGCGCAGCCCTTCTTCAGTCTGAATCGAGATATGACAATTTGATGAGCAAGCTTCTTGATACTAGTGTGGAAAGCACTGATCTGACCTTCAGGCTTCAAATAAGAGCATCAGTATTGACCAAGTGTATAAAAAACAAACACAAATGACACTGGCAAGGGCAGCTGCATAGTCAATGTCATTTTTAAGCCTCTTCAATATGGTTCTCTCTTTGTGCTCATAGGCAGCAGTACTGAGCGCTCACATAGCCATCTTTTGCTTCTTGGTAATGGTGGGGAATATATTTTTGAAGACAGCAATTTTCTTGAGTTCTAAGACAGCAGTCCTCAAAACAATCTGGATGTGTGCATTCTGAGCCTGGAGGTTGATGGAGCCATCCGCTTCATAAACTAGAACAGTAAATTCAGGCCATTTGAAAGGAGGATAAGGGTTGGATGAGTTGGATGAGGCTGGTGTAGCAACAGACTCAGAGACATTGGGAACCTCTGCATCATTTGATGGCTGCTCAAATTGTGGTCTCTACAATGCAAAAATCAGAAGTGGACAGTGAAAAACAAGTGTTAGATCACCTCAAGTTCTTGTCACGCTTCAAGTTTGCTCTTTTTCTTCTCACCAGGCTCAGGCTTGCATTTGATAGTCGAAGTCTCACGGTAGTAGGTTGATTTTGTAGACGTCAAGTTGGTGTCAAACTTGGGTTCTGATTCATCGGTGACTGTGACCAGCTGTGGTATCTTACCATCATCACCTGTACCAGAGGCCATTGACACATCACTATTGGTTTATGAATGGCATCCAGATGCAACTGAAGCTGAGCAGCTGGTGTGATGAGGACTGGGTGAAACAAAATGTGGAATCTAACATTGTAAGTGACATCAGCAGTCACAGACCGGTGTCACCAAGTAGTAAAATCTCATGGACCTCTTTCATGAGTTCCTCTTGAAGCTTCTCTGAGCTTTGAGACAGTAAGTCCAAGATATCATCGTCTTCAGGTACTTCTACATCATCCTCTGACTTTTTGAATTCAGAATCGCTGATACCATATTCACTCGCAGAGTCATCAGCATCGACTGACACACCCTTGTGAGTGGAAGTTATAGCTATTTTGAGGTGAGCAACACTTCTTGGTTGTTAAGTGGTCACATGTACTACTTCTCTCATGACCACCACCTCTGACTTATTTCTGCACTGCTGCAGGTGTTTCCGTGCTGACTTAGTTGCAGGTGCTGACTGAAGCTCGGTCATTGTTGGCATGTGCTTGCAACCATTGTTAGTTGTGTTCCAGACTGACATAGGTATGTAGTGTTAATCATATTGCACAATACGAGCTCATGCACTCGCCTTTGTGTTCCAGTGCTTTTTTCTTTGAAGACTATTGTGGTTCTTTGCAACATGTAAGTGCTTTAATCCGATTATCGCTGGATGTGCTTACTATTATCAGTGATGGTGTCAGCTATGTCTGATGATATGACCTTGCTGGCAGGCTCTGGTCTTGTCTTTTTGGCATTCTATTTTCGAGAAGCTATCTCAGATGGTGTCAAAGATAGATGGGGAGGCATTTAAAAAGGTGAGTGAGTGCTACATTTTTAAACGAGTGTACCACTATAAAATTGAATAATTCAGGAAAGACAACAAAGAATGTGGTTATTGGATGGTATACAAGCAAAAAGGTGCGCAAGTGTCTGAGGACGAAAGAATGTGGTTGTTAAGTGACTAGGTGGACAGGGAAGAAAAAAGGTTCATAGTCCTACCACCAGAATGATCACTTGTCCAGGCTGCACTAAAGACTTCGAACTTGCTGGGCATTCTCATCACCTTGCTACTACCAAAAATCTACCATGCGCAGCTTTATTTCAGCATCATTCTAATTTTTGTGTTGATATGGATGATGATCACGGCTCAACTCACTCTGATAATCATGACACCTTTGAACCTTACTCACTGACAGAATTTACAGGTGACTACTTTGGTACCTACAATGAAGAAGATTTCAAGTGGCCAGAGGTCCATCAAGTTATGGAGTCTGACTCTGGAACTCAGGAAGAGCACGAGGATGAGGATTGTGATGAACTTAGAGATGGAGATGCCATAGCTGCTCATAATGCAGAGCTTGAGCATGGATGGGAACACCCTGTGGACCCTGCATCACAGAACATTGATTTTCCTGACTCAGAGGATGTATCTCTGCAACAACAGCCATGTCATGCAGAACAACGACAAGCAGAAGCACCCCTTGGCCAACACCCCACTATTGAGGAGTTCCCACGGTGTGGTGCAGGAGCTCCATTGCATTGCACTAGCACTACAGCCTTCACCTCCTATAAAAATACACTGCCTGGCTCAGAAAATATTTGGGCTTCCTTCACATCTCATGTAGATTATGAGGTCGCAAAGTGGGCAAAGCTTTGTGGTGCTGGATCAACAGCTTTTTCAGAACTGCTGGCAATTGATGGGGTGAGTTTTCATTTACAAATTGATGGCTAATATTCTGAATGGTGTTATTGCAGCTTCGTGATGCATTAGGTCTTTCCTATCAAAACTCCCATGAACTCAATCAGATCATCGACCAAGAGCTGCCATGCAGACGACCGTATTTCAAACACAAAGAGATCATTGTTGTCAATGAGGTGTTTGATGTATACTCACACAATATTATGGAGTGTGTCAAAGCTCTCTACTCAGACCCAGATTTCTCACAACATCTCCTTCATGCTCCTGAGCGCCATTATGTTGATTCTGACAAGACTGTTAGAATGTATCACGATCTTCACACAGGCAAGTGGTGGTGGTCTACCCAGGCAAGTGATCATAAATTTGTGTTGCCCACAAGTACTTACTGTGGCCTCACAATACAGAAAGAGCTTGAGACCAAGAAACACAGAGCCACTGTCATACCCATTATCCTTTCATCGGACAAAACTCAGGTCACCATGTTCAGAAACAAATCCGCATATCCGGTCTACATGACAATAGGGAATATTCCGAAGGAAATTCGTCGAAAACCGTCTCAACGAGCATGGATCCTTCTTGCATATCTGCCAACTGCAAAACTCAAACACATTACCAACAAGGCAGTTAGATGTTGGACTTCAACTAATCTATTCCACACCTGCTTGCATCATATCTTAGAGCCATTGAGAGTCCCCAGAGAAGATGGTGTTGCCATGGCGAGTGGGGATGGAGTCATACACCGAGGACATCCTATTCTTGCCTGTTATTCTGCAGATTACCCAGAACAACTGCTGACGACAGGAATCGAATCAGGAGAGTGTCTGAAGTGCGACATTCCATGAGACGAGCTGGGACGTCCAGACATTCCTGTGAAGCTTCGAGATTTTGTAGCAATTCTTGCTGCATTGTCACTGGTTGACGAGGACTACGGCATGTGGACGAGAGCATGCCAGGAGTGTGGGATCAAGCTGGTCTTCAAACCATTTTGGGAGGACCTCCCGCATGCTAATATCTTCCAGTCAATTACACCAGATGTATTGCATCAGCTCTATTAGGGCATAATCAAACATCTGATCGAGTGGATCAAGGAAGAATACAGCAAGGCCAAGATTGATGCTTGTTGTCGCAGGCTTCCACCAAACCATAGCATTTGCCTATTTATGAAAGGTATCAGTAGCCTTTCCCATGTCAGTGGAACAGAACACAACCAAATATGCCGCTTCCTGCTCGGTGTCATCATTGATATCCGATTGCCTGGAAATCTTGACAGTGCTCGCCTTATTCATGCTGTTTGTGCCATCCTCAACTTCCTCTACCTTGCTCAGTACCCTTGCCACACTGATCAAACTCTCAACCTTCTTGATGACTCTTTGACGCACTTTCACGACAACAAGGGGATATTTGTCGATCTCAGGATTTGAGTTAATTTCAACCTTCCGAAACTTCATTTCTTCTGTCATTATGTGCATATGATCAAACTATATGGCACAACTGACAACTACAACACCGAGTACACTGAGTGCTTACATATTGATCTCGCAAAGGATGCTTACAGGGCTACCAACCATAAAGACAAGTATCCGCAAATGACCCTCTGGCTTGAAAGACACGAGAAGATGTTATGGCACAATAATTTTGTCCAATGGCGCCTTGCTGTGATCCTCCTGTACAAGACAGGTTACCGCCTGACATGGACTATTGTTGCACACTCAAGATGACTAAACACCTGACTGCAAAACATGTTTCATTGGACCGTATCATTTGTGGTTATGGTGCCATATTTTTCATGGAGGCATTAGCTTGTTATGTCATTCGCACCAATCAACCCACTTTGTCTGCAGTGCAACTCAAACAAGAAGCTGCCCACATTGTCCTTCCCTTCCAGACTGTCGCCACATTCCATAGGGTCAAATTTTACACAATCAACACCAGTGGATATCATGACCCAACAGCTACAATTGATTCGGTGCATTGTCAACCACCACGGAAGGACAACAAAGGGCATATTATCCCTGGACATTTTGACACTGTTTTAGTCAATGAAGGTGATGGTGGGACAATGGGTGCTAATGGTGCGTGTTTTTTTGTACTACTCCCTCACTACACTAATATTTGATCATGAATTTCAGGGTATCATGTTGCACAAGTCCGTGTTGTCTTCACACTGACAAGTCATGCTGCAGCTGCCTTATTTCGCACACCTGCCAAGGCACCTACCCACTTTGCTTATATGGAGTGGTTCACGCCATTCGGGCAACCCGAAGCAAACCATGGTTTGTACAAAATTTCCCACATCATTCGTAATGGAGAGCGTCTTGTGAGCATCATCGATATCTCTGATATTTGCAGGAGTGTACACCTTATTCCAAAATTCGGCCCAGTTGTACCTCATGAATGGACAAGCAGTACTGTTCTGGAGCTTTGTTCTAGCTTCTTTGTAAACTCATTCAGTGACAGGCATGCTTATCTCACTATAATCTGACTGGTGGAATTTACTCTGAGTTCATTGGAAATACAATGATTTCTGTTGAATCTGACCAGTAGATTTTACTACTTTCGAAATACAATGATTTCAGTCAAATTAGCAGAGTTTCTGGAATTCAGCTGTTTTACATGCAAGTTTGAGGATTTCAGTGGAATTCCTGTGGGAGGTTTTTCCTGATGCATTGAATCACAAATCCCAAATGAGGCAGCTCATATTGAAAAATTTGCAATTGAAACACCTTTGTACCTTATCATCATGTTTCAATATAGAAAGGGCCTAATTGTCATATCCCATGTTCCAGACCCGGACCAATCATGCAATCATCTCCGGACTTCCAGACTTCTGGATCCGGTCAGTTCCTATCTTCCATGGCTTTTCCCTTTAGCATTTCCCTTATCAGTTAGTATGCTTTATTTTCCGTTCCTCATTCATTTCCATCTTCATTTTACTAAGTTCCGATAGACTAGTGTTAGGCATTCCACATGCTCCGTCCATAGCCTCGCACTGCACAAACTGATTCTCTGTTATGTCCTTAGTAGTATATAAACCCTGTAAATTCTCTGTATTTCCTCAGTTCAAATATTATCTTAGACTCTGCTCATACCCTCCTCTGTCTGACTTGAACTCTCTTCTCATTGTCTCCGACAGTCTTAGGATCGACTCCTATTGACTTACCACCTCCGCCTCTACCTTAGGTAGTCCTCCGCTGTTTCCTTTCTAGTTTGGACATCGTCCGAATTAGTCTTATCACTTGTTCCCTAACATCCACCAGAATTCCTGCGCATTGGACTCTGGACTCCGGACATTGTCCATTAGCCCTCAGAAGTTAGGGGCATGTACTCGGGTAAGGGGCACAGCGCATGAGCTGAAGCCAAGCCCTTCAGATCTGAACCATTGAGCACATTCTTAACACTAATCAATAGTTATTAGATTTTTTGTCTTTGTCACTCTTTCATTACATTTGTCAAATCCACAAGCCCTCTAGCCTATCTTACATATTTCCATGTCAAATTTCCTACCACATTTGTGAACATTGGTGCGATTGATATCAATATATAGTATAATTAGTATTTTAATATGTTCATCAGTTTACTGATGATAATATACCAGCATAGCAAACCTAGAGTCAGTACAACCTCTCAACCACACTTGTGATACCACAAGATTACCCCAAAAGGTTGTCCATGAATGACAGGGACTGTTGAGTCCTTATATACTATGACAATGCAGCACTATTTAGAGGTGGGAGCACAACCAGTGACAATAGTTACTATTTCTGATCTCACTGGTATTAATGACTCTTATCAAATTACTTTTTCTAGTGCCATTGATACTTTTATTCAACAATGCATACATACCTCCAACAATACCTTATGATGAAGTCATATATGGTGGTCCACTTTATGAGCATATCTGTCTAGCTGTTTTCCTGGTGTTACACTGGGTAAGCACTAAATGTCCAACTTTTGTATGCATTGATGAACATCTGATTACAGCTGTTGAGATTGATTCCCTGTGGCTGCAGAGATAGCTGCTATACTTGTAGCTTATTTTCCATCACCTATCTCAATAGTCCTGTCTAATCTGATTTGCAGCGGACAGCTTCTGAATATGATGCTGAACAGATACTTTGTACTTAGAACAACTCTGATCATTATTGGTGGCCTGGGGTACATATGGTGTTTTCAGGTGATAGGACAACACTTCACTTTTTGGCTCAGCATAGGCAAGGACCACACTGTTGTCACTATGGGTCCATATGATGTTGTGTGCTATAGATAAATAATAGTGGCTGAGCACAACATGCAGTAAGCACTCAGCCAAATATAATAGTTGTGGTCTTGCATAGCCTAGTTTACTATACTTGTGAGACAAGTCCATTCGACCCGAGAGGTTTGCTGATTGGTATTAGAATAATTAGTTATACAAAGAGGAAGATAGTCTGAGAATGAGAAACAAAGTCCAAAGGTATAATTACGAGTCTGATGCCAAAGTGTTGGGTCTGATGTTTTTGGGTTTTTGGGTTAGTGTTGGGAATGTAGCAAATGTTGGGGATAGTGAATGTCGGATGTTTCGGAGTTTTTCAGATAAAGAAAGGATGATATTGCAGAATCCAGCTAAGAACTAGAACTACTAAATATCAGATTTTTTTTTTGTATCCTTGTTTTGTGTCTATTGGGGCAAAGCCCTATAGTAGACAGTACATGCGGTATGTGACTAAGTGTTCTACATATGTACCTTATGAGGGGGTGGCTGTGATAATGGTTCAGGCGTGTTATGGCGAGAACGGGGACACCAACTGAAGGCAAGTCTATGTTAGTGTGTGTGGGAGTGGGCTGCTAATGTTTGTTTCATCCATCCTTTGGTTCTGGGGGTGTGACATCCCCAAAAATCTTTTCTAGCCTTCTTGTGCATGTGACGTATTTCAGGAGTGCTCTGGTCCCATATTGGCTGCTAAGGAGGTAGTGGAGTTGGCTTGCTTGGGAGCCTGCCTCTGTCTGGAGGGCAGCTCGTTGTCTCACGTACCTGTTGCATGTCATTAGGAAGTGGTGGACTGTCTTGTCATGCTCATTACATTGTTAACAGCGTGCCGTGGGGGACTTTGCTATTTGATGGAGAAACTGGTTTAGCGGGGTGTGTCCTGAGTGCAACTGGAATAATAGGAAGCTGTGTCAACGTGGGAGGTCGTCGATGAGGTTCACAAAGTTCTTGGATGGGACAGAGGGGTCAATTGTGTGGATCCTGAGGAGACGTGGGGAGTCATTCATTATGGATCTAGCCTCCCTCTTTATCAGCGCATAGAACTGCTGCTTGGTTGCTGATTTACTGAGGGGGAGAGTGAGAGGTTCCAATGTTCTTGTGTGCAGTGAGCCTGGTAATGATCTTCCTTCAGATGTCTCCCCTCTCGTGCCCCACTTTGCATGTTCATCGGCTGCCTCATTGCCTGCTATTCTCTTGTGTCCTGGCATCCATATTATGACCAGCTTCCTTCCATCCTCTTCCAGCAGCAGGTCCCTCAAATTGTCATAAAATTTATCAACCAGATAGTGGCCGGGTTGAGATTGGAACACGCCTGTGGATCTAATGGCCACCTGGTTGTCTACTCCCAGGGCCATTGTGCCCTCTCCTCCCACCTCTTTGAGTAGTTGCACTGCTAGTATCATTCCCACTATCTCTGCTTCATACACTGTGTGCTCTTTCTCCTTCCTCAGGTAGAACCTTCTCTCATCTATGATCTGTGCTCCCCTATTAGCACTGCCGCACTGCCAACACCTCCATCCACTGCGGATCCATCTGAGTAAACACATAGTGTTTTGTTGGCCTGTTCTTCCTCCTTGACTGCGTCTTTCTTCTTTGCCACTATGCTGATGTGTGTGTCTGGGGACCACTTAGGGTAGTGTTGGATTGGCATGATCTTTTCCATCGTGAGCGGGCTGATTTGGAACTCATTTAGGAGTTTGTGCAGGAAGGAGGTGTGACACTTTCGTCCTTGAAAGTTCCTCTTTGTGCAGAATCTATATGCTGTGTTTAAACTGTTAGTGATGGGGTGAGTGTGAGGCAGTGTGACTAGTCTTAGTGTGGCCCTGAAACATATTTTTCTGATCGCTTGATGTACTGGCAGGACATTGGCGTGCAAGTCCAGAATGTCTGTGGCAGAGGATTTTAGGCTGTTGGTGATCAAGAGGGTGGCCATTCTCTGGATTTGTGCCATTTGCAAGGTGAATCCCCATGCTCCTCTGCCCCCTTCCTTCTTGCCTTTACCTTTAGAGACTAAACCTGCACACCAGATGTCTGCCGCATAAGTCATCTTCGGTATCACCACACTCTCGTAGAGCCTTCACATTAGTTGCCCATGGATTCCTCTTGTTGGGCTGATCATGTGTTTGCATGCCATAGTGTATGTGGTTCCTTTGGCGAGAGCATAAGCGGTGTGTTCTTTGAACTTGAGTTCGTCATCGATGATAACTCCTAGGAATTTGTGGGAGTGTGAGGGGTTGATGGTGTGATTATGGATCGTGATGGGTGGGCGGGGGGCGGGAACTGTCTTGTGTGGGTTGTCCTCGCTGGGGACTCTGTGCTTTGAGAGGCACAATAGGGCTGTCTTCTCCAGCTCGAACTCTGTATTGTGCTCCTTGCTCCATTCCAGTGTGCCTCCCATTTTTTCCATCATGGTCTTGAGTTTGGCATTGGATTCCTCATATGACTTGCCTCTTGCTCCCAACGCAACATCATTGATAAATCCTAGACTTATTTCCCCACTGCGAGAGTTAGCATCAGTGACACGAAGCAGGTCTGAATTGTAGAAAATAAATCCTAGTGGTGATAGTGGGCACCCCTGGTCCACTCCATCAGCTACATTGAACTCTTCTGAGTGAAAGTCATTGAAGGAGAGGACTGTTTTCCTGTTTGCCAATCTTCTTCCATACCATTCTATGTATTCCTGAGGGATTCTGGCCTTGTGCAGGTTGTGAAGGAGTTTGGTGACTACTACACTGGGGAATGCCACTTTCACATCCAGGAATAACAAGGAGATGTGGTCATTGGCTGATGCCCATGAGTCCATGATGAATTTGGTGAGAAGGTGAAGGGAGTCTGGTATTGAGCGGCCAGGGTGTCTACCAAAATGGGTAGTGGGGAGAAGACTGTGTTGTTCTGCTATATAGGTTAGATCATCCGCGATGCACGATGACAGGATCTTTGCCATTGTGTCGAGTAAGGTTATTGGACAGTATGCCTTGGGGATGCTGTAATTTGGGCGGCCTGGTTTGCGGAGTACTATGGTGGACGAGCACTTCCAGTCCTCAGGGTAGATGCCTAGTGAGAAGGTCGCTCAGAATAATGGCACCATGAATGGTACTAACAAGTCAGCACATTTAATGAAAACTATATTGCTTACACTGTTGAGTCCTGGGGCTTTGTGTGGAGAGAGGCACTTTATGGCTCTGAATACTTGTTGGTCAGTGATAGGTTCAAATTCACATACTGGAGGGGGGTATTCATAGTTGGTGTCCACAAAGTTGTTTTCTGGGGGCGGGCAAAAGAAGACTTTGTATAGTAATTGACTTTTTCGCTTGTTGTCTTGAGATCTTGTGTTGATGCCGGCTTGGGGGTCTTGAAGCATTTTGATGCAAGTGTGAACTTGATTTGCTGGATTGCCGGATGTGTATCTGTGGAAGGACCAGGTGTCAGCTAATGGGAGGGAGTCGAGCCACTCCTTCCAGTGGTGTTCCTTTACTCGTTTGATGCTTTCTGAAAATTGGTTTCTTGCCATGTGATATTCCTCATGGATTGGGTCTGTGCGTCTTGTGATGTGTGTGTGTGCTTTGCAGCCAAGTTTGTGGACTTGTTTCCATTCCCTGTCCAGATCCTTTGTCCACCACCTTTTTGCATAGGGAGAGGGTTTGGAGCGTGGGACTTGCTTCTTTACTGTCTGCAGGATGGCGTCAGTGAGAGATGTGTATGCCTCATAAAACTGATCTAGGGAGGTCAGTTCAGCAGCTTGTGGTATTTGATCAAGCTTGGCAGACAGGGCTTCGTTGAATGCATCCCATGCTACTTCCCTGTAGTTGAGGCACAGTATAGTGGAGGAGTGTTCAGGTTGAAGGTCTATTGTGCTAATGATGGGAAAATGATCAGTAACCACTGGGCGGAGTTCAAGTTGTACTTTGCATTGAGTGAACTTGTCTTCAAAGTCGGCGGAGCAGAACATGTTGTCTGGGTGGTGTAGAGAGTTGATTCTGTGTGGGCTCTACAAAGTGTTACCTTCAGAACTCAACGTGCGAGTGTAATGCTCGTCCCAAAGAGACTGCCTATAGAAATACTCCTTGATATAATGCAAGGGATATCTTGTTAAGATCGAAGATGAGAGAAGGAAAAGCTACCAAGACTGTGCTCAACATTCTGAGAATGTGTCCAAAGTACCGAAGTACTCGTTGACCTGCACCAAACCGGTTCGGTGCATGGATGACTAATGCTCTCTCACGAGCCCGATACCCTAGAAATCATTATGAACAATCTTCCTTTACTTTATGGTTCAGACTGCAGTTCAGATAGTATTTTCATTTCTCAGACAGACTCAGATAGGCTGAATATTCTTGTATATTTAATTTTGCGGTAAATTCTGCTTAGTCAGCAATAACAATGACTTAGACTGAATCCCACACATGTCAAGTAACAGTGTAAAATAGTTCTTGCATAATTTGCCTTGTGGGAACTTTCTTAACACTCTAAATACACGGCTCGCGTCATTTCTACGGTCAATAAAGTAACATCATAACAAGACACCAACAAATAACATAATCAGTCTGTTACTTAATATTCGTCACATGATACTAAGTTATATGACTCTAACAGTCAGGTGACCTATGACCCTAAACCAAATCATGACAAAGCAACCTTTTGAGATGACTAAAGCTTGATGACACAAATTATAAAGCACATGACTACAGTAAATAGTATTGGTACAATCTGACTAAGCCTATTCCCCTTAGAACGTGGGAAATAGTAACACAGCCACCATAATTTATCTATATAAGACCCCACTTTTTGCCAATAAAAGGATGCATATAGGGAACTTTTAAGCCCCACAAAATAAATTTGAGTGTGAAGTGTGATCAGTATCAACAACAGTGACAAGAGCTGTTAAGCAACTAACTGAGAGGTCATTGTAAGCAACATCCAGCAATACCTTTAGCTCATCGTCAACAACTGTGAAATATCTTGAGCTCACTGTGCTCAACAGTGAGCAAACTTTTTCTTTGATTTTCTACTGGTGAACCTCTAGTCTCTTTCTTTTCTTTTCTTTCTTCTTTCTCTCTTTCTTTTTCTGTTTCTTTCTTTGTTTCTTTCTTTTCATTTGTCTCTTTTTCTGTTCAGTTCATTCATGTCTCAGTGTTATTGTCTGAATTTGTTTCAAGATCTTTGTGTTGTCTTTACGTCCATCTAAGCACCGGCTTAGTGGGAAGACTTCAGAAGTTGATAGTGACGCTTGACCTCACTCATCTGAGTAGTGATACTGAGCCAGGGTTTTCTTTGTCTGCTAGACTTTAGTTGTTGAATAGGGGACTTGGTACTGAAATCCAAGGACGTCCGTTCCTGATTCTGTTTAATACTCATCGTGAGTTCCTTGGCAGCAGGTTCAATAGTGAGCTAAGAGTTCTACTGATCACTGATTAGTCCTGACCTTTGATTCTACCTGTTTGTGCTGAGGGGGTGATTGCTATAATTTCGCACAACTTTCTGTAGTAAATTTATTACAAGAAGCATTGTTACTGAAGGAAGGGTTTCCCTTATCAATCTATTTCTTTTTTTTATCAGTACCATACTGTTGGGCTGACTTTTCTCTGTTCTCTAAACACTGCCATACCGTTGGAGTGAATCAATTTCTTTTTGTCATCACCATACCGTTGGGCTGACTACATTCTGTTTATTTTATTTTCTATTGCGTCCATACCGTTGGATTGACTGGTATTGCTACTGACCTCACAAGAAGTACTTTTTGTCTGAACATAGCTTGGGGAAGTGTAAACAGCCACTCACGAACAACCACGTTATCAGTCATTGGTATTTGTCTGAATCGCTGACCGTGGAGATTTTTGATTTTGTAGGTGTTTATCTATAGATCATCTATCTAAGAAGACATCGTCTGAAGTGGTCTGAAGGTGGTCCGACGTCTAGAAATGAAAGTCCGAGGTTGCACTAAGCATCTGAAGAGCTTCCAGTGAACAGCGAAGGTTCTGAGGAAGTAGTACGGCATGTATGTCGAAGTATAAGACTTGCAAAGTACAACTAAGCAAAGCCTATCGGAAAACTAAGAGATAGCGAGGTGCGAAATGGCAGTGGTCAGGCCAAACAATTGTTCCGAATGAACAAAGAGATCAATTGCATGAAGTTGACTATCCAAAAGTGACTCTACTAACTATGACTTGTAGCAGGGAAAGTGAAGTGAAGTGCGAGTAGCTAGCAAGGCAGATTATATCCTACAACATGAAAGTCCGGAAACTGTGTAGGCAAAAACAGTAGCGAGATAAGCCATCCAAAATGTAATAAGACTCGAGGCAAGTTGCTACAGAGATATGCATGTAATAACATGCGAGGCATGCTGCTATATGTATAACCAATGGTTTTGACGGGCTGATGACATATGTGCCCCTAAGACATAATCAATAACAGATAACCAAGTGAAAAACGCACCAGTGAATTCAAACGGACACGGATGGGACATGGTATAGAGGATCGGAAGTGTATACAGGCCTCAGAAATGAACGGACGACCTTTGGACGACTCAGACGAACGCACAGAACTCTTGGAAGGTAAAAGGAGTGTCGAGGAGTATAATGTGAGATACTGATGGGTTTGGCAGGATACGAGCCCAACACCAATATGAGTGCTACAGTGGGTTAGGTTTCTGGTGTTGGATGCTTCCAAGGTGGTGATTGCTGGAGGTAGTACCTGGATTAGATTATATACAGCTAAGAGGTTGATTCGTGTGCCCACAGCATTGAGGTTCTCTGCCAAAAACAGGTGTGTGTTGTGTGGTAGCTCCCACATTGGATGGTATCTGTTGAAGTCACCCACCCATCCAGATTATGTTGTGGGGCTCTGCCCTGTTTTCGCCTTGAGTGAGACATTGTGAGCGCTCTTCAGATGACATGTGTCGCTTGAGGAAATGGAGAGTGTGGTCACTGTCGCATGGGTTGTAGGTATTGTATATACGCACCTTACCAAATTGTCCTGTTAGTTCGATTGCCATGACATTGAGAGACTTGATTGGGATGATGTGCCAGTTGTTATTTGATAAGTGTTTGTTGACCAGCATGATGACTTGCGTGCATGAAGTTCCTGAGTTGTGACCTGACGGGTATATAACATCCCAGTAGGACCTGAGGTTGGAGGTGTTAGCCAGGTTGACTGGGTTTAAATAGGGATCCTGAATGCATGTGAGGTCATATGATTCTGGGTCTAAGTTCTTTAGCATGTGCTCCCAGGCATTGGGAGACTTGCACAAATTCTGTTGCCATATTTTCAGATCGTCTCTGCTTGGGGCGTTGTTTGCTGAGTCCGTCATTAATTCCAGCCATTGTGGTTAATCACACTGTCAGTCAGGTAGGAGGATGGGGGAGGTGTGGGTGTTGGAGACCAATGTGGCGTGGTGTTGGGCTGGTTTGAGTTGGTGTTGGGTGTTCCTTGGTTTTGATCAAGGGGCGATTGGCATGGGCTGGCTTCGGGGAATTCTTGGCAATCTGGGCCAGAGCTGAACCAGGAGTTGGGGAGTCACCATTGAACACCTGGGCCAAGTGGGATGAGGTTTGCATTGCGTGAGTTCTTGTCTGTATGGGTTTGATGTTGTCTATTGGTGGGCTGCCACTCTTGATGGTTTCTTGCTGGGGGTGGGTACCTGGGTTCCTGTTGGTTGAAGGAGTCAGTCACTTGAGAGTTAGGAGAGGGAGCTTGGTCCATGATGCTGCTGTGGACCATTTCCCAGGTTAGTGGGTCTTCAGTTGGAAAATAAATATACTTGGCATCATTGTTGCATTTTTTATAGTTGTCCCACTTTTGTTTGAAGGTAGGGCACTCTCTGTTCCATGCAGCGTGGCCTTTTGTTTTGCAGTTGACACAATAGTGCTTGGAGGAGTTCTCCACAGAGCAGGAGGTAGTCCAGTGTTGGTCGCTGCAGGTGCTGCACGTGTCGTGTTCTTGAGTGCAGTCGGCTGCCAAGTGTGCTCCTTCAAAGGAGTGGCATTTAAGGCAGTGTGTGGGTTCTGGGAGGAGTGTATGTCCATACACTTTCTTGCCCACTATGATTAGACCCGCTTTGATGGCTTGGTTGGTGCTTGCTTTCGAAGAGAGAGTGATGGCTACATGAGCGGTTCACTGATTCGGCTGGCATCTAGCGATCGGCTTGATGAACCTTGCTTTGCTGATGGTTCTTGCCTTGAAACCTGCCTTGTTTTCGATGTCAGCAATTGCTGCTTGAGATTCTGGGATGAAGGTGATGGGAACATTCTCCAATAAACCCCTGTAGATACTCCTATATTTTCTTAGTCTGAATATCATATTAGTCCTCACTAAATCTCACATTAAGTCCTCATACTAGTTCTAGTCCTCCGACTTAGTCAATATTCATCTCAGGCCTAGGGAGGATGTTTCCTCTAGTGGTGAATAATTGTGAGATACTTATCCACCTTAGCTTGACTTAGATATCCCAACTTCTATTGTAAATTCCAGGCAAAACTGATGTAGATTGTACTAAAGCTGAAAGGTTAGTCTCTAAGTGGCTCCCAGATAATCTCCAAGTCTTCAGATGAATGGTGTAGAGATACAACAATTGCTGGGCACTACATGAAGTAAGTAACCAGGAATATAAAAATGTGTTGTGGTCGTGCACAGCCTAGTCTGCTATACTTGCAAGACAAGTGTGTTCGACCTGAGGGGTTTGCTGTATGATATTAGAATAATCAGTCATAACAAAAGGAAGATAGTCCGAAGCGCGGGAAACAAAGTCCGAAGGTATAATTACGAGTCCAATGTTAAAAACGTCGGGTCCGATGTTTTCGGGTTTCAGGTTAGTGGGTTTGCCTCGGGTTGCATCAGGTTAGCGTCGGGTTTGCCTCAGGAATACAGTGAATGTCGGGGATAGTGAATGGCGGGTTACTGTCAGATGTTTTGGATAAAGAAGGGATGATATTGTGGAATCCAACTAAGAACTACGAATATTGGATGACCTCCTCCTACTCGGAGGTAGAAAAGGTAAAGTAAATAGGTAGGAGGTATGCGAAATATATAGTGTCTATGTAGAATTTTGGAGTGCTATAGGTGAAAGTAGTAGCGCTGATTTTCGGATCCAATGTCCTATGTAATAAGACACAATGTACTGCGGACATGTAATAACATGTTCTACAATGTTAGCGATGTGAAAATGAATAACTGCGCACCTAGTGGGGATGGATATGACAGGACAAGACATAGGGAGGACAAATGCACAGGAAAATATCGGGTCCAATGCGCAAGAAACATCGGGTCTGTCGGATTAGCGTCAGGTTTAGCGGATAAACATCGGATTGAGTGGGTTAGCATCGGATTGATCGGATGAGTGTCGGATAACATCGGGAAGTGATTCGTGTGCGATGGGCATTTGACATGCGTCAGAAACTAGCTGAATACATGCTCAGTGCGAGCTCGAGTGCTACAACGGTCAATGTCTTGCAGATTGAAAGTGAAGTGTTTGTTGTGAGTAGATTATGTTGAGCTCTCAGAGAAGTCGATTAAAGGTTGCAAACAGTCCTCACTTTGTTCCTTTAGTTGTCCTGTGGTTGGAGACACATCTTTGAACCAAAGCCTGCTGCCTGTCTAGTATATTCTGTCCTTAGCAAGGTGCTGCACTAGCTTAACCTGCACTCATTATAATCTTCTAGGCATTCCTGCAGGATCCTGAAGAAGATACAATCATCTACCCACTTATCTAAGGGTTTCAGCCTTTGGTGACAGAAAATTTCTGCTCTAGCATTAGCTACATGGCCATAGGCTCCCACAGATGGTGTGGTGCTGAAGGCTGTACAGGTGTCAACATAAAAATCTGAACTCAAGATACATACTATTTCTGCTGGCCACTGCAAAGTATGTAGCAGTACTGTATGGTAGGCCTCTGCTATGTCTCAGGTGGCTGCTTCTGAGCCGGCTGGGAGGCTAGCAATAAGTTGATATATCATGAAGAACTTTCTCTATATTGAGAGGAAAGCATCAGTGTTAATGTATGAGTTTATTGAAGGGTTCAGAAATAGCATGTTTAAGGAGTGCGGTGTAGGTATACAACACAGAGTGGGGCTATACAAAGATGGCTCCAAACTGATATCTTTATGTTGTGGTCTTACACTGCCTATCTACTATACTTGTGGAACAAGTGTATTTGACCCAGGGGTCTGTGGTCTGGGAATAGTTTTGGGGGTCAGTGAGTGATCTGAGGTCAATAATCTGAGCACGGGAAACAATGTCTGAAGGTATAATTATGATGTCTGATGCAAAAGTGTTGGGTCCAATGTTTTTCGGGTTTCAGGTTATCGGGTTCGGGTTCAGTGTATCAGAAACTAATAGTAATGTGATAGTGAGTGTCAGGAAAGCGAGTGGTGTGCACAATAATAACGATGATGGATATGGACGGTGAAGGAACAATGATATTCGCAATGTCAACTAAGAATTATGAAATATCGGATTTGACCCCTAAGCATCAGAGACGATTCTCCTCTACTCAGATAATGATGATGCTATGGGGAGTCCAATATTTATATAGATGTGTAGAAATCCGGAACCCTATAGGCGAAAGTAGTAGCACAATATTTCGGGTCCAATGTCCTATGTAATAAGACATGATGTACTGTGGACTATGGGAATACATGTAATAATGCGGTCGACAATGTTAGGGATGTGAAAACAAGTAACTATGCACCTAGTGGGGCTAGTGTGATGAGACTGGACATAGGTAGGACAAGTGCGTGCAATATCTGATAGGCTGATGGGAAACCTGATGTGAAACCCAATGTCCAATGTCCAATGTCTAATGTTTTCAGGTTTGGTGCGTATTGAGCCAGATATGATAGGGAATGATTTGGGTAATGATTAGTATTTGACATGTATCAGAAAATAGACCTCTACAAAGCCACAAGGACTCCAAGTCCTACAGTGGGACAGAGACATTTTGTATGATTTTAAACTTTCTTGGCTTTTCTAGTTTGGGGATGATTGATAGTGGAGAGGACTGAAAGGGACCTATTAAGCTTTGTAATGTGTCAGCTGAAAATAGGCTGATGTAATGGCTTATGAGGAGCTCACTCTGAATAATTGATTTAAACTCATTCTAAAATTTAATAATCAATTCTTTATTTAAGAGAGAAGGGGGGTCTGTACAGCTGTGATAGCAGGGAAATCTACTTTGAAACCTAAGCATAGATCTTCTAGGATTTTTACAAAATGTTTGAGAATGTCTGCTTTCTGTAGTTTTCATAGCCAAGCATCAGCCTTGTATGGTGTCAGCAGGAGCCTCCTTCTGCACTCTAGAACATTTCTGAGCTCCATGAATTGCTGTGCTGCAGCCAGAATAGATGTGATGGATGTTGTGTCCGGGAGTATTTGTTAAAGTAGACATTACTGGGAAGATAATTGCTAGTGAGTTACTCAAGGATATAAAAAAGTCATTTAGATGTCCATCTCTAGTACTTGCTGTATAAGAGATAACAGTAGTTATGAAGATCAATGGACTTCATAGGAAGGATAAGATTGATAGCTTATGCACTAATAGCAGCTACAGATATCTGAAATTATTTTAGTACAATTTTTAGAAAGTAAGCTATAAAATAAAGAGTGAGCTTTTTATCATCAGAATTTTGAAAAGACTTACTGTAATTTCTTATACAGATAAGGCAACAAAAGAGATATATGAGGTTATGGCCATAGAAACTTGCATCCACAATCTTGGCTCAAATTTCTTCTATACCACATTTTGGCATTCCTGGAATCTGATGAAATAAAAAATAGAAGAATTCTTTAAATTCTTTAATACTCTCCCATTATTGTTTCCATGCACTCTTGTATGATACTAGATGTCTATTGGAATCAATGGTAAAGTATTTCTTGATAAGTTTTTTATTGCTCATGATAAACTTTATCAAGTTTCATGTAGCCTGCATTTCAAAAACCAACATATCATATCTAAGGAGCTTGTCTGTGATTTCCTCTGATATCTTGAGAGAATGCAGATTAACATTGTTTGCTCCAAATAGAAGATCTTATCTAAGTATATGAATACACTTCAATAAACACTATGATATATTTGTGTCATGGAGGTTATGGATGGCAACTTGTCATCAAATATGAAGTCTGATCCATCTGATATTATAAACTGGAGTCTAGGTTGTGCTATATGGCCTTGGCATATGACATAGTATAGTCAAGAATATCTCTGAATGGTGCAAAATAATGTATACATAGGCTCTATCTACACTTTCATAGTATTCATAAATGTTCTAGGGGTGATTGATTAGTAGTTAGATAAGTTAGGGTTGTATAGATGGGTCA